AAGATTGTTTTTTGTAATGTTGATGAGTTTTTTTTAACTAAATCATCACTTTCTTCTTTAACAGTTTTTTGTCCAGTGTACGGAACACTTAGACCATGGTTAATTCCTTTAATACGCCAATCTTTACTCGTAGAAATACCAAATTCCTGACAAATACGCTCATACGCGAACCTATTTTACGGATTATTTGAGGAATTCCATGCTCGATCCTGCGGTAATGGTGCACTAATTTCTTTAAGTATACGTCTAAACTGGTAGTACATGTGAAATGATAAAACAAACTTATTTAGTTCAAATCCGGGGGCATAAATAAATACACCACATCCTGTTGTGGCACACCATATGGCAAAGTTTAACTGGTTCTGCCAACATTGTTGCCGTGACCCTGTATTTTCAAAGATATCAGGGAATAACAAAGCACTTAGCACCAGAGGCTCTAACTAAAATCGACTGATTCGTAATGTAAGTTGATTTCATATTTAAGTTATGATATAGTATCTTTGTATATTTAATATGTATGTTACACTCCCGGGAATAACAAATGGCCAGTCTTTTCAATTGCTTCACGCTATCGATAACTCAGCTGGGAAACTTGAAGTCGCACTCTGCGATGTAACGTATTACCCGCGGTGGACGAATATAAGTGCTGCGAGAAAAATTAATGGGTTAACACTTGTTGATGGTAGGGAACACCACACCATTGATATATCTGATGGGTATTACAGCATATACTCACTCAATGATGAAATTGTTAAGCCTTTGGGAGCTAGTCTCACACAAAATTAGTCGAATTGGATGCTGATTTTAAACACTGGAGAAAAGTATTTCAGTCTTCACACGAACTTAGGAATAAATACACTTGGATTAATAACAGGATATATAATACCCCAAACAAAAGTGCATGGAGTTAATTTACCCGCTTTAGTTCCCTATAAAGAGTTGTGCATCCATCTTGATCAGATCAGTACAACGGATAATATTCAACTCGAAAGTCCTCAACTCTGCTAAGAGCTATTCCAGTCAAAGATGAAAAATACAATAGCGGTAGAACGGAATCTTTCTCATCATTACAATATAAAAGGTTAAAGCGGGGTATTATTTCAGACCTCAAAATTTCTGTATTAGATGTAAAACACCAACCTGTACATATAGGATACTTGAGTGTAACACTCCATATTATAAATAATGGTTGATTCATCAAGGCCTGGAACGCATAACCTTAGACAATGTAATACAATTGCGCTTTCCGATCTTTGAGACACAGAAGAGATTTGGTAAACCCGGTAACGATGGCAAGTTATACGCTTTACCCTAACAAGATAATGTATACAAGCGGAAAGAAGTTCTATTCACAGCTAATCTAGGAGATTTAAGTGATGTCGACGTTAGTAGACTCAATAAAACTACTTCATACAATCTTACTCGCAATGATGATAATAAATGGACTATGGTCGAAGCAAAAATCGAGTGGCTACTGAATATCACCATTGCTCCAGCATATGTGATGATGGGTAATGGACATCATTTAACTAAGATAATGAATAGTGGGATAGTACTCTGGGCTTATATCCCCTCAAAACGAAAAAGTGTGTCAGTTGCTCCCCTGCCAGAAAACCCAGGTCATATGTTATTGAGTCGTCCAGCATTAAAAAATGTTAGTTTAAATTTAGTTACTGAATTCAATGATATAAAACAAAACTTGAATGCTGTGCCATAAGCTGGTTAACATGGGAAATTAACATGTTTACTATTCTAAAATAAATCTATTTTAATGTGAGGTCATGTATTCGTTGTGGGGATGGTGTAACAGATTTCTTTGATTCTCCTTTGGGCCTAAGACAAGACTGTCTTTTGAGTCCGATCTTATTTTCATTTTTCATTAATGAATTATGTTACGAAATAGCTGCCAATGGTAAACATGGTATCAAAATGTTTCCAGGTTTGATAGAAATGTTAATGCTACTTTTTGCAGACGAAGTAATTTTATAGTCAGATAATGTTGTTTGTCTACAAAGGCAATTAAATATTTTAAATACATACACGAAAGAATGGAAATTATCAGTAAATTTGGAAAAAACAAACATTGTGATCTTTAGAAAAGTTGGTCTCATAGCGTCGAAAGAAAGATGGTCATTCGATAGTCAGTTAGTCAATATAGTAGATCACTACTCATATTTAGGAATCTGGCTCTCACACACAATGAATTGGAAAAAAAATGTGCCCTTGACTTGTCCTTGCGTGCAAAGAAAGCTTTAATAAGTGCAATATCTATTGCTCATAAAGTTGGAACGACGTCACCTAATATATTCTTTAAACTTTTTGATACCCAGATACAACCAATTTTATTGTATGGCTCTGAAGTATGGAGATTTCAATGTTTATGACTGTTTAGAGAACCTTCACTTATTAGCATGTAAAAAGTTTCTTTGTGTCGGATCTTACCAAAGTTTATGGTTTATGGTGAATGTGGTAGATACCCATTATATATTAACTCTCAGATTATATGTTTAAAGTACTGGTTTAAAATCCGTCATTTGCATAAACAACGTCTCCCTAAATTAGCTCATAACATGCTTCTACATGTTGATGGGAACGTGGGAAAGAATGCTTGGAAATCTTTTATTTTCGCATGGGTTTGGTTTTGGCTATGTCAGGCAGTTGGGAATGTAAATACGTTTCTTAATGAATTTCGAAATCAATCTATAATTATGTTCTACCAAGAATGGCATTCCATTTTAGAGGATAGTTCACGTTATGAATATTACAAAACTTTCAAGACTTTACTTCAACCAAAAATATATTTAACAGTCCTCACTATGGAAAACTTAAGAAAACGTTTTATTAAATATCGTCTTGGTTTACTAGACCTGTTTGTAAATGAAGGAAGAACACTGTCCATTGAAAAACTGAAAAGAATTTGTCCATTATGTGATCTAGATATAGAAAATGAAATTCATTTTCTGTTTGTCTGTCCATTTTACAATGATCTTCGAAAGACGTATGTAAAAGATTGTTTAATAGCAATGTCACCAATAAACGCCTTTGTAGTTTTCCTGAAGACAAAGTACGAATCTAATATATTAAATCTTTCTCTGTATATTAAGCATCAATTATTCAAAAGAAATGAAGTATATCCCAATGTGTAACATTTATGATTGTATCTACATGCGTAACTCTCTCTGGTATATGGGCCGGAGGCCTTTTGTACAATAAACTTCTTCTTTATTTGAAGTAAATCCTCAATTATCGTCAGGAGGTCTCATGATTATGTCCATCATTACGTGGTTTAGTTACCATTCTTGAAGTATCCAATCAGCCCTCTATCTTTCACGGCTTTAATTTGTTAACGTTGACGGACAGTTAAGTCACGTAAGCCTCCATAACCTTTACTATTGAGTGTTGTTTGAGCTTTCAATACTTCGATCGTGTCATCATATAGCTTATCAAGATATTGTCTTGGAAGACGTTAAAGCTTCAGTCATATAATCATTAATAATTCATTGAGTCGTCTGAGCAATAAAAGCAGCATTCAGATTTCCAGTTAAGGTATTTTCAGTTTGCAAGCTCTAATGTGATGATATGCGTACATGCAAACTGCTTAATGGTATTGAAACTGGATTAAAGTGAAGGCCTCCAGGCTCTATTGCATACAATGCAACCTGATGGACCAAGTAATCAGACATGGTTATTCTAACAGTTGCCATGAGATATGATTAAAGATGGCCCTGTTATCAAACGTCCGTCTTATGTGGGACACATTCCCACGAAATAATAATGACAAGTATAATAAGAGATCCTTAAACTTTGTACACATACACTATCTGGTGTATGTGTGGTACGTATTGTCCTTACGTGTAATCTGTGACCTTTATAGAGAACGCTGTCATGACATGTCAGCGAAATAAAGTAGTTTATGACAACGATCATTGTTTATGGTCATGATCCTATACCAGCTTGATATTGGCTGCACTTACCAAATGCTGGTTTAGGGAGGAAAGTGCAAAGAGCAAGACTGATGATTCGAACACTTTTACGTCACAGAGGCGGTGCCAAGAGAGGGATACTTCCAGTTAGAGAGAGTCCGTGACCTCTTGTGCATAGTTAGGCTATTTGGTAATCGCAGTACTTGTTCTGTGAGATTGTAAGGTGTGCCATTTGGTAGGGGTGTTTTATAGAACAAGTTAGCATTTTGACAACTGTTATTGAGTAGTAGAGATTGTTTAAGTTTATTTGTAGTGATTGTCAGTGATAGCAAATGATGGGAGCGCTGATAAAATGTCGAGCGATGTTAAAGTCGGATTTAAAAGAAAAGTGTTATTAGAGTTATCGCCACTAGTTGTAAACAAACAGCAAGCGTAATCGTTCTAGAGGTTTCGTAAGTTCCTATACATAAGCGACGCGCGGATGATTCGGGGCTTTTTGACTACCTGACTTGTATCTGATAGATATGCCACGTGCGGAGTGGATACCTACATGAACACACCCAGTTCCTGCCAGCTTCAAACAATATTCCGGACTGAAGAACAGAGACTGGCTTGTGTTAAGACATTCGACAGTGAAGTGACTTATATTGTGGGATATGTTACATATTCCTCATGCTATTAATGTAACCCAATTTATTGCCATTTGTAATTGTAAACCTAAAACTGTGTTTCCTTATAATGTGTTAAATATTCATTTATTTTGTGTGGTTATTTACTGATTTCACAATTCAGTCATGTACGAACCGATTTTAGGGTTACCTTTTGCGTACTACCCTGAATGATCTGACCTTAAGTCAAAGGTATATTATCCTGAAGTATTACATACGTTTTACATGTTGCGTAAATGTAATACAATATTCCCGTGATGCACGTTTTATTCGGGAAACTACAACGGATGAAACGAAACACGTGTCTTGATTTGAACATGTTATAATATTTTGAGGTTTTACTTATCGTGCAATCTTTTGGAATGCTGTCTTATCATATAAGTATTATAAACAGTCGTTACTTTCTCAGCACCTGAAAGCATTCATTGACAATGTTGCTGTTGTGGGTGACGCTGTTACCGGCGGTGTTGTCTGTTGAACTCCTCCATGATGCTGACTTTGACGGCACGACCACCTACGGAGGGGACACCAGTGCGGGGTGGTGGTGTGTGCAGTGCGATGCCGTTCCCAGCGTCGACACACACTCAGGGTCGCACAGTGTCAAGGTTACAAACAGGTATATAGTGATCGAAACAATTGCTAACTCATGTCAGTATAATATATGTATGTATGGTCAGATAAGTTTACTAGGTATACAAACGGCCATGTTATTGCTACACCTCTGCATCTATCGTCTTCTCCGCCAAATGGATACAGCAAAGCATGTTAAACTTGACATTGCATTAAGGTAATCGAAACGTGTTCTGTATTGCAGAAAGCAAAATTGGGGCAGTATAACCCAGTCTTTTAAGCCTAAAGGTGGGCACAAGTATTCGTTCAGGGCTTACGTGAAGATTTTGAACTTAGCCAAGGGTAAGGTGTACCACAGCATGCAGACAACGCTGGAGATCAAGGGAAGCAATGGTACGTCAAGAACAATATCCACCAAACAGAAGTCGTTTTGTGTTTGAATGTCATAGAGTTTCATATCTTGTAAAACTAGTTTCCTTTAAAATAAAATAAAAACCTGAAAACGTCTGTATTATTTTGAAGAACTTGCAATGTGATCACACGTCCACATAACATTCCATGAAGATATCATTCTGATAAAGTATAATATTGTGTATTTATTAGTAAGGATTTTGGGCGGTCGGGTAGCCTTGTGGTAAAAGCGTTCGCTCGTCACGTCGAAGACCCGGGTTCGATTCCCGACATGGGTACATTGTGTGAAGCCCATTTCTGGTGTCCCCCCCGTGATTTCGCTGGAATATTGCTAAAAGCGGCGTAAAACCATACTCACTCAGTCACTCTAATAAGGATTCAAGTGTGAATGTGGAATGGGCGGTAGCTGTAAACTGTACCTCTCGTGATGTTACGTCTACACTATATGAAAATTTTGTTATATTTAGGTAATACTAAATATGAACAAATTGGTACAACTCCACATCTGAGACCTGGCTCCTGGCACATTGTGGGCGGGGACTACCATATGCCAAATGGTATGTACACGTTGTATATATTAATTATACTCTCCAGAAAAAGAAAAGAAAAGCAAAAATGATTTTAGATGTATATTTTATATATCATATAAATAATAATCAGATGGTAATCGATTGTTCAAAATTGGCACACAACAGTAGATTTTCAAGGTGAACGTAATCTGTTAATATTTTGTATGGCCACCATTAGGGTCCAAAACTGACTGACTTCGTCGTACCATGGAAACAGAGAGATCCCGAATTGGGGTCTGGGAAATGCTCACCTACTCTGCCTCCAGCGCTTGTGCATATTGTCGGAGGTTCTGATGTTGTTGCTGGCGTGATCGCAGTCGTTGGTCAAGTGCATCCTATAAATGTTCGATTGGGTTAAATCTGGAGACCTGGAGGGCCATGGCAGGACATGGATGTTACGATTCCTGAAAAGACTGTTGTCAGTCTTGCTGTGTGAGGTCGGACGTTGTCTTGTTTAAAAATGATGTTCACTTGTTGCATTATGGGAAGGAAGTGTGACGGAAGAATCTGATCCGTGATCCGGAGATGGCTGCCCACATCATCACACTACCACCACCAAATCTGTCCACTTTCCGTATGCAGTTTCGTGCATAACGTTCCCCGCGACGCCTGTGACTCCGTGACATTGACACCATTGATGTCGCAGCCGACGTCCGTCCGCAGTCGAGGTCCGTCAAAATGACACCTCGAATACTTTCAGCGCGAAAACAGTTCCTCATTGTCTGGGCTGATATCCTACGTAATCCTGGTAATGCCGTCGTTAAAGAGGTGGTCTTGGTGGTTCTTTCACGTAGGTGACATTGCCATATGAATCAGTCCTGTGCGTATGCTGCGATGGGCTTCCGTCAGTCGCGTCAGTCGCGTCATGTTTTCGCTGTTCGCTTGCTGTAAGATTGTGATGGCATGCAAATGAAAACCCAACGTTTTTATGGCCCAACAAGTGATGTTACACGTACATGTCATGCATGTTGGTGTGTTTAGGCCACCAAATTTCTGCAGTACCTCATTCTTTCCACACAAATCAATCCCAATCCATATCCCTGTTCATTTTGGGTATGAATTTTGAATGGATGTCGGCAACACTCTGTCAGACATTTACGATTTTACGACTTTTGCGTGTGTGTTGTTTTGCAGAGTATATATACGGATATATTATTTTGATGTACACTGATCCACGACTACTGTATGGTTGTATTTTCATGGACGGTCAAGTGATACACGTACAAGTTGATGGTGTATAGTTGTGAACTTATGAATAATGAACGTAAATACAATCGCCACGTCGTCTAAGGCGGTCAATTCACCGTGCATACCTATGTCCCAGCAGCGTACCAGCAACTTATGACGGTAATTACGAATCCCACATTTGCTTTGACCTGCTTCACTTCGGTCATTCACTCACTCACTCACCCACTCACTCACTCACTCACTCACTCAGGTGTTCTGAAACTTAGTTATATAAGTCAGAATTATGTCTTTGTCTGGGCTAAAGCAGATGCTATTTCCTGCAGATGTCAAGGAGGTGCGCCTGTACTTCCAGATCGCGGAGCCCCAGGTCAACTACTTACTTGACACGGCCAGCATTGAGGAGATCCCTCAAATTGCCAACCTTAAGTCCGACACCAATAGGAGAATAGACATGCTCCGAAAGAATAATATTGACATCAAGTACGTGGACTTTTCACATGTATTGCCATACCAACAATACAAAGTCGAGCCTTTTCACACGCAACAGTCATTCTGGAGGAAGACAGTTTACTTAAAATCTTAACGAAGTTTGACATATTTGAGCCTTGGACCTGTTGTAAATGACACCCCATATATTGGCTTTAAACTGTGTTTATCTTACGCTTATAAAAATGGAAGATAAAATATTATCTTGAGATTTTGTTTACGTCGAGACAACCTGAATAACAACCTTCACCCTATGTCAACAATAACTTTCATTATGCCCATTATGTATTTACTTGTTTGTAAATATTAGTTCACAATCATGCATATTCATATATATGTATTGTTCCACGGAATCAGAGTAACGAATAGCAACGTGCACGCCTCTGGTCTCACAGTGGAGGTAAGAAACGTTTAAAGATTTCAGCTTTCCTTGATCTGTCATGATAATCTGAACACGGAAACGAATAACGGAGAGTCTTTTCATAAAAATAGTGCGCATGTATCATGACGCGTCGCTTGTTAATTGTCCTCTTTACTGTGACCACCATGGAGCTACATTGGTATCTGAATACCCAGGTCCAGCAAACTAGCAGCGAGTTCGGCTGGGGCTCTGCTGTGGATGCCAATGACATCACAGACTCCCAACACAAGAAATACCAGGACTACTTTTATGACAACTTTGAGTGGGCTGTTCTAGAGAATGCTCTCAAGTGGTACTCAATGGAACAAAACCAGGTCTGTCTCAATGTCATGTAGCTAAATTATATAATTCATAAAACTACTCATAGACAGAAACGGAAATTGATTCACATTTTGTGAAATAGTATATCTAATTAGATCACAATAGCGGTCAATTTTCATCACTTTAATTATTGTCCCTACAAAGACAATTGGTCGTTTCAAATGTTAGGGACATTATTCTTCTCAGCTATAATTGGGAGGTCCCCAGAGTGGTTAGTATTTTGTTAGTGGTCCTTTTCTGAACACTCTCTTTCAGTATCACCACATGCACACGTTGGATTCTATTTCAGGGGCAAGATAACGTAGCACTTCCTGAGAAAGCAGTTGACACTTTGCGGTCAAAGGGGTAAATATAATGTATCAGATAGATAAATATGTCAATATTCATACTTACTTTAATTCAACGCCACTTATATAGGTCTACTTCTTTGTAAGTGTACATCAGTGATATACTGTGTTGTAAAACTATTCGGTGTTTCAACTTCAGAATCGAAAAAAAGGCGGCAGTCGTTATTCCAAGACCCCAGCAATCACAGCAGTCTGAAATATACTAAAGGGAAAAAGTAACTGTGCTCCATATGAAGCGTTGAACATGCTCTGTAATTGAAAATAACAACTTCATTGACAAAACCCATACCTGGTAGCTGGAGACAGAGCGACACGCCCTCAAAGAAGGGAGGTGTTACAACTCAATATCGGCCATGATCACCATTTGATGTCATCCCAAGAACGTACGCAATTCAAATTGCCATTACCAATGATGAGTTGTGTTCTCCCATGAGTTGTGTTCTCCCATGAGTTGTGTTCTCCCATGGGTTGTGTTCTCCCGTGAGTTGTGTTCTCCCATGGGTTGTGTTCTCCCATGGGTTGTCTTCTCCCGTGAGTTGTGTTCTCCCATGGGTTGTGTTCTCCCATGGGTTGTCTTCTCCCGTGAGTTGTGTTCTCCCATGGGTTGTGTTCTCCCATGGGTTGTCTTCTCCCATGGGTTGTGTTCTCCCATGGGTTGTGTTCTCCCATGAGTTGTGTTCTCCCATGGGTTGTGTTCTCCCATGTGATGTGTTCTCCCATGAGTTGTGTTCTCCCATGTGATGTGTTCTCCCATGAGTTGTGTTCTCCCATTGGTTGTGTTCTCCCATGAGTTGTGTTCTCCCATGTGATGTGTTCTCCCATGGGTTGTGTTCTCCCATGAGTTGTGTTCTCCCATGAGTTGTGTTCTCCCATGAGTTGTGTTCTCCCATGAGTTGTGTTCTCCCATGGGTTGTGTTCTCCCGTGAGTTGTGTTCTCCCATGGGTTGTGTTCTCCCATGAGCTGTGTTCTCCCATGAGCTGTGTTCTCCCATGAGTTGTGTTCTCCCATGGGTTGTGTTCTCCCATGTATTGTGTTCTCCCATGGGTTGTGTTCTCCCATGTATCGTGTTCTCCCATGGGTTGTGTTCTCCCATGTATTGTGTTCTCCCGTGGGTTGTGTTCTCCCATGTATTGTGTTCTCCCATGGGTTGTGTTCTCCCATGTATTGTGTTCTCCCATGGGTTGTGTTCTCCCATGTATTGTGTTCTCCCATGGGTTGTGTTCTTCCATGTATTGTGTTCTCCCATGGGTTGTATTGCCAGCCCATACCCATCTCACCCCCAAACTGCCAACGTTGAGTAACGCAAACGTCGCTAAAACGTTCTGATGGACGCATGTAGACCCTTGCACAAACATGAGAGCTGTCCAGATGCAACTGTGAGCAGTATACTGTCCCAGATTGAACCTCAGATGGTGTCTGCACCAAGCTCGTCCTGCCTCACTGTGACGTGGACGCTCCACTGGGCGTATCGCTGGAAGTCGGGGCCGGATGTTGTGCTCCCTCATACGTGTTGCCCTGTTGTAGATAACGTCTCCAAAGAGAGAATTTTGTGTTTCGATGGACGTTAAATGTCTGGAAACGTCGTAATGCGACCTTTCTGTTTACAGCTTACGCACGGCGCGTAGACGTTGGTGATCAGCAAGCCGCTGCATTGCGTTAGCGTCATCTACGGTGAAACAAAAGTGTTTTAATGAGCACTTGATAGCAAAACAACCATACGTGTGTGAGCAAATTGTTCCCAATAAATACGCAACATCCAAATGTGTTCCGTGCATGAACATATGCGTCCAAATTGTGAATCACGGCCTTAAAGTCATATTATTTAATTTCAAAATAAATATTTTTATTGAACTTTATATGAAGCACAATTACTTTTCCCCGTTTCATTAGGTAACCGTAATATCCCAAATCCCACCATCTGTACACATACAACATGAGCCTCTAGATCCTATATATATACATGAGCCTCTAGATGCTATATATATACATGAGCCTCTAGATCCTATATATATATACATGAGCCTCTAGATCCTATATATATACATGAGCCTCTAGATCCTATATATATACATGTTCTGAGGTATAAATGAATCCGCAAGCAAAACTATGTTTGCTATGTCTCTGGCGTGCCTTCAGTGGCGACATGTCAAATACATTTTCAGCATCAAGGTGAGAGGACATAACATCTTCTGGGCAGTAGCTCAGTGGGTGCCAAACTGGCAGAAACAACTGTCCGAGTCAGCTCTCAAGCAAGCAATGGTGAAGAGGGTAGCGGACAGCGTCGGTCACTTCAAGGGAAAGTAAGTGTACAGATTAGTACTCAATACTTTCCAACTGAAATTCATTCACTATTGTCAATGATTTATGTTTTCTCCATCTTTGATCACGCATCAGTTCTGTGGAGGCCCCAAGGAAATTTTGCGAAATATAGTAAAATATATTTATTGTAGTGTATGTATTCAAAGGTTCATGTGTGTGTGACTTGGTGTTGCAGGCTTCCTCACTGGGATGTCAACAACGAGAACGTTCATGGGGATTTCTATGCTCAAAAACTCCATGATCCTGATATCACCGTTTGGATGTTTAACGAAGCCCACAATGCTGACCCTAATTCCCTACTTTTCCTTAATGATTACAACGTCGTCAGTCAAAATGAAGCCACTGTGGTAATTGTTCTGTATTTACTTTCATAAATTCAGGTATGTATCTTAGGTTTCCTGTGTTACTTGACCATAGGGACAACGATGGCCACCACTGTAAGGCGTTAGTCACTGGTTCTAGTTCCTGATTCATCCAAATCCTTGATTTGTGTAACCTAATTATAATCTCGTGGGTTGGTTAGCATGTAGCGCCTCCGTCGCTTGATGTCCCCGCATACACAGACAGAGTGCTGCAATACTGAAATATACAACTGAGATGTTGTTATACCAAAGTTACCAACTCGCTCTATTTGTAGGCATTTGAAGATGAGGCGCAGTACATACTTGGAAAAGGTGCTCCAGTCAAGAGGCTCGGTATCCAGTCCCACTTTGATGGGCAGCCAATCGATTATGACCTTGTCAAGGTACGATGCAATTTATGTATTTACATACACCCATGTATATGTATTGTATGCGTTCAGTGTTAGCATAACTGTAAATACCTTTTTTTTGCCAGCATCGCCTTGACGAAGTTGCCCGTGCAGGGTTAAAGATGTGGATCACTGAGCTGGACATTGATGACTGGAACGAGAACACGAAAGCTGACAAGTATGAGGCGCTGCTCCGACTGTACTTCAGTCACCCAGCTGTGGAGGGGATCATGTTCTGGGGATACTGGGATGGGAGACACTGGCGACCTAACGCTGCTCTAGCTAATGGACAAGATGTGACGGTGAGATAAATCAAAATTGAATCCTATTTTATGTACTAAAAATGTCATTGCTGTTAAAGTTAATTCAGTTAAATTAAACATGGAGTAGAATATACATTTAAGACAAATGCTGCTTCTTCTCGTTGATGTAACTCCAATCTGCTTATGATGTCCGATCAGGGATACACTTGATGTATATCGTTGGATGCCAGTTCATGATATCTCAGTTGATCGCAATGGCTGTCCGTTGAAAATGTCATAACATATTGTCATTGTTGTCATTTTTGGGGGTAAATGAGAAGTAGATACCATTGAAGGCTTCAACATCACACAAGATATACAAACATCACGAATTTATCCTAGATAAAAGTCACCCCGTCGATGCATCTGAAGAAGGTTATGGTTCCGGGTGTACTGTGTTGTTGTCTTATCGCTCCAAGCATACATTGTTAGATTCGTAATAAATGAACAATCTGGACAGATTCTAGGTTAACACATATTACTTTCCTGTTAAGCCGAACGCTGCAGGGCGGAGGGTGAAACAGTTGATCAAGGGGGAGTGGAGGACCAACGAGTCACACCCTGTCAAGGAGGGGCAGAATCTCCGAGTGAGAGGATTCAAAGGAGACTACACGGTGCAGGTCAAACACAACGGAAACGTCATCAAGACCGAGCACTTCACCCTGAGTGACAACGGTGTTGATCTGACTATCAGTCTGTCGGGATCAGGTGGGTATGATCATGACGGATACCAAGCAGTGTGAAGTGATGTAAGGATTGTGATTATGTTGTACTCAGAACTTTATGTCTAATGTTGTTGACATTGAATGTAAATCATTCGCTATATCAAAAACGTGTATATTGATACTGGCATTGTTTACGTGGAACCGCTGTAATATGAATGTGTTTAATTCTTTGGACGCAAGGGATACAATGCAGGTAATGTTTTTCCATCATGTTAGTTATGTCTTCTATTTAAGGTTAAAGTTTACTTTGTAAATTGGAGCTGTGTGATCCAGTGATAAGGATGTAAGAACTGATGCAGCTGTTAAATTGGAGCTGTATGATCCAGTGATAAAGATGTAAGAACTGATGCAGCTGTTAAATTGGAGCTGTTTGATCCAGTGATAAGGATGTAAGAACTGATGCAGCTGTTAAATTGGAGCTGTGTGATCCAGTGATAAGGATGTAAGAACTGATGCAGCTGTTAAATTGGAGCTTTGTGATCCAGTGATAAGGATGTAAGAACTGATGCAGCTGTTAAATTGAAGCTGTATGATCTGTGATAAGGATGTAAGAACTGATGCAGCTGTTAAATTGAAGCTGTATGATCTGTGATAAAGATGTAAGAACTGATGCAGCTGTTAAATAGGAGCTGTATGATCTGTGATAAGGATGTAAGAACTGATGCAGCTGTTAAATTGGAGCTGTGTGATCCAGTGATAAGGATGAAAGAACTGATGCAGCTGTTAAATTGGAGCTTTGTGATCCAGTGATAAGGATGTAAGAACTGATGCAGCTGTTAAATTGGAGCTGTATGATCTGTGATAAGGATGTAAGAACTGATGCAGCTGTTAAATTGGAGCTATTGGATCCAGTGATAAGGATGTAAGAACTGATGCAGCTGTTAAATTGGAGCTTTGTGATCCAGTGATAAGGATGTAAGAACTGATGCAGCTGTTAAATTGGAGCTGTGTGATCCAGTGATAAGGATGTAAGAACATATCAGCTGTTAAATTGGAGCTGTTTGATCCAGTGATAAAGATGTAAGAACTGATGCAGCTGTTAAATTGGAGCTGTGTGATCCAGTGATAAGGATGTAAGAACTGATGCAGCTGTTAAATTGGAGCTTTGTGATCCAGTGATAAGGATGTAAGAACTGATGCAGCTGTTAAATAGGAGCTGTATGATCCAGTGATAAGGATGTAAGAACTGATGCAGCTGTTAAATTGGAGCTGTATGATCTGTGATAAGGATGTAAGAACTGATGCAGCTGTTAAATAGGAGCTGTATGATCTGTGATAAGGATGTAAGAACTGATGCAGCTGTTAAATTGGAGCTGTATGATCTGTGATAAGGATGTAAGAACTGATGCAGCTGTTAAATTGGAGCTGTATGATCTGTGATAAGGATGTAAGAACTGATGCAGCTGTTAAATTGGAGCTGTATGATCTGTGATAAGGATGTAAGAACTGATGCAGTTGTTAAATTGGAGTTGTGTGATCCAGACACAAGGATGTAAGAATTGATACTGCTGGTACACGTCATCAGGTGATGAACTAGTCGCATGACTCGACCTCTTTTGTGTTTCAGGTAGCAACCCGCAGGTGAACCACATACTAATTGGATAGATTTTGCGTGAATAAAACACATATGTTTTGAATCTCGTTGTGCTCTATTTACAATCAGTAGGACCTTTAGCGACCCCGCCATGTTCGTGTTCGTACGTGGGGATGTACATGTATAGTGCGTGATGTACATGCACATTTGAAAGATCCTGTCCTTTGTAGACAGCAGATACGGTATCCATGGAGGTAAAAATGTTGAAGCGGATGCTCATTCTAATAAAATCGATTTTGAGATGATACGTTACGTCATGCATTTGTTAAATATGCCTACCTTATTTATACATCAACTCATGTCAGACGCTGTTTATTGATATGCAGACATAAACCAACAACCATGCTCGGCTGGTTGGAAAAAAGGTGGATACGATTCATGGATTATGTATGCCAGACTATGTCATACGTACTATATGAATGAATCACAACGTACTATATGAATGGATCACAAAATACTATATGAATGAATCACTACGTACCTCATGAATTGATGACAACGTACTATATGTATGGATCACACTGTAGTATATGAATGAATCACGACGAACTGTATGAATGAATCACTACTTACTATATGGGTGAATCACTGCGTACTGTATGAACGGATCACAACGTGCTATATGAATGGATCACAATGTATTATGTGACTGAATCACAACGTACTATATGAATGGACCACACTGTACCAACTGACTGAATCACAACGTACTGTGTGGATGAATCACTACGTACTATATGAATGGACCACAACGTACTGTATGAATGAATCACTACGTGCTATATGGATGATTCACTGCGTACTATATGAATGAATCACAACGTACTATGTGAATGAATCACAATGTACTATATGAATGGATCACAACGTACTTTATGGATGAATCACTACGTACTATATGAATGGATCACAACGTACTGTATGAATGAATCACTACGTGCGATATGGATGATTCACTGCGTACTGTATGAATGGATCACTACGTACTATATGAATGGATTGCAATGTGCCATATGAATGAATCACAACGTGCTATGTGCATGAATCACAATGTACTGTATGGATGATTCACTGCGTACTCTATGATTGGATCATAACGTACTATATGGATGAACCACAACGCAGTATAAAAATTATTCACTGCGTACTATATGAATGAATCACAACGTACTATGTGAATGAATCACAATGTACTATATGAATGGATCACAACGTACTTTATGGATGATTCACTGCGTACTCTATGATTGGATTATAACGTACTATATGGATGAATCACAACGTACTGTATGGATGAATCACAACGTACTGTATGGATGAATCACTACGTACTCTATGATTGGAACATAACGTACAATATGGATGAATCACTACGTACCATATGAATGAATCACAACGTACAATATGAATGAATCACTATGTACTACATGGATGAATCACTAAGTACTATGTGAATGGATCACTACGTACTATATGAATTGATCACTACGTACTATATGAATGGATCACAACTTTCTATATGGATGAATCACTACGTACTGTATGGATGAATCACGACGTACTTTATGGATGATTCACTGCGTACTCTATGATTGGATCATAACGTACAATATGGATGAATCACTACGTACCATATGAATGAATCACAACGTTGGATATGACTGATTAACTGCGTACTATATGAATGAATCACTACGTACTATATGGATGGATCACTACGTACTATATGGATGAATCACAACGTACTGTATGAATGGTCAACGTGCCCCTAAAAATGTATGACGTATTTGCATATGTCAGGCCTTCATAATGTCAGCAACTCTCAGCTGAAACTCGCGTTATATAGTCTCGGAGACATATAACTTCAATGATCCAAGAACACTGTTATATGGACAGTTCCTCCAGGACAGCAAAATAGTCTTGTATATGAACATTGCTCTAAGCGTCAACGGAACCTATACCATTGACGTCCATATATTTTAAGACGCAGACAAACAAGACTCGTGCTTGACGTCTATACTGTACAAGTAAATGTTTCATAACAATTGCGTTAGTGATTGATGTTATGCAAAATATGTAGTATTCAACAAAGACATTAATGATTGACATAATGCAGTCTTTAACTGAGAACGTTTTGTCTAATACGAATGTCGCCATGATGTTGTAACAATGTGTTTCACCAGCCACGGTTTTTCAGTTGGTGTCTCACATGCTATTTGCTTATTCGTCGTAGATGTGTACAATTATGTCAGTGGTTCATTGTGTTTAACGAACCTACATCGTATTTAATGCCTCACGTATTGATAACCTTTACAACAATGTACTGTTCTGGTTCCCCCAAAGATAAAAAAAATAAAGCTACTGTGTATTTTTTAACATCAATGCCATTGAACACTTTCTACTCGCATCTGTTAGCACACGAACCATTCCAGAGGCCATATATATCTAATTATATTATAAATAATAAATCCTTTAAATATTCAATACAATAATAACATCGGGTATATAGCCCATGGATTTCGCCCGGTTTGTGAAAATGAGGATGTCACAATCGTTGCTCCCATACAGCCAATATGTTTGTTTTTCAAGTTATTCTTCTGTAAGGGCATTATGTCATCCAGCATATATTATATCCGTGTGCGTGTACTGACAGTTTAACATGTGTGTGACTTCATACAGCTGCAAAGATTACAGCTATAATTAGACCTAGGACTGTCATGACTTTATCAGTTGTAGTGGACAACCCCTTACACAATGATATCTGCCATGCAACAATCACTCAAGACATATTTGCATTTCAAAATAGATGAACATGTAGTTCTTCACTGTGACTTTCTGAAGCAATTTACATTAATTCGAAGCAATTGGTTCGTAGTGATCGTCATAATTTAGATCTGGAATTTCTTGAAAATATACAGATTTAAATTACCAATTACACGAACAGGGTGCAATAATAGTTAGTTTCTTGCCGGATTTATCTTTTCGGCTGACACAGTCATATTTTCCGAATGATTTGAGATGTTAATCGTTATTCCATACCACTAAGACACTCATGTTTGTCTAAATGTCCGTTTTACAGGTATTTGAGAGCTCAGCTATTATGTATGTATAGATATCTTGTTGTATAACGTTATCCGTTCCAATGTAACCAAATGATATAGGCGCCCAATGTCAATTCATGGAATCATGTAAATTCTGTAATTGTATAATGTATTATGTACCCACAATCATTTTATTAGTACAGTCTCATTCCAGATATGTTAAAGTGATGTTGGGGGCGGTCGGGTAGCCTAGTGGTTAAAGCGTTCGCTCGTCACGCCGAAGGCCCGCGTTCGATTCCCGACATGGGTACAATGTGTGAAGCCAAGTTGTGGTGTCCCCCGCCGTGATATCGCTGGAATATTGTTAAAAACGGCGTAAAACCATACTCACTCACTATAATGATGTTGATCTATTACAAGATGTGTGCTGAACTCGACACAATACTGCGCTTGTTTCTATTCTTCCCATCAAAATATACTGTCCACCAGCAGCTGAATCTTGACAAGCGGTTTCAAAATTTTACCTTTCGGGGCATCTCATGAAGTCCGTTTTTAAGGAGAAATAATAATTAAATGGAAACGAAATAATGAAAGCATTAGTATGAGGTTTGACATTCAAATGATTCACATCCATCACAAGAAAAAAATCCGCTCAGCTTTTTTTCTGCTTTATCGTTTTCATTCGGATAAGACAAGTTCAACACTAACCGCTTAGACCTGGAATTGGCAAAGCGTTTTTCTTATCATACCTTGCTAAAGTACATCGTTCTCCTTATCGACCTGAACTTACCCGCTATTTATATAACAACGGCCAAACCCTAGTCACATACTACAGATTCCGACACGCAATGTTGCTTGTGTTAACACTTCTCCCGGCCTTAGTGCTGGGTGAACAACTGAAGAACGCTGACTTCGACAGCACAACATACACCGCCTCGGCAGGATGGTGGTGCAACAACTGTGCGGCTTCCGGCAGCTCCGACAGGCACTCCGGCTCACACAGTGTCAAGGTCACAAACAGGTACACACGTACAAAGATATTAAACACCGTTGTTACATTTAAGATATATTCTCTCTGTTTAGATTGATTCTGACTGGTGCGAAGTCGATGTAGTTACTGGTGGGCGGTACGGGAGCTTACACTATACTACCTACCTTGACAATAATTGCCTACAGAGACGTTATGAGACGCTGCAAGACGCTGTAAAGCGCTGCGAGACTCTGTAAGGCGCTGTAAGACGCTTTGGGGCCCTGTAAGACGCTGTAAGACGCTGTAAGGCGCTGTAAGGCGCTGTAAGACGCTGTCAGGCGCTGTCAGGGGCCTGGGATTCTGTATCGAGGCAATTTCGTATTTTTTCAAAAGACTGAAGCATTATTGTTTTGTACAAGAATGTTTTTGGACAATATATTTCTTTTGATAAAATCCCAGCCTACCCGACGAAAATCAAATGATCGATGCATTATATTTATCATTCAGACATTTTCAGTTACATGACAGTAGTTACACCAAGGTAAACTGTATTACAATTACATGACAGTAGTTACACTAAGGTAAACTGCATTACAATTACATGGCAGGAGTTACACTAAGGTAAACTGCATTACAATTACATGACAGTAGTTACACTAAGGTAAACTGCATTACAATTACATGGCAGGAGTAACACCAAGGTAAACTGCATTACAATTACATGACAGTAGTTACACTAAGGTAAACTGCATTACAATTACATGGCAGGAGTTACACTAAGGTAAACTGCATTACAATTACATGACAGTAGTTACACCAAGGTAAACTGCATTACAATTACATGACAGTAGTTACACTAAGGTAAACTGCATTACAATTACATGACAGTAGTTACACCAAGGTAAACTGCATTACAATTACATGGCAGGAGTAACACTAAGGTAAACTGCATTACAATTACATGACAGTAGTTACACTAAGGTAAACTGCATTACAATTACATATGGCAGGAGTAACACCAAGGTAAACTGCATTACAATTACATGACAGTAGTTACACTAAGGTAAACTGCATTACAATTACATGACAGGAGTTACACCAAGGTAAACTGTATTACAATTACATGACAGTAGTTACACTAAGGTAAACTGCATTACAATTACATGGCAGGAGTTACACCAAGGTAAACTGCATTACAATTACATGGCAGGAGTTACACTAAGGTAAACTGCATTACAGGCAACATGACTGGGCCGGCATTACGCAGACCTTTCCAGCCCAAGGGGGACACCTCTACCTTTTTCGAGCCTATGTGAAAATCCTTAACTTGGCTCAGGGCAAGATGTACCACAGCATGGACGTGATGCTTGAGATCAAGGATAACGGGGGTAAGCAAAGGAACCCATAGAGTTTGTGCACGAGGAAAATAGTGTGTTTTCAAAGTGCGGGTTTATGAGAAAACATGGATACTTGGTAATTTTAGTCCTGGTCTGTCCAATGGACGTGATCTTCATCCCAATCCAAACGTGCCAGCCAGGGAGACGGAGACTACTAGGCACTGTATGAGTAGAACGGTGAACGCCACTGGCGTTCCGCAGGTCATTTGTGAGTGTGATGTCACCTGTCTTCCCGACGTATGTTGGAACGCTGTCGCTGGGTAGCTTATCCAAATGTCTGGTATCGATTCCATGCCATGTTGAATACACTTTGGCTGACACCAAAGACGTGACGTCCTGCTGACCCAGTCTCAATCATGCTGTGCATCTGTCTAATTCTTTGACGCCGAGGGGGCTTAAGTGCATTCAGTTGTTGCAATCAACAGTAGCAAATTCTGTTGTGCTCTCTGATAATGACGTGCAACGATTCTGTCACGATACATACAAAAACTCCCTGCAAATCATGCCCATGACAGCGTGCCGTTTATCATGAAATTGAGGTACTATAAGGTTTACCCAATTATTGCGTACCGGGACATTTCAATTTTGTTTTTATATCAGCAAAACTTGAGTCGTGTATATGCAAAAGTTGTCAGTACCAATATTATTTAGCTTAGATGCATATGGTTATGAAAATGAGGGACATCAATTTGTAACATATAATTAAACTAAGCGGCAAAACAAAGTTTAGGTTGGCAATTTGTAATTTTCCTAAAAATAGCGATAACTAGTGGAAAGTGGGTATTGGGAATATGACGATTAGAGCACGCCATCAGCCTCCTGTCAACAGACAAGTGGCAACGGATTCCAGTCCACGTCATCAGAAGACTGACGTCATCGATGAGGCAGCGAATCACAGCATGCATTGAGGCAGCTGGAGGTCATACACGCAATTGAAGGCAACTTTGTCGACAATGAACTTGTAGTGTGTCTGACAATTTTTTGGTGACATTTCAGACAACTTTGAAAATGAAATTTCTTACCCCACCATTGTTTACCTTGAGCTTACATTAGCTGTGATGGCACAATTTCATTCAAACTGTGGTTGATCCATCATTTGTTACACCTCCCTAGATTATATTATAATTCACAACAAAATCTCTTCTTGTTATTTTTTTTATCGATCATGGAACTCGAACTATACGTTCTTTTGCCGCCCAGTTTATCTATAGGTTTACAATAATACAGCGTCTGTGCTTCCAAATTAGTTGGTACCGCAATCCCAATATTTATAAGACGGCCACACATCCCTGTTGTCATTGTAGGAAACTTGCAGTACGTTCAGGTTGGCTCAACACCCCATATCAAACCGGGCGACTGGCACGTCGTCGGTGGAGACTACCGCATGCCTGGGAGTAAGTATGCGACTCGTCATACTCGTCTATGTTGCGAATCTCAAACATTTAAAACAAACTGTGTTTCCTTGCATCACATACAACAGGAAACTAGGTCTATCAACGTCGTGAAAGAACCACTCGCGGAACAAACTGAATATATTTATACCTGCTAGAACATGAAACTCGGTCCATGTACATGGACAAACAACCACTCACACAGCAAATTTTGTACCCTTGCATAACCTAGAACTTGAAACTGTGTTGATAGACGAATATACGGGCACAGCGGGAAGTCAGCGCGCGCGCGTGCGTGCGTGCGTGCGTGCGTGCGTGCGTGCGTGCGTATGTGTGTGTGTGTGTGTGTGTGTGTGTGTGTGTGTGTGTGTGTGTGTGTGTGTGTGTGTGTGTGTGTGTGTGTCTGTGTGTTTGTGTTTGTGTGCGTCCGTGCGTGAACTATGAAGGGCAGTCCCAGGTGCAATGTACACTTGCAATAGTGCCTTGGAAATCCTGGTTCATTTTAACAGGTCAGCTGCAGTGACCCTAAAGTCGGAGAGGCAACGATCAACTTAGATAGGTTTCTAACAAACTGAACCCAATCAGTATTGCAGTTAGAAGTGCACTTAGACATTTAATTAATTGGTTCAAATGTCAACGTCATAATAAAATTAAGTAAATCGAGACACACTATTATAGAAAATTAATCCATTAAATACAGCCCCACTTCAGCTCACGTTACGAAGATATAATATTGGCAATAGAAATATGATATCACAGAATGACTACATGCATATTCCACATCTTGCAGGTTTCAAAGAGGCGAGAGTGTATTTCCAAATCCACGAGCCAGAGGTAAATTATCTCGTGGACTCAGCCACCATACAGGAGGTCCCTCACATTTCCAACCTGAAGTCTGAAACCAACGGAAGGATTGACCAGCTACGCAAAGCCAACATCAATATCAAGTAACCGGACATTTGCAGTAGGACCTGGCAATTTTAGTTTTGACAATCGGGCACAGTGAAACCATCCTGTATAATTCAGATTTGAGGAGAAATGGGGTGATTAATAAACAGATCTATGGACTGTTCCATTTATTTTAGAGGTATCTAAATGCAAATGGTTCTAAGTATTCAAAGAGTTTCGTAGTAATGGTTCCTGCAAACTATCACGAGGGGATTACTGTTTGTTGTAATGTATCACCTGGTGTATTGTTGTAACATCTCCTGTTGTCAGGGTAACGGACAACCATGTACATCCGTCTGGTCTAACTGTGGAGGTGAGTGTCATTGGCTCTTATTTTAACACATACCATGTTTATTTTTTCCATTGACCCTATGAAGTAAATAACTTGTTCCATTGTTGGTCCGTGCAGCAAACTTGGGCCTTTTAGACAACACAAACAACTTTCACTTGAGTCCGCTGTTATATTTTCATTACATACGGAAGTCCAGTGAATGCTGTGATTAGTGTCACCGCTTGTCAGGTCCAAAAGAACAAAGTAACATAAAGTGAGACGTCCTTGAAAATAATACCTCAGTTAGTTAAAGCAAATCTTATGTGTTCCAGGTCCAACAAACTAGCAGCGAGTTCGGCTGGGGCTCTGCTGTGGATGCCAATGACATCACAGACTCCCAACACAAGAAATACCAGGACTACTTCTATGACAATTTCGAGTGGGCTGTTCTAGAGAATGCTCTCAAGTGGTACTCAATGGAGCCCCAACAGGTAAAAGCCTACTGCAACCATCATTTTAACTGAGAAAAAATAATTTGGAAGTTCAATTACCGTTACTTATTCTCGATACGATTTCTTCTTTCTTAAATTGACGGAATTACTTTAAATATTGTCTTTTGTTGCAGGGACAAAACAATGTTGCACTGCCGAACAAAGCTGTAAATACGTTGCGATCAAAGGGGTATTTATGCCAAATGTCACTCACGGTCAGTAATTATTAATACGTTGGTCCTTGATACAAAAATCTTGAGGTGTTGCCAATTATTTCCTGGAAACCAGTAAGAAGTTGGAGGAGACTGAGTAGATTTTAATGTCGCTTTGAACTGTATACCAGTTATATCACACGTCTTGTCAGCTCACTATGGGAGGAAAGCTCGAAGTGATGCAAGTTCTGAGACCACATGTTTGCCACATTGGTGAAAACCACGAGCACGGTTATAGTGCTGACAAACCAAGAAACATAATCAGGGCGAATCAGGATTCGAAACCACGACTGGACCAACCGTGCCCCAGTAAGTTGAATTGATTTCGGAGTAATTTTGAAGTGCTGAAAAATATATCGGAAGATGGTTATAAATAATCCAAACCCTAAATCGCAACTCTTGACATCAGGATCAAAGTGAGAGGACACAACATATTTTGGGCAGTACCCAAATGGGCCCCTAGCTGGCAGTCCCAGTTATCTCCATCAGCTCTGAAGAAAGAGATGCAGTACAGGATTGGTGAGAGTGTGGGATACTTCAAAGGAAGGTGAGTTGGATATGAAACCCTCAGTCGATGGAAGGAGAGGATGCTCAGATGTTCCTTAAATCACAAAGGGGGCGACCGGGTATGGAGGTATATAGTGATGGCCAGGTAGGCCGTAGTGTTCCTTAAATCACAAGGGGTGGGGGTGGGGGGTTAGGATGGAAGGTATATAGTGATGGCCAGGTAGGCCGTAGTGTTCCTTAAATCACAAGGGGTGGGGGTGGGGGGTTAGGATGGAAGGAATATAGTGATGGCCAGGTAGGCCGTAGTGTTCCTTAAATCACAAGGGGTGTTGGTGGGGGGTTAGGGAGGAAGGTATATAGGGATGGCCAGGTAGGCCGTAGTGTTCCTTAAATCACAAGGGGTGTTGGTGGGGTGTTAGGAAGGAAGGTATATAGTGATGGCAACGTAGGCCGTGGTGTTCCTTGAATCATGACGAGTGTGGTAGGGGAGGGAGGTATATAGTGATGGCAACGTAGGCCGTAGTGTTCCTTGAATCATGACGAGGGTGGAAGGGGAGGGAGGTATATAGTGATGGCCAGGTAAGCCGTAGTGTTCCTTGAATCATGACGAGGGTGGTAGGGGAGGGAGGTATATAGTGATGGCCAGGTAGGCTGTAGTGTTCCTCGAATCATGACGAGGGTGGTAGGGGAGGGAGGTATATAGCGATGGCCATGTAGGCTGTAGTGTTCCTTGAATCATGACGAGGGTGGTAGGGGAGGGAGGTATATAGTGATGGCCATGTAGGCCGTAGTGTTCTTGAATCACAAAGAGGGTGGTAGGGGAGGGAGGTATATAGTGATGGCCATGTAGGCCGTAGTGTTCCTTGAATCACAAAGAGGATGGTAGGGGAGGGAGGTATATAGTGATGGCCAGGGGGTAGGAAGGGGGTAGGAAGGAAGATATATAGAGGGGCCAGGTAGGCCGTAGTGTTCCTTGAATCACAAGAGGGTAGTAGGGGAGGGTGTATATAGTGATGGACAGGTAGGCCGCAGTGTTCCTTGAATCGCCAGGGGTGTGGTTGGGGGGTTAGGAAGGAAGGTATATAGTGATGGCCAGGTTAGGCCGTAGTGTTCCTTGAATCACAAAGAGGGTGGTAGGGGAGGGAGGTATATAGTGATGGACAGGTAGGCCGCAGTGTTCCTAGAATCACAAGTGGTGGTGGTTGGGGGTAGGAAGGAAGATATATAGAGTGGCCAGGTAGGCCGTAGTGTTCCTTGAATCAAAAGGGGGTGGTAGGGGAGGGTGTATATAGTGATGGACAGGTAGGCCGCAGTGTTCCTTGAATCGCCAGGGGTGTGGTTGGGGGGTTAGGAAGGAAGGTATATAGTGATGGCCAGGTTAGGCCGTAGTGTTCCTTGAATCACAAAGAGGGTGGTAGGGGAGGGAGGTATATAGTGATGGACAGGTAGGCCGCAGTGTTCCTAGAATCACAAGTGGTGGTGGTTGGGGGTAGGAAGGAAGATATATAGAGTGGCCAGGTAGGCCGTAGTGTTCCTTGAATCAAAAGGGGGTGGTAGGGGAGGGAGGTATTTAGTGATGGCCAGGTAGGCCGTAGTGTTCCTTGAATCAAAAGGGGGTGGTAGGGGAGGGAGGTATTTAGTGATGGCCAGGTAGGACGTAGTGTTCCTTGAATCAAAAGGGGGTGGTAGGGGAGGGAGGTATTTAGTGATGGCCAGGTAGGACGTAGTGTTCCTTGAATCACAAAGACGATGGTAGGGGAGGGAGGTATATAGTGATGGACAGGTAGGGCGTAGTGTTCCTTGAATCACAAGTGGTGGGGGTTGGGGGTAGGAAAGAAGATATATAGAGGGGCCAGGTAGGCCGTAGTGTTCCTTGAATCACAAAGAGGATGGTAGGGGAGGGAGGTATATAGTGATGGCCAGGTAGGGCGTAGTGTTCCGTGAATCACAAAGAGGATGGTAGGGGAGGGAGGTATATAGTGATGGCCAGGTAGGGCGTAGTGTTCCTTGAATCGCAAGGGGTGTGGGTGGGGGGTTAGGAAGGAAGGTATATAGTGATGGCCAGGTAGGCCGTAGTGTTCCTTGAATCATGACGAGGGTAGTAGGGGAGGGAGGTATATAGTGATGGCCAGGTAGGCCGTAGTGTTCCTTGAATCATGACGAGGGTAGTAGGGGAGGGAGGTATATAGTGATGGCCAGGTAGGCCGCAGTGGTCCTTGAATCATGACGAGGGTAGTAGGGGAGGGAGGTATATAGTGATGGCCAGGTAGGCCGTAGTGTTCCTTGAATCACAAGTGGTGGGGGTGGGTAGTAGGGGAGGGAGGTATATAGTGATGGCCAGGTAGGCCGCAGTGGTCCTTGAATCATGACGAGGGTAGTAGAGGAGGGAGGTATATAGTGATGGCCAGGTAGGCCATAGTGTTCCTTGAATCATGACGAGGGTAGTAGGGGAGGGAGGTATATAGTGATGTCAACGTAGGCCGCAGTGTTCCTTGAATCATGACGAGGGTAGTAGGGGAGGGAGGTATCTAGTGATGGCCAGGTAGGCCGCAGTGTTCCTTGAATCGCAAGGGGTGGGTGTTGGGGGTAGGAAGGAAGGTATATAGTGATGGCCAGGTAGGCCGTAGTGTTCCTTGAATCACAAAGAGGGAGGAAAGGGAGGGAGGTATATAGTGATGGCCAAGTAGGCCGTAGCGTTCCTTGAATCACAAGGGGTGGGGGTGGGTGGTAGGGGAGGGAGGTATATAGTGATGGATAGGTAAACCGTAGTGTTCCTTGAATCACAAGTGGTTGGGGTGGGGGAGGCAGGCATTTTGTGATGGCCAGGTAGGCCGTAGTGTTCCTTGAATCACAAGGGGTGGGGGTGGGTGGTAGGGGAGGGAGGTATATAGTGATGGCCAGGTAAACCGTAGTGTTCCTTGAATCACAAGGGGGTGTTAGGGGAGGGAGGTATATAGTGATGGCCAGGTAGGCCGTAGCGTTCCTTGAATCACAAGGGGTTGGGGTGGCTGGTAGGGGAGGGAGGTATATAGTGATGGACAGGCAGGACGTAGTGTTCCTTGAATCACAAGGGGGTGGTAGGGAAGGAAGATATATAGTAATGGCCAGGTAGGACGTAGTGTTCCTTGAATCACAAGGGGTCGGTATGGAAGGAAGATATATAGTGATGGCCAGGTAGGACGTAGTGTTCCTTGAAACACAAGGGTAGGGGGTGGGTGGTAGGGGAGGGAGGTATATAGTGATGGCCAGGTAGGCCGTAGTGTTCCTTGAATCAGAAGGGGGTGGTAGAGGAGGGAGGTATATAGTGATGGCGAGGTAAACCGTAGTGTTCCTTGAATCACAAGTGGTGGGGGTGGGGGAGGCAGGCATTTTGTGATGGCCAGGTAGGCCGCAGTGTTCCTGGAATCACAAGGGGTGGGGGTTGGTGGTAGGAGAGGGAGGTATATAGTGATGGCCAGGTAAACCGTAGTGTTCCTTGAATCACAAGGGGTGGGGGTGGGGGAGGCAGGCATTTTGTGATTGCCAGGTAGGCTGTAGTGTTCCTTGAATCACAAGGGGTGGTAGGGAAGGAACGTATATAGTGATGGCCAGGTAGGCCGTAGTGTTCCTTGAATCACAAGGGGGTGGTAGGGGAGGGAGGTATATAATGATGGTCAGGTAGGCCGTAGCGTTCCTTGAATCAGGAGGAGTGGGGGTGGGTGTTAGGGGAGGGAGGTATATAGTGATGGCAAGGTAGGCCGTAGTGTTCTTGAATCACAAAGAGGTGGTAGGAGAGGGAGGTATATAGTGATGGCCAGGCAGGCCGTAGTGTTCCTTGAATCACAAGGGGGTGGTAGGGAAGGAAGATATATAGTGATGGCCAGGTAGGGCGTAGTGTTCCTTGAATCACAAGGGGTGGGGGTGGGTGGTAGGGGAGGGAGGTATATAGTGATGGCCAGGTAGGCCGTAGTGTTCCTTGAATCACAAGGGGTGGGGGTGGGTGGTAGGGGAGGGAGGTATATAGTGATGGTCAGGTAAACCGTAGTGTTCCTTGAATCAGAAGGGGGTGGTAGGGGAGGGAGGTATTTAGTGATGGCCAGGTAGGCCGTAGTGTTCCTTGAATCACAAAGAGGGTGGTAGGGGAGGGAGGTATATAGTGATGGCCATGTAGGCCGTAGTGTTCTTGAATCACAAAGAGGGTGGTAGGGGAGGGAGGTATATAGTGATGGTCAGGTAGGCCGTAGTGTTCCTTGAATCAGAAGGGGGTGGTAGAGGAGGGAGGTATATAGTGATGGCAACGTAGGCCGTAGTGTTCCTTGAATCATTACGAGGGTGGTAGGGGAGGGAGGTATATAGTGATGGCCAGGTAGGCCGTAGTGTTCCTTGAATCATGACGAGGGTGATAGGGGAGGGAGGTATATAGTGATGGTCAGGTAGGCCGTAGTCTTCCTACGATTCTGGTAATGTTTTTTAGCTTCTATTGAAGGGTGGTTCGGGAGAATGGTATACAGTGATGGCCAGGTTGGCCACAACGTACATTTTACTAATACAATTCTTTTGACAAAAATATTTCAAGAGGTAGGTGCACCTTTATGCTAGTTAGAGAATATATGCGTTTCGTGAAAATACCCAACGATACATTTATCTGACTGTTTCATGCAGGACATATATTAGCTTACTTTCGATATTCATGCATATGTCATATATATCACATCTTGTGGTAGAATTGCAGCCATGTTGATTTGGCAGGGTACATATTATTTGTTAATACGAACGTATATAGTGGAGATCGCCTTGGATAGATCGAGGGACATAAAAATCGATGGATATGATCGTTACGGAATTACGGAGGGGAAAATACGTCTGGGGTTGATCTGGAGCAGATGTACGGTGTTTAATACACAACAGTGATCGTGGTGGGGATAGTGCACAATCTTATGAACATGTGTACACTGCATTCCTACCACAGCTTACATAGAGAGGGAGACAGCGCAGGGCATGGTGTCAATGTCGTTGGGGTAGTAGCGGAGGGGATGTTGTTAAAGATATATCATTTGCTTATTTATTATAATAATGTTTCTTTTTGGGGATTGTAGCGGGCGATGCTTTCTTATAGTCCCATGGACAGTTGCGCATGGCGTCATTCAATGGCAGCTTTTCGCAATATTCTATAATTACCGGCTCAATTATGTCTTCACACAATATTCCCACGAGGGGAGTTAAACCAAAGAAGACGGCTTACCAAAATGTCCTTTCAGTGTCAGAGTGATTGAAAATGTGCTTGGTTTAACGCCGCCTTGAACGGTATTTTAGTCATATCAGGGCGTGTCAGCTCAATGCGGGAAGTACCTGACACGTCTCGGGGTCGAAACTCTCCACAGCCGATTGTTTTGTTTGTTGCTTAAACGCCGCACTCAACAATTTTCCATCTGTATGATGGCGGTCCGTAAATAAAAGAGTCTGAACCAGACGATCCAGTGATTAATATTATGAGCAACGATCCACACATTTGGGAAACGCTGACATGCATCAACCGAGTCCGCGAGTCTGACCACCTGATCCCGGAAGTCGCCTTTTACGACAAGCACTTAAGGACAAGCATGGGTTTGCTGAAGACCTATTCTACACCGGATCTTCACAGCCGTTGGAGCGCCCCAGAACTATCAGAAAGGATGTCTCTGTTTTGATGTAATAGATATAAAAAGGTTTGATGTTGCATTAAAATAATGCCCAAGGCTAGATAATCACGACGTTTCATATTCTAGAATTAATCTTCCGCGGAAAGAAAACTGAGTGTGTAAACAGGCAAATTCAAATAACAAACATATTTTTGACAGCAACAAGCTATTTTCGCAAAGTTTTTATTCATCTAGGGCCAGTCCTCGACCCCAGACCGACACACACACACACACACGCACGCACGCACGCGCGCGCGCACACGCACACACGCACACGCACACACGCACACACGCACACACGCACACACACTATCAAAACGCTGTGAAGAGTTCACCAACTTTATCTTTCAGATTGCCTCACTGGGACGTGAATAACGAAAACACACATGGCGATTTCTACGCGCAGCATCTACACGACCCCGACATCACCATGTGGATGTTTAGAGAGGCGCACAAGGCAGACCCGGGTTGTCTTCTCTTCTTAAACGACTATGACATTGTGAGTGGACATGAAGCCACCACGGTAAGCTGTGCTGCTGTATTATGTTAGTTGGCTAAATGTAACAAATCCAAATGACGTAATATGAATGACCACATGTCATCATAGGGTGCGGTCGAATAATTGATTTGTTGAATATGGATGCAGTGGTTGAAATAAGCAATGGAACTCAGTAGATACACACCTTCTCTTTATCATCAAGACATGTATGAAAGGTTGAAACCCTTTTCTTCTTTTAACAGGGATATGAAGACCAAGCTACGTATCTGCGCAGTAAGGGTGTCCCTGTTAACAGAATAGGCATTCAGTCTCACCTCGGTGGAGGAGGAGTTGACATCGATGCAATCAAGGTACGTGTGGTAACGGCGTAAAGCGAACCGATGTTTGAATCTAATTCGGTTAGTTTATGCCACCTTTTAATACAATTTTCATTGCCAGGAATAAACATTAATATGTTTACAGCATCGGCTGGACGAAGTTGCTCGAGCAGGTCTGAAGATGTGGATCACGGAGCTGGATATTAATGATAGTAATGAGAATACAAAGGCTGACAAATATGAGCAGGTGCTCCGACTGTACTTCGGTCATCCTGCTATAGAGGGGATCATGTTCTGGGGATACTGGGATGGCAGACATTGGCTACCAAAAGCTGCTCTTGCTAACGGTCCAAACGTAACAGTGAGTACTTCCTCTTCAACAATGTTATTTAATTTCGACCTTTTCGGACTTTCAAACCAGGTCGTCTAATCGCTAGTATTCATTCTTCTTCCCCTTAATGTACAAATGAGGGAGTATACGTCTAGACCAACTCTTCCAATACTTAACATATGAGGGCGGGTTAAGGTGAGATGGGTTTAAAGTCGCGTTCAAGATTTTTGCACTTATATTGCGACGTATGTGCACGTGTGTATTGCTGCTTGTATGATGCGGGTGTTATAATGCTAGCCCACTGAGATACCATGCTGCAGGTCAGCATGAATACCCCACTCAGACACACTCTACTGACTCCGATCTGACCAGTCCTTGTTGTATCCCCGTCATGCCGAGCGCCAGTCACGGTAACAACAAGTACCTTCCTTTAACGTATTTTTGGTTTGACGCTGCCATAGGATAAAACCATATACTACACGAGTAGCGACCTCATGAGAGATCGAAAAGATGAAATGGAGTCAGTGAGATGATGATAACGTTGTGTCCAAATATTCAGGTTTAAGTTGGTTCATTCACCCATCCTAATATATATGTTCCGGCTCCAGCTTATACTCACTCACTCGGACACCGCGGTCAAACTCCCGTGACCCAGCCACAGCATATTGTACATTCGATATTTACGCTTTCACCACAAACCGTTTATCAAAATCACTTTGTAAATATGTTCATTACGTCCAGATGAGATGTTTACATTGTCTGACATATTGTAAATGTGTATCATTTATGAATAATTTGTCCTATAAAATATCCCTTAGTGCCTTCGCAAATACTGCATAGAGTGTTAACATGCCCACACGGCAAAGATGTAAAGTATAGTCTCTGCACCTAATCACCTATATGAAATGCAATCATCTTATTGTATAGCAGTTAGAAATGATGTAACGTATCCCCAATATCTACTGACATAACGGATAAAGTAAACGTTTGACAAGTCAGGGACTAACCAGACGTAATATATACATAGAAACATATAGGACTGAGGTAGGCCATGATTTATATATTTTATTACCTGTAGGGTTACAAATACTTTAGTTCATAAAACATAAAAGACGTATTGCACTAGTGCAAATATCACTTCACGCCCACCGGTGTATTGTTTACGTCATCCGGACGGCATTGGTGACGTCATTCGAATGTTTTTGTGACGTAAGGTCGGCAAAACAACGTCATAGCTGAAAAATGTTGATGTCATTTCTGACACGTTGGTCGTGATTGGTGAATTTTTATAAATTGGGAGCTCATATTGATTAAGAAATAACGGGTAATAAAGAAAATATTTAACTCGCATATGTTTTTTTTGACACACTTATTCCTAATATAATAATCTCTATTTATTTTCTATTTGGGTACTTCATACTTCACTTGTAAGGAGTAATCGATTAAGAGAGTATTGTAAGAAATATCGAAATATTCGGGATACTGATGAGTTAATTTCATCCTCCAAAATTGTCAATTAGATATTACACTGCGGGTAAAATCAGATATTATGTCACTTAGTGAGATACATGGAAATATGGTTCAACATGTTTTGCACCAAATGATGCATTATCAAACTTTCTCGTGTTCTTATGTCGGTCATGTAGGACATGCCATTCCTCTACCAAGGTCACGCAAGAAGAACAGCATTTGGACTGGCTGAATCTCACGTGTTTGGTTGACGTGTGTGGATTGGTGTATTAAATCGAAGCCTCACGATATGATTTCTTGAATCGGAGTATCAAGTACTGCTGGATAGTAAGCCGTGGCCTCCACGGTGTAATCATGTGTCTCCCATGATTCTGTACAGTAGCAATCTTTATCAGTGTGTTCAATTCCTATTCTGTTTCTCACAGCCAAACGCTGCTGGGCGGAGGGTGAGGCAGTTGATCAAGGGGGAGTGGAGGACCAACGAGTCCCATTCTGTCCAGGAGGGACAGAACCTCCGAGTGAGAGGATTTAAGGGTGGTTACACGGTGCAGGTTAAACATAACGGTAACGTCATCAAGACCGAGCACTTCACTCTGGGTGGCAACGGTGTAGACCTGACTATCAGTCTGTCGGGATCAGGTACGTAGTACATACATCGGGTTAAATCCGGTCAAACTTCCAAAAGGCCTTTTTGTTTATGACAGGTCAAATCATGTAGGTTACTCGTGTCAAAATAGCCGGCTCGTCTGCAGCCTAAAAAGCGGCTTCATCAGTCATACTCACTTCCATTGGCAAGCTCATTGTTCCAGCAGACTCATTCTACAGGTTAGTGTTGAACTATATCAAAGATCGGGGTTGTCATCTTGCTCGTGGAACTTGTCTGAGGCACAAAATGTAAACAAACCACTGTCAGCCATTGACAGTTGTGAGGTGTGATTTCTCCTGATGTCGGTCAAGTTCTGCCACATCCAAGTTCGGGCTTTTGTTTTGATTTCTTTTATTATCTACTGGGGTAATTGCAAACTACCTAATAGAACTTTCTCATGTAAAATAAATAGTAGAATGTTAATTCATAACGTTTTTCTAAGATTGCGGACCTTCGTGTTGTTACGCATTGCAAGAGAGCACCGTTTTCAAAGCGTTGTTGAAATTTGATGTAGTCCCACTCTCTGCTCTGTATCTGCTCGACAGTGGAAGTGTTTCAAAACACAGTAGGTTTTTCTCCTTAACGTCAATGCATTAATCATATTACTAAATGTTTCTTTTGCGCTAAAAATCCCGGAACCTTTGAAACATGACAATGACGATGAAGTATCTTTTATCTTAAGGTTTGGCTATTGCCCATACAACAGTAAAAGACATTAAAGGACTAACGGTGTGGCTGGCAAAGGGAATTAGATTTAAAGCTTCATTATTATCTGAAATCCAGTTCTCAATACCGCACACAATATGTATTATCCATGTACCCCTATATACCCAGTTAACACCGCAGAACGGTGCACAATGATGTATTCTACCTGCTGGGAATGGGAATGTGTTCATCCTTCATACCCAGACTTTCATTACCTTAATGAACATGTACGAAGGTAACACGTAGTGGACATGAAGTGACAAATCTGACGAACATAACTATAACATTCACTATGTTGATACATAAATGGTAATAAATAGCAAACTGACAGCATCGAATGTACACCTCGATGCATATCTGTGACATGTGTCCTATACATGTTCCACTTCGGGCTTTCCTCCCACATTAAGCTGACACGCCATGATATGACTGGACTACTGTTAAAAGCGGCGATAAACCCAACTCACTCACTCACTATACATTTTACGGACCCTCACTTGCATGTAACGTGCTTTTCAATACTCCTTTTTTCCAGGGAACAACCCGCATGTTAACAACATCCTTATCGGATAGGTGCCGAGGTAATAAATGTTGCAACACTCACAGTTTTCTTTTTTTCTTTATAAGCAAATGAACATGAGTTGGTATTGGAAGGAGTTTCAGAAGTACTAGTTTCCGTAACTGCTGGGGAAATGGCAGTGCATGTACACCAGAGTAGCAATGTCCTTTGCTTGACTGAAGGAGGGACTACTTCCGTTACTGCAACATCTCTAATATGCATACAATTTGCGAACAATTTACATGGCGCGTCCTGTGTTACCCAACGATCCTCTGTATCTCCAGGGCCGGCATTTCATTAAACCTTCGTCACTACTTGGACCAATCCACAAGGTTTTCGCGATCTTAAATTACCTGCCCTTGATTTTCATCAACATTTTACCGACCACTCAAACGCCGAGATTAGGGAACAGAAAATGAATAAGGGAGGTAACTCGTACTGCCTACAAACCAAAGCCATCAATGCGACTGGCAGCCATGTTGTTGATATCGCCAACTCACCATTGAGTATGGTTTATCACAAGCATTGCCATTGGTACGATAGACCTTGTAGCGCAGCCAGTCAAATTGGCTGAAGGAAGTCAAGGGCAGGTAATTCAAGATCGCAAAAACCTTGCGGATGGGTCCAGGGATTAGTGTAGGTTTACCGAAATGTGATCCCTGGATATATAGAGGATGTGTGGGGCACTAGACATGTCTGATTGAATCTTAAAACGTATCACAACCGTAGACTACGTGTTACGTATACCAGTCTATTCTGGTACGAAATACACTCAGAGTGCAGAGCGACAACTGTTTACTTTCTTCAACTGATCAATGAAGTCCTCACTTTGTGCGATGATATGACACTAGCAAATCTTTTGGAATTTAAATGAAACGTACCACGTGTCTCCAGTCATGTAAACACCTTGGACCTCGACAACGTTTTACCGAGAAATCCCTTCACTCGAAAATAGATAGACCCAGGTAAACCCCCGACATTGCATAGGTCATTAGCAGTCATTGGTATTAACATTTGTGCATGACTAAGCTTGGTGATATCATAACCAACTTGGATTGTAGTTGCGGTGAGGAGAAACATTGTATTTGATATTCGTTAAGAAATTTAAAAGGAAATTGATAGTCTCGGTACTCATGGTTGTAGGGGGGGGCGGTCGGGTAGCCTAGTGGTTAAAGCGTTCGCTCGTCACGCAGAAGACCCGGGTTCGATTCCCGACATGGGTACAATGTGTGAAGCCCATTTCTGGTGTCCCCCGCCGTGATATTGCTGGAATATTGCTAAAAGCGGCGTAAAACCATATTCACCCACTCACTCACTCATGGTTGTAGGTTTACCACGTGCCAGATACATTTCATGCAAAATTACTTTGTTCTCTACACAAGTACGTTTCCAAGGAACAATAATCATTGAGGATTTTCTGCAAGTTTAATTTTATCGAGTGACATTAGAGATATACTGAACAACAAAAGTGTCTGTGACATTGAATAAAATTAAATGCAAAGTTATGTTTTTTACCAAATCTGAAACAATTTCGGTTTGCAACAGATAAAAGACTCCTGTAAGTGTTCAAATGGTTTAATTTTCCATACTGATTTCAGAAAATGCGTGATTTCATAAAAAACAAGGACATGCCAAAATGTCAAATCAAATTTACAAATCAATAGCGTGTGTGTCCACCTCTGGTTGCGATGCAAGCAACACATCTTCGTCTCATGGAATGAACCAGGCGTTGCACAAAGTCCTGTGGGATATCTGTCCATATCTGCTGGAACATGTTTCGAAGTTCCTGGAGTGTCTGTGGAACACGTGGTTGACGTCAAAGGCGCCGATCCATCTCATCCACATGTGCTCGATTGGTGAGAGATCATGGGGGGGGGGGGGGGGCGGCCAGGGGAAGACATTCACGTTGTTTTGTTGAAGAGAATCCTAAACAAGTCGAGCAATATGAGGCCGGGCGTTGAAAGGTAATGCCTGGACCTGACGTAATGCCTGACGTAACCTTCACCTCGACGTCGGTACACTCCAATCCGTCCATCGCTGTGGCTGAGGTGAAAACGAGGCTCGTCAGTGAATAGAACTTGTCCCCACTGCATGGCCGTCCAGCGTAGACGCTGTCTGCACCACTGTAGACGTGCTTGACGGTTGTTTCCTGTCAAAACTGGACGTCTGGCGGGTCTTCTGGCGACAATCCCTGCACATCTGAGGCGACGACGACGGTTTGTGAAGATATTCGTCGAAGGCCACGGATGATTCTTGCAGTCACTGCTGGCTGGAATCGATTTTGAAGGTGTGTTGTTCGAATCCAGTTGTCTTGTCGATTATTGGTTACGCGTGGCCTGCCTCTTCGAGGATGGTCTCTGACTGCATTCGTCTGTTGCCAACGTTGCCATAAACACCAAATGGTGTTTCTGTGGACGTTAAATTGTCTTGCAATATCACGTTGACTCGATCCTGCTTCAAGCATACCAATGGCTCGCAGACGCTCATTTTCGGTCAGGCTAGGCATTTCGTAATGTTGATTAATTGCGTAAGTTTTTATTTTTTCTTCTGGGTGGTTGTTGTCATCACGATGCTAAACAATGCATCGGGAATCCCATTAACGCACATGCTTTTTATACCCATTTTTGGGTACTGAAATGCATGAGGCTGGCATAAAAACCAACTTTTGCATGGAATGCATGCTTTTCTGCAGAAGTTGCGTTTTTGTGACCTGATTCCATACATGTACTACAATATTGAAAACCAAACTTTACTTGTTTGAAAAATACACCAAAATATTGGTGTCACAGAAACTTTTGTTGTTGAGTATATATTGTCTTGTTACTAATATTAATTTTCTTTTCATGATTGTTAAGCCCACGTTGCTAATTGCAAATATCATTTCGTAAACTTTACATTATTTGTCAAAACATTTGTCCGTTGTTGCTGCACAGGGGTGTTTGTCGTCATCTCATCGTATTTCAAGTGTGATCACTTGGACCCAAGGTTAACTTATGACATGTTGTTGTCCGTTGTCTGTCCGTCATAGCATAGCATAGCATAGCATAGCATAGCATAGCATAGCATAGCATAGCATAGCATACGACACCCCGTCTATCCTCTCCATCTATCCCCTGCGATGCTCCATTTGTCCCCCTCTACTCTCCGTCCATCCCCAACGACGCCCCATCTATCCCCTTTTACTCTCAATCTATCCCCTACGGCACCCAATCTGTCCTACTACTCTCAATCTATCCCCTGCGACGCGCCATCTATCCCCTTCTACTCTCCTTCTGGGGGCCTGGGTGGCCCAGTCGTCTAAGGTGCCGCCAATTGATGTGCAGAGTAGCGTCCCTTAGTCACACCAGAAACCTATGATTGTGGGTTCGAATCCCGGTTCACCCCGATTATGTTTCTCGGTTTGTCAGCACCATACCCGTGCTCGTGGGTTTCACCGAAGTAGGAAACGTCTGAGACCTGCATCACTTCGGGCTTTCCTCCCACATTAAGCTGACACGCCGTGATATAACTGGAAAACTGTTAAAAGCGGTGTTAAACCCAACTCACTCACTCACTCACTAATCTCCATCTATCACCTACGACGCTCGATCTATCCCCTACGACGCTCCATATATCCTCCTACTCTCCATCTATACCCTACGACGCTCCATCTTTCCCCTTCTACTCTCCATCTATCCCCTGCGACATTCCATCTATCCCCTACGACGCTCCATCTATCCCCTACGGCATCCCATCTATCCCCTTCTACTCTCCCTCTATCCCCTGCAACGCTCCATCTATCCCCTTCTACTCTCCATTTGTCCCTTACACACCCCATCGGTCCTACTACTCTCCATCTATCCCCTACGACGCTCCATCTATCCCCTTCTACTCTCCAACTTTCCCTGCGACGCGCCATCTATCCCCTGCGTTGCTCCATATATACCTACGGCACCCCATATATCCCCTTCTACTCTCCATCCATCCCCTACGACGCTCCATGTATCCCCTTCTACTCTCCATCCATCCCCTACGACGCTCCATGTATCCCCTTCTACTCTCCATGTATCCCCTTCTACTCTCCATGTATCCCCTTCTACTCTCCATCTATCCCCTTCTACTCTCCATTTGTCCCTTACACACCCCATCGGTTCTACTATCCCTGCGACGCGCCATCTATCCCCTGCGACGCTCCATCTATCCCCTTCTACTCTCGATCTATCCCCTGCTACGCTCCATATATACCTACGGCACCCCATATATCCCCTTCTTCTCTCCATCTATCCCCTTCTACTCTCCATTTATCCCTTACACACCCCATCGGTTCTACTATCCCTGCGACGCGCAATCTATCCCCTGCGACGCTCCATCTATCCCCTTCTACTCTCGATCTATCCCCTGCTACGCTCCATATATACCTACGGCACCCCATATATCCCCTTCTTCTCTCCATCTGTCCCTTACGACACCCCATCTGTCTTACTATTCTCCATCTATCCCCTTCTACTCTCCATCTTTCCCCTGCGACGCTCCATAAATCCCCTACGGCACCCCATATATCCCCTTCTACTCTCCATCTTTCCCCTACGGCACCCCATCTATTCCCTTCTACTCTCCATCTATCCCCTGCGACGCTCCATAAATCCCCTACGGCACCCTATATATCCCCTTCTTCTCTCCATCTATCCCCTGTCAAGCGCCATCTATCCCCATCTACTCTCCATCTATTCCCTTCTACTCTCCATCTTTCCCCTACGGCACCCCATCTATTCCCTTCTACTCTCCATTTATACCCTGCAACGCTCCATCTATCCTCTTCTACTCTCAATTTGTCCCTTACGGCACCCTATCTGTCCTACTACTCTCCATCTATCCCTGCGACGCTCCATCTATCCCCTACGACGCTCCATCTATCCCTTTCAACTCTCCATATATCCCCTGCCACGCTCGATCTATCCCCTGCCACGCTCCATCTATCCCCTACGACGCTCCATCTATCCCCTTCTACTCTCCATCTATTCCCCTTCTACCCTCCATATATCCCCTACGGCACCCCATCTATCCCCTTCTACTCTCCATCTATCCATGCGACGCTCCATCTATCCCCTACGATGCAACATCTATCCCCTTCTACTCTCCATATATCCCCTACGGCACCCCATCTATCCCCTTCTACTCGCCATCTATCCATGCGACGCTCCATCTATCCCCTACGACGCAACATCTATTCCCTTCTACTCTTCATCTATCCCCTACGGCACCCCATATATCCCCTTCTACTCTCCATCTTTCCCCTACGGCACCCCATCTATTCCCTTCTACTCTCAATCTATCCCCTGCGACGCTCCATAAATCCCCTACGGCACCCATTATATCCCCTTCTCCTCTCCATCTATCCCCTGTCAAGCGCCATCTATACCCGTCTACTCTCCATCTATTCCCTTCTACTCTCCATATATCCCCTACGGCACCCCATCTATCCCCTTCTACTTTCCATCTTTCCCCTACGGCACCCCATATATCCCCTTCTACTCTCCATCCATCCCCTACGGCACCCCATCTATTCCCTTCTACTCTCCATTTATACCCTGCAACGCTCCATCTTTCCCCTTCTACTCTCAATGTGTCCCTTACGGCACCCTATCTGTCCTACTACTCTCCATCTATCCCTGCGACGCTCCATCTATCCCCTACGACGCTCCATTTATCCCCCTCTACTCACCATCTATCCCCTGCAACGCTCCATCTATCCCCTGCGACTCTCCATCTATCCCCTGCGACTCTCCATCTATCCCCTGCGACTCTCAATCTATCCCCTGCGACGCTCCATCTATCCCCTGCGACACTCCATCTATCCCCTGCGACGCTCCATCTATCCCCCTTCTACTCTCCATCTATCCCCTGCCACACTTCATTTATCCCCTTCTACTCTCCATCTATCCCCTACGGCACCCAATCTATCCCCTACTACTCTCCATCGATCCCCTGCCACACTCCATTTATCCCCTTCTACTCTCCATCTATCCCCTACGGCACCCAATCTATCCCCTACTACTCTCCATCTATCCCCTGCCACACTCCATCTATCCCCCCTTCTACCCTCCATCTATGCCCTGCCACACTCTATTTATCCCCTTCTACTCTCCATCTATCCCCTACAGCACCCCATCTATCCCCTTCTACACTCCATCTATCCCCTGCGACGCTCCATATATCCCCTACGGCACCCAATATATCCCCTTCTATTCTCCATCTATCCCCTGCCACACTCCATTCATCCCCTTCTACTCTCCATCTATCACCTACGGCACCCATTCTATCCCCTACTACTCACCATCTACCCCCTGCGACGCTCCATATATACCCTATGGCACCCAATATATCACCTTCTACTTTCCATCTATCCCCTGTCACGCGCCATCTGTCCCCTACGACACACCATCTGCCCCCTACGACCCACCTTCTGCCCCCTACGAACCACCATCTGCCCCCTACGATACACCATCTGCCCACTACGACACACCATCTGCCCCCTAAGACCCACCATCTGTCCCCCTACGACCCACCATCTGCCCCCTACGACACACCATCTGCCCCCTACGATCCACCATCTACCCACTACGACCCACCATCTACCCCTACGAATCATCATCTGCCCCCTACGACACACCATCTGCCCACTACGACACACCATCTGCCCCCTACGACATACCATCTGCCCCCTACGACCCACCATCTGCCCCCTACGACCCACCATCTGCCCCCTACGACCCACCATCTAGCCCTTACAACCCAACATCTGCCCCCTACGACACACCATCTGCCCTCTACGACCCACCATCTACCCCCTACGACCCTACATCTACCCCTTACGACCCACCATCTACCCCGTACGACACACCATCTGCCCCCTACGACACACCATCTACCCCTTACGACACACCATCTGCCCCCTACGACACATCATGTATCCCCTACGACACACCATCTGCCCCCTACGACACACCATCTGCCCCCTACGACACACCATCTGCCCCCTACAACACACCATCTGCCCCCTACAACACACCATGTATCCCCTACAACACACCATCTGCCCCCTACAACACACCACCTGCCCCCTACAACACACCATGTATTCCCTACAACACACCATCTGCCCCCTACGACACATCATGTATCCCCTACAACACACCAGCTGCCCCCTACAACACACCACCTGCCCCCTACAACACACCATGTATCCCCTACGACACACCATCCTCCTCTACGACACACCATCTGCCCCCAACAACACACCATGAATCCCCTACAACACACACCATGTAACCCCTACAACATACCATCTGCCCCCTACGACACACCATCTGCCCCCTACGACACACCATGAATCCCCTACATCACACACCATGTAACCCCTACAACACACCATCTGCCCCAGATGACACACCATCTGCCCCCTACGACACACAATCTACCCCCTACGACCCACCATGTATCCCCTACAACACACCATCTACCCCCTACAACACACCGTCTGCCCCCTACGACACACCATCTCCCCCCTACGACACACCATCTGCCCCCTACGACACACCATCTGCCCCCTACGACACACCATGTATTCCCTACAACACACCATCTGCCCCCTACGACACACCATGTATCCCCTACAACACACCATCTGCCCCCTACAACACACCACCTGCCCCCTACAACACACCATGTATACCCTACAACACACCATCTGCCCCCTACGACACACCATGTATCCCCTACAACACACCAGCTGCCCCCTACAACACACCACCTGCCCCCTACAACACACCATGTATCCCCTACGACACACCATCCTCCTCTACGACACACCATCTGCCCCCTACGACACACCATCTGCCCCCTACGACAAACCATCCTCCTCTACGACACACCATCTGCCCCCTACGACACACCATCCTCCTCTACGACACACCATCTGCCCCCTACAACACACCATCCTCCTCTACGACACACCATCTGCCCCCTACGACACACCATCTGCCCCCTACGACAAACCATCCTCCTCTACGACACACCATCTGCCCCCAACAACACACAATGAATCCCCTACAACACACACCATGTAACCCCTACAACACACCATCTGCCCCCTACGACACACCATCTGCCCCCTACAACACACCATCCTCCTCTACGACACACCATCTGCCCCAAACAACACACCATGAATCCCCTACAACACACACCATGTAACCCCTACAACACACCATCTGCCCCCTACGACACACCATGTATCCCCTAAAACACACCATCTGCCCCCTACGACACACCATCTGCCCCCTACGACAAACCATCCTCCTCTACGACACACCATCTGCCCCCAACAACACACCATGAATCCCCTACAACACACACCATGTAACCCCTACAACACACCATCTGCCCCCTACGACACACCATCTGCCCCCTACAACACACCATCCTCCTCTACGACACACCATCTGCCCCAAACAACACACCATGAATCCCCTACAACACACACCATGTAACCCCTACAACACACCATCTGCCCCCTACGACACACCATGTATCCCCTAAAACACACCATCTGCCCCCTACGACACACCATGTATCCCCTACGACATACCATCTACCCCCTACAACACACCATCTGCCCCCTACAACACACCATGTATTCTCTACAACACACCATTTGCCCCCTACGACACACCATCTGCCCCCTACGACACACAATCTACCCCCTACGACCCACCATGTATCCCCTACAACACACCATCTACCCCCTACAACACACCGTCTGCCCCCTACGACACACCATCTCCCCCCTACGACACACCATATGCCCCCTACGACACACCATCTGCCCCCTACGACACACCATGTATCCCCTACAACACACCATGTATTCCCTACAACACACCATGTATCCCCTACGACCCACCATCTTCCCCCTACGACACACCACCTGCGCCCTACAACACACCATGTATCCCCTAGAACACACCATGTATTCCCTACAACACACCATGTATCCCCTACGACCCACCATCTTCCCCCTACGACACACCATCTGCCCCCTACGACACACCATGTATCCCCTACAACACACCATGTATTCCCTACAACATACCATGTATCCCCTACAACACACCATCTTCCCCCTACGACACACCACCTGCCCCCTACAACACACCATGTATTCCCTACAACACACCATCTGCCCCCTACGACACACCACCTGCCCCCTACAACACACCATGTATTCCCTACAACACACCATCTGCCCCCTACGACACACCATGTATCCCCTACAACACACCAGCTGCCCCCTACAACACACCACCTGCCCCCTACAACACACCATGTATCCCCTACGACACACCATCCTCCTCTACGACACACCATCTGCCCCCTACAACACACCATGAATCCCCTACAACACACACCATGTAACCCCTACAACACACCATCTGCCCCCTACGACACACCATGTATCCCCTAAAACACACCATCTGCCCCCTACGACACACCATGTATCCCCTACGACATACCATCTACCCCCTACAACACACCATCTGCCCCCTACAACACACCATGTATTCTCTACAACACACCATTTGCCCCCTACGACACACCATCTGCCCCCTACGACACACAATCTACCCCCTACGACCCACCATGTATCCCCTACAACACACCATCTACCCCCTACAACACACCGTCTGCCCCCTACGACACACCATCTCCCCCCTACGACACACCATATGCCCCCTACGACACACCATCTGCCCCCTACGACACACCATGTATCCCCTACAACACACCATGTATTCCCTACAACACACCATCTGCCCCCTACAACATACCATCTGCCCCCTACGACACACCATGTATCCCCTACAACACACCAGCTGCCCCCTACAACACACCACCTGCCCCCTACAACACACCACCTGCCCCCTACAACACACCATGTATCCCCTACAACACACCATCTGCCCCCTACGACACATCATGTAACCCCTACAACACACCAGCTGCCCCCTACAACACACCACCTGCCCCCTACAACACACCACCTGCCCCCTACAACACACCATGTATCCCCTACGACACACCATCCTCCTCTACGACACACCATCTGCCCCCAACAACACACCATGAATCCCCTACAACACACACCATGTAACCCCTACAACACACCATCTGCCCCCTACGACACACCATGTATCCCCTACAACACACCATCTGCCCCCTACGACACACCATGTATCCCCTACGACATACCATGTATCCCCTACAACCCACCATCTTCCCCCTACGACACACCATCTGCCCCCTACGACACACCATGTATCCCCTACAACACACCATGTTTCCCCTACAACACACCATCTGCACCCTACAACACACCATCTGCCCCCTACAACACACCATCTGCCCCCTACGACACACCATGTATCCCCTACAACACACCATGTATCCCCTACAACACACCATCTGCCCCCTACGACACACCATGTATCCCCTACAACACACCATGTATCCCCTACAACATACCATCTGCCCCCTACGACACACCATGTATCCCCTACGACACACCATGTATCCCCTACAACACACCATGTATCCCCTACAACACACCATAAAAATGTCTGAGTTCATAGATTTTCCAAGAAATGTCTTTCATTATTCCTGCAACGACTTGTGGCTCAATATTGACGATAAACACGTGCATGATTCACCCAAAGTACTTGATTACTGGTACATTACACATAAATCACAGCGTGACTTCCAGATAAACCCTTTTCAGTGTTTACACACGAAGTAAAGCTGAGTCATTTGCGCCTTCTGTTGCAAAGTTGTCGACCATGACCTGAAACGTTATGCGATCACCCATCCCGTGATCTGGCACATTCCAGAACAACAAAGAACTTGTTGAGCTGCGTATACCGAACGTGTGACTGAATCTTCTTCCTGGTGGCTCGTGTTTCATTTTCTTTTACGATTCCAGGATTTGCAAAGCAGGTGCCCCGACAACTCGGCGTCAACAGATATTTTCATATTGTCTTGCTTTTATTCAAGGTGCACACGTGATTTGATGCACTTCTCGGTGCATCACAATATAGATCTTGATTATCGAGCAGATCGTCATGACTGTGGGCCGCCAATTTGTTTGAACGTAAATGCAAGTGATATAAGAGGTGGAATCTGATTGGTCAATGGGGAAGGCATAGAAGGAATTCCAGCCTAGTTCGGCAAGGGTGGAAACTTGGCTTTTATAGTCAGTTAACTCCCTTGCCTCGGGGAGATGCAAATTTGATAGGTGAAGAAAACGGTTAAATTATTGATTTCTGAGTGTGTTCAAAACGAGTGAAAAGTAAACTTCAAGAGAAAATCTAAGCACCGGCAAGTCCGAGACCCAGAAATGTTGTACCATACGTTTGTTCTACTTTAGCTACATGTTCTGAAGAAAATCGGCTTCATCATATTTAAATATTAGAAAAATACACTTTCTGAAAGACTCTAACATCAACCTTTATGACACATTTTAGATTTATTTGTTGGGGCTGAGTGAAGGTGAAAGTCACATTAGCAGTGTTTAAGTCATTGTTCCACACTAGGAACATACTGTGCATTGATAATAGTATATTCAAAATTGTCAACGATGAACAGGTCACTATAACCACATACCTATTTGTAAAACTAATTTAATAATATTTAGAATAGAAAAATATTGTTGAACAACACAAAACAATATATAAACGGACTAAAGATCGTCGGCAACACATCACACAAGAGACCGCAGGGGCTTACGTCACCTCTGCGACCAACAGGGGGCCTGTCCTCATCTGGCCTACACCTCATATCGCCTACACACCTATCAAAACAAATTTATGGATGAGTGCACATCACACTCGTACCCTTATCCCTTAAGTATAATGAACTCTTCCAACAAGATCACAAAGAATGTAAATGACTTTTGATACTGTAATTTCATTTTGTATATGAGATCATCTTCACAACTCAAATGTTTTCACAACATCAAATATCATAAATACACATGTATTATCATAGCACTGTACATTTATATCCATCATCTTCATGTTTTATAACATTAGCACCACATCATTACTAGCAAAATTACTGTAATTTGATTAAATGTGTGTCGGTAGAGAGCAGCCTGGACACTGCCAAAGGACGGCATCGTGGCAGCAACATCTTCGACAGCTCGGTCGAGTTGGGCGTTGTAGATCTGCTGAACAGAGTTGATGTCTGTCTTCACTTGCTCCTTCATTCTGGCGATGATGCGTATGTGTTCTACATTCTCGGTAGGTGGATGACTGTCAGGCTTGGTTGATGTAATGTGGTCGCCAATGGTGCTGCATCTGCCATTTAGATATTAAGTACGTCTATTGTTAGTGTCGTCGCATTCAAGTCTGATTCAGGTATGGTGGCACATAGTTCCAGGGTACATATCATAACCGAATGGCTATGTAATACACTGGATAATCGAAGGTTTAACGCCTTTAACAGCGCGAGGGCTCGTGTACAAGGTGGAAAGCTTTGGTTATAGAAGGGCCATTGTCAGAATAGCTTTTAAGTTACACAATTTTTGTGGTCATTGTATGTTTTTGTAATGAAGCCTAATCACAGGCAAGGTATTTGAAGGCTGGGGTCCCCCCAAGGGCCAGGTTTTTGTGGTAACCTTCCAATTGTCAGACGGCCCAATTGTCAAGCAGCTTATACTGGGATTAGGTTAGGTTGATTGCACTAGTAACTGTTACCTGTTTATCTTAGCCGAAAGTGAGACTGCCCTATGGGCGGCCATTCGGTCAAAGAAAACAAAATTGAAATAATGGACAAAAGTATGCAATAATAGTTAATTGTTACGAATAAAGAATGAACGATACAAATAAATGTGATTGTTTACATACAAATAATGAATTCAAAATACTAAACGATATCAATGAACAACTCGCAAACAAAAGTCGTCACATGTTACGAAAGAACAATGTGTACTAAAAACGTCAGTGCACAAATAATACACTAAACAGCTAAAGGACAACGTTGAATAAAAGAACGCAAGATGGCACTGCAATTTGTGGAACATTCCGAGTTAAATCGGCTTTTTCTGCTGTGTATATGATAAATGCATGCCAAACTACTCAGTGTTTTACGTCATGACCTCTCCCTCTTTGGGACTTGCTGAACTTATTTAGCGATGTGCATGCACGTGTGCATGTGCGCGTGTGAGTGTGTGCGAATGCACGTATGCGTGTGTATGTGTGTGTCGGTGTCTCTGTGTGTATGTGTGTGCGTTTGTTTCGATGTGTGTGTGTCGGTGTGTGTGTCTGTGTCTGCTTGTATAAGTCCGGACTAATGCCAATTTAATAAAGCTAACCAACTGAGATACATCTACCATGCCGTAGTGAATACCCCACTAAGACAGTTTATTATTCAATTATTATTCAATGCAGTCATTAACAAAAACATGATCTTACATATGTCCAATATACTGTTAGCAGAGCAATCGAATTGCAGAATTGTATATATTGGTCCTCATGGTACCGCCCAATTATTCAGCCATGTCATACATTAACTCACGTACTGGGAATCTGCAAGGGAGGATAGTATGCACAATAACAAGTACAGATGGACGACACTGATTCTACTTGAAACTGGCCCCCGTGAAGATCCGGGTTAGAATTTGACTTCAGCAACCCATGCTTATCGCAGGAGGTGAATAACGGGATCAGGTGAACATGGTCACTCGGGTTTGCTACCCGGAATACGGCCCTTCTGACAACCCGGGTTATGCAGGAGGCTGCTGTGTTGGGGAGTCTTCACATTCTACGAAAGTTCTGGGTGGGTTCGACAAGGCAGTGCTTCCTGGGAGAAGTCCCATTCGCTATCTGGGCTGCATCCCACGTAATTGGGACACGGTGATGTGCATCAACCATGTCAGCGAGCCTGACAACCCGATCCCGTTAGTCGCTTCTTACGACAAGAAGAGTCGACTTTTACGGCGAGCATGGGTTGTTGAAGACCAATTCTAACCCGTAGCTTCACTTGTCTCTCAATATGCAGCAGGTAAACAGCACACATCTTTGTAATGTTACGTCGTTCTATTTACTGTTTTATAAGGATTCTAAAAAACCAACAGTACCATTTGCTTAATTGGTCTGTCACAACGTTATTGTTTCTGTTGTAAATCTCAATACTGTTCTGCAGGGTGAATTCCCTTGATGTCAACAATGGTGCCGGTCGTAACGTATATGACGGTTGCCATTGACGGAATATTACTCACGGGTATAGGTTACATTTCATGCGTCAGGACACTAAAAGCTGTAGGACGCTCATCAATATTTTCTTTAACTGTGTGCATAACACAACAAATGTAACATTAAAAGCAGTTACAAAGTTTAACTGTTTAGTAAGTGTGACTTTTTCGGAACAAGTAAATGTTTTGGCCCGAGAATACGTTGACTCATGCTCGAATGAGGAAATTACCCGATGCATCATTCTGCTGACGGAATATGTGGACATTCATTGACAAGGCAGATGTTCAGTATTTTATGTAGAGTCGACGCCATGTTCTATGACCACTCTCTTTCCCTTATAAAGAGAAGATAACTTTATCTGACAGAAATATATACAAGAGCATATCACTGTAAACATATACAAAATTGAACTATTAAAAAAATGAGCATTTATTTTGTTCAATTAGATCTAACAGACATATTTCTGATGATGTATATCTGTATTTTGACTTGTCCAAGAAATTTGGTTAATACCAATCTCCGTAGAACATGTGTTGCCCAGCTAGTTATATGTAAATGTATAAATAACGAGGGTATTTCGAGGGTATGAGATTACAACTTAAGAAAACGTAAGCTGAAGTGGAAACATTTGACACTGCTCTATGCTGTTGTTTTGTGTTCATCCGGAGCCTCGTTCGCGGATGCTACGTCAAGATGTACCCAACCAGTGAACGGCGTACACGAGGAGCACTGAACCGAGACGTGACTTGCGCTGTTGTAATTCCCGGGCATTTATCGGTGAGGAGAACTGTAGGCTGTGTTCTGCGCCGGGTAAGTATGCCTAATATTGTCAGCATCATGGATGGAAGGAGGTTATTTATTATTGTATCCGCATCCAAGATAAGTGTCCTACATGCCTTGTAAGCTACAATGTTAAGCTTGTTATGCCACAACGGTAATACTAATTTTCAACCTCGTCTCATTGTTTGGCTACGCTTGACAAATCCTTGTGAGGGACTTTATATTTTACCCTCCTTGAAGCGAACATACTACTTTAGGTGGGTCAGTGAGTCCGATGTAACTGCCTGTTCTTGTTTTTTATCTTGTTGCCGAAAGTCGGTGAATACCCGGACTGTCGGGGTGACAGATACACTGTTTCATGCATGGATACCTTTGCGTCATTGCTAGTCAATGTCATGAGTTTATATTCGTTGCCCACATTAAATATTTACTTTAACGAAAATTCTTTATCATACATTAAATATGATTATGTACAAAATCAAATCTAACAAAAATATTCTTGAAAACTTGAAGACCGCTGTTGTAAATGAAGGAATACACAATAGTGCTTGCGAACACGAACAATCTCTATTGACGAGTAAAATGAGAAATGTAAAGCGAAACATTAAAAACTGATATTAACTCCATAAAAGACCACCTGTCAACGTTTTGCCTTGCCAATGTGGAAATAACGTGAAAAAATAGTCAAGAGTTTGTGTTCGGGCTTAACACTTTCGATAAAGGGAGACAATTTAAGGGGAGGTCATTCTTGTACTGCAGTGAAAATATCACTTTTTCTCAACTTCAGAAACCTGAGTCTTTCACACTAAAGTATATAATACTATGCATATCTCTCTCTTATTTTTGCACAGTTTGGTGCAATGCAACTGATGCATTCACTGTATATAAATCATAAAATGTAATGCAAACATTACAGTATTTATTACTGAACAGCTGTGAAATTTTACATTTATATTCTAAGCACCCCATATGAATATATGAACGTGTAGCTGGAATGTATCAGGTGCTTTGCACGAGTCTAATGTTGACTTGCCATTCTACAATGATCACCGATATCTGTCACTCCCTCATATATTACTACAATCTGACATCATTCACTCTCACATAAACTTAGTATTTGTATTTCAATTGATTGAGTTGTGATAACTATATAACTTAGTTTATCATTTTTATGTTGTGTGAACACAGTTCAGTTGTCATCTTATTGCTTCCAAAGGGCTGTTTGACTGAGTGAGTAGTAAAACTCACTGTTAAAACAGACTATAGTCAACAGAGCATTGGACCGAAACCGTTATAGACTACTAATCCTTTCAGAAGATTGAACAATTGGGAACAATTACTGTACTTCAATGTCTTCCCGCAGACAACACGTGCTCAGTACAGGTGTCACCTTCTGGAGCCTCGGTTACACTTCACTTCACTTCACTTTATTCTCCAGAGAACCACGCATGGTGGTATTAGAGTACATTTTACATGTCAATCATTATATACAAGCAGTCAAAATGGCGGCGGACTAAAACAAAATATTGTAGGTAAACAATGGTAGATATAGTAAGCATGTCTATTATCTAAGTTTTGATATTACAGAGAAGATAACATTTATAAACTTTGCTAAGTTTCTTAAAACAGTGAAACCTGATGATGTAAACAACCGTCTATAAGATACCATATTTGAAAATTTGGTTAGTTTTGTTGAAATAAAACTTTTTCTATTTTCATCAAAAGCAGGACAACGAAATATATAATGAAACTCGTCTGCAATTGTCGGAGAGTCACACTATTTACAAGTTCTAAATTCCCTTGGAGTATTATACCAACGCCCTGTCTCAATAGGTAAACAATGATTGGATTTTCTAAATTTTAATATTGGGTAGTAAATATATTTGGGCAATAAGATAAAGGCATCAAGTGATGGTAGGGTCTTAATGTGTTTATAATATTGTCCCTTAGGACTTACTTCTGTTGCATTCCTCCACACTTGGTAAAAGTGATCTTTTAGTGTCGTTTCTACTTTATTAAGCAGCCATGTTCTGTTAAAATTACCTGGGAACATATAAACATTACTTTATGAGTACATGAGTTACAGTACAGTACCGAGGATAACTTGAGGTGAGACAGGGGCGTGTTGAGTTTATACCAATAACTAATAATTCTTTTAGAAACATGGATGCTGATAGGAAATCTTCCAAATTCACCATATAAGAAATAATTCGGTGTGGACGTTCTGAGACCAGAGGCTAATTTTAAAAACTTGGTATGTATATTTTCAAGTATATCTATTTTAACATGTCCCCAAAATTCAGAGCCATATAACATAATGGGTAAAATCATTAAATCGAATGCTTTAAAAACGCAGTCAAGTGGTAAATCATTGCCACTTTCAATAACAAAAACATACATTTCTTAGCTTGTGTGGCTAGAACACTTATACCAAATGTCAATTTTCTAGTGTTGTGAAAGTTAAAACCTAGATATTTATAATTATCAACTATTTCAATTTCTTCTTTGCCATAGTAAAATGATAGCTTATTTACTCTACACTTACCACTTCCAAAAATAACAATTTTAGTTTTATCACTATTTAAAGTTGGTTTCCATTTCTGACAATATACTGTACATGAAAATAACCCAGGGACCTCTGCAGGGCTGACGCTGAAGTAGCAAATAGCACTGTATCGTCTGCATATAACAGAACTAGTAGTTGTAGACAAACTAAATTCAAATCATGTTTGCTGGATATATCCACACCATTACAATCAAATTTTTTTAGCCAGGATTCTAAATCATTTATAAAGATAGAAAACAATAACGGAGAAAGGTTTTCTCCCTGTCGGACCCCCGAAAATCTTGGGAAAAACGCAGATTTTTCATGATTAAGCTCGATACAGGATTTTATATTGGAATACATATTTTGTACTAATGTAAGGAATTTTAAGTTAACATTTTTGACCAAAAACCAACTCTCCAAACGTTTTTAAAAGCTTTAGAAAAGACAATGAATGCACAGTACAATTTCTGTTTGTTGTGTTTTAGGAATTCTATAACTAAATTAAGAACAAACATGTTATCAACTGTTGAGTAACCTTTACGAAAACCGGCTTGGCAAGGGGCTAAAAAAGAGTTAATGTTTATAAATCTGGATAATCTACAGTTAAGTATACTTGCAAAACGTTTTCCCAGACAGATCAAAATTGTAATGGGTCTATACGAACTAGGATCACACGAGTCACCTTTACCTTTATAGATAGGTTTAATGACCCCAATTAACCATGAGTCGGGAACTTCACCTGTGTCAAGTACGACATTAAAAAGTTTCTCTAAAAATGGGAGAAATAAATCTATTGAGTCAATTATATATTCGGTTTCTACAAAGTCTTCACCTGATGCTTTATTTCTTTTCAGTTGTGATACTGATTCACTAATTTCTTGTTATGTTACGGCAACATTAAGAACTGAGAAATCTATGGGTACATGTGTATTATTAATATCTTCAGGAACTGTATCATCATACTCTTGTGCGTTTATATTCTTAAAGTATTCATATAGTTCATTAACACTAGGGGATGAGTCATTATGCGCAGGCTTACGTTTACGCAGTAATTTCCAGTAGTCCCTTGGGTTCTTCTTCTGCCAATCTCTAATTTCAACGGCTAATTTCATATATTTGTTCTTACATTTCTTATACTCCTTAGCTGCATGAATAAAGTAAACTGACGTCCAAAAGAAACTTTACCAGAGTTTGAAATCACTCTTGCTCAAAAACAACAAAACATACATGCATGAAGTAAAGTGTATTGAGAAGATCAATATATCAACATAATCAACACTGAAAATGACAATCATACCGCGACCGAAAATGACGTCAGAGCCCCCCAAAGTTGGGTGTGGTACAAAACTCGAGCTTTCAGAATCATGAACAATAGGCAGAGTACATAAACAATCGCTCACGTTTAATAACAAGTCATTAGTAGCGTGTGTGACCACCCAATGCCTCAATACACGCAAAAACTCTTCGACGCACAGAAAAAGTCAGTCGTCTGATGAGGTCACGTGGGATTTGACGCCATTCTTCTCGGAGGGCCAAGATCAGTTCTTGCCGGTTGGCTGGAGAGTGTGGTCGTTGTCGAACACGACGATCCATCAAGTCCCAGAGGTGTTCTATGGGGGACATGTAGGGTGAGCGTGCAGGCCACGGCAAGGCGTTGACGTTGTTGGCTGCGAGGAAGTTAGTGAAAATTCTGGCTGTATGGCTCTAGCGTTGTCATGCTGATAAATGACACCACGTGGCTGCTGTTGGAGAAATGGTAGGACAACTGGACGAAGAATGTTATCCATGTAACGCTGAGCTGTCAAGTTTCCGTCAACGATGACCAGCGGTGTCCTCTCCTGCCCACAGATCCCTCCCCATACCATGACACTCCCTCCACCATATGGTACGACCTCCTGCACGCAACACGCCGCCGTTCGTTCACCCCTTCGGCGGTAAACACGTTGTCTTCCATCAGCCCTAAACATACAGAATCGACTTTCGTCAGTGAAGACAACCCTCTGCCAGTCACGTCGTTGCCAACGTCGTACAGTCCGGGCCCATCTCAATCGCTGTCCTCTGTATGGTCTAAAAGCCCTAATTCCATGAGCCCTGCGTCTCCTGGCCACTGTCTGTCGACTAACACTGTGACCTAAGGCATTTGTCGCCGATGACGTCACTGTCAGGAAGCTATTTCGGAGGTGCAAGGTACGCAAGTACCGGTCATCATGGGGCGTGGTCACCCTGGGTCTGCCTGTTCTTGGCCTGTCAGCGGTCCGCCCTGTCTGCCTGTTACGTTGGTAACGGCAACTAGGGAGCAACCGAAGGTTCGTGCAATATGGGCGTGGGTGGCTCCCATCTGTACCATACCCGAGGCTCGTTCACGTTGTTCGACTGTGAGTCGTGGCATTTCTTTCGTGTGTTTTTTATCACTGTAGAAGTGTCTGACTTGCCGTTGCAATCGTTTTATACCCTTACCCGCACGTGCATTTGCAGTTGCCCGTGGTGCACGTGTTTTTTTCACTTTTTCGCATGTTTTCTCGCAAACATGTAGCAGACGATGTTTTCAGTTGGTAAAGTTTCTTTTGGACGTCAGTTTAGATATGGTTTTCTTGATTCCTATGTCTTCGATATTTTCTCCTAGCTTTGTGGTAGTGTCTACGTTTCAGAGTACATTCTTTTCCGAACCAAGGTTTGTTAACTTTATGTTTCTTATCATTGCCAGTATAATTATATGAGGGGGAAGAGCGTATGCCAAATGTATTTATCGCTGCATAACAGATAACAGTTGCATTATTTATTAATTCATTTGCCTTCGTAGTGTCATCAACCACTTTATCTAATAATGTGCTTACATCTTGTATCTGCATAACATCAATATTGTTCCTGTATCGGTTTGTTTTTGATGAGTCATATTTTGTGGGTTTTATAGAAATTGTTACAGGTTTACTGGTAGATGATTTAGGTACATTACCATACATTCTGCTATTCATACTTGATAAAGAAAAAGCTATAGGACAATGTACATCTGAGTATAGGGGAGAAAAATCAACAAATTCAAAGCTCTTAAAATATGACAGGCACCTGTTGGAACATATGACATAGTCAACAGTACTTGTATCCTTACAGGTAACCTTTCCGGATTTTGCGTCTTTGTCCATTCTTCCATTGCAAATAAACATATTAATTTTTTTTACAGATATCAATCAATTTGTAACCGTAATTATTAATTTTGTTACTATCGTACGAGTATCGCTGACGTGGAAGTCCGAGTTCAACTAGAACAGATTCAGGATCAAAGTCATCTGACATTTCATCAGTATCAATATCTAATTCCTCTAACAAATGTTTATCTAAACAGACATATTCACACAGTGTCCCAGTACGAGCATTAAAATCTGCTGTAAGGATGACAGTTTCAGTGTGAGAGTACATATATAATAGTGCTTGTTCTAACTGATCAAACATGTCTGTAGTGGCGTACTTAGAACCTTCAGGTGGAAGTGGAAGGTACACAATACCAATTAAAAGGTCATCACTGCTATTGAAAGCTAACTTAGATAGTATTTAATCCGATTCAAAATCTAATAAAGTGACATAGTCAGAGAAACAATGTTTAACTGCAAGGCCTATACCTCCCGAATACCTGTCACCCAGGCCCCTGTGTTTCAAAAACAGTTTAAAGCCATCAATTTCAATATCATCGAGTGGATCTGTTTTGGTTTCCTGAAGAGCAACAAAGTTAAAACTATTTACAAGATCCAAAAACTCTGGATAATTAAGTCGTTTTCTCAGACCGCACACATTTATGTTGATAACATTAATTTGTCCAAGTTTATTAACAAATAATTCTGAATTGTCATTTTCCACTGAGCAACTTTCGCTAAGAGGGCCAGTTTGTGCACAAGCTGGACTAGACTCTCCATCATGTAAACCAAGTGAGCCACGTGGTAGTTCAAGTGCACAACTCGTCGATTTTATAGCAATAAGGGTCTTTACTGTCGAGTTCACCCTGGTTGTTTTTAAAAGGGATATGATGGCTAAAAACATTAGATGAAACATGTTCATAACATACCAGTTTATCTAGAGTTCTGGTTCAAGTGTCACATGGTGTGAGCTCGCTGCGTCCTGGCACAAGTCATTCCCGCCTTGCCATCCCTACACTTCCGGCCTAGTTGCCAGGTTACCACGTGTAAACATCCGGTTTGTATTTGGAGGAGCACGATAGGGGGGAAGCATGCATTTCCTTCCATATTTGCGTTCTTTTCAATAGTGTAACATCCGGATTTTGGTCCCGTATTTTGCTCCATGGCAGTTTTTTCTCTGGCCATTCTGTTTCTTCATTTTACCAAGAATGTAGATCTTGCCCACCAGAACATGGTGTCAACCCATTGTGATCCACAGACAACTTTTGAACACATATCATCAGGGTTCATTTCAGAAGAGTCATGGCACAATTGAGTGGGTATGATAGCACCCAGTAGTTTTCCAACCCTGACATACATGTCCATAGTTGTTTTGAAGGATCTGCTATTACTTCTTATCAAGCATTGTACATTCGACCTGTCTGATCAAAATTTAACGCTGCGTAAAATGAACACGTTTAAGAACTATATGTGTTCGTTTTGTAACACAGTGGAGGCAGTAACGATTCTTTTGTGATTGACTCAGCATTATTGATAAATGCTACTGAGCTTATCATGAAACTCGGATACGATTCCACCAACAGAAACATCGACCCAGTTGTAGTAAATATGAGCATGCAAATGTGCCGCTTATCTGTGTTTTCAGACCCTCAGAGCGATTTTATCATCAGTGTCACAAAATTTCCATATGCTTTTGGCCTTTTTATCATGATGAACCTTCTCATGATTATAGCTCTGTAATATTTAGGATGACCTCATACCACTTGTTGCCTTTATATTTCTCTTGATGTCATGTGCTTTTTCTCCTGCTACAATATGAACTGAATGACTAATACTTGACAATTGTATACACTGATATTCCCGTGGTAACCAGACACTACTGGTAGAATGCAGCGCAGCTTAACATAATAATTATTGATGGTGAATGGACACCTCGTTTATGGTCTGGTGTACACTTACTCTGTATGTATGTGAGAAACTCTGCTCTCTGGTGCATAATCATGTGATAATAACAATCTATTTATTTGGTGACCGTGAACGCCTTTAAAATATGCTTAACGTATCGGACATGCTAATGGGATGTATTAATGAGGTTCTTGCATGCGATGTTTTTATGCCCAACACACACACACACACACACACACACACACACACACACACACACACACACACACACACACACACACACACACACACACACACACACACACACACATGCCTATACACACACTCAAACTGTCAGGGTCACACCCTTCACAGGACGCCTTTCTTTCAGGGGGGACGCGAAGATCCTCTTTGAACGGTAGATGAACCAGGTAGATGAACACACACACACACACATGACATGATCACAAACATTTCAATATGCCATGGACACTCACTTTCTCATACATATGTTCAATATCTAACAATATTCAGAATACGTCAAGTCAGGATGTAGTTGTCCATAATATTTTGTCAAAGCATAAACAAACTCCAATAAGAGTTTATATATTATTGACATATTCGTATATGCCGATAAAAGGTTGTCTCGTAACTTCTTCTAACTATAATTATTCGCAGAAGGGCCTAGTTGTACGCTGACCCTTGTCACTCCGCGACAATACTAGCCAGGTGGCGATTCCCACATTTTCCCGTGGCAAGAGCGTTAACTGACAAAAAAAAGTCCAGTTTCAACCTTGTTGAACTAGGCTGGAATTTCCAAGCTCGATCGTAGCGCCACCAATGGTTATTACGGGTTATGTCCCTTCTATGTCCCTCCTGCGGTCCAATTCCGTCTCCCATGTCACTTGCGTTTGCATCAAACAAAAGTAAGCAGATCAAACATCTGATCGATGATCAAGTTCTGTATTGTAATAAAACGGGTTTAACCCGCATGAAATCACTTGAGCAAATTGATTTAAAATATGAACAGATTTGAAAAGAAGTCTGTCGAAAAGAGTTGACGGTACACATCCTTTGCAAATCCTGCAATCGACCAAAATCTGCACGTTGAAATACATGTTGTTTACGAACTGGATGTCTACTTCGTTACCCGATTTTGCTTTGACTATGCATGGACTCGTTTGTCCGGTCAAAATGTAACTCCAGAAATCCAGCCTGGCTCGGGAAGGGAGGAAATTGGGCTTTCATAATCAGTTAACGCCCTTGCCTAAAAAAGGATGCTTTTCCCATAGTTCATGAAAACATAGTACGTACAGTAAAACCGCTGAACCGAGGGGACATTGGCCAAGCAGGGGCCATACACTATTATATCTTGACCAATGGAACCAGTGGTCGATATGCGTAATATCTGATAACGAATTAAATACACTTTTAACACGAATCATTCTTAAATCATATCTTCAGTGACCCTCAATCCCCGTTCGGGTAATCTGTGAGTACTTAATTGAAAAGAAAGTCTTAGACGCGCCACATCCTAAAACGGATGATAAATCCGAACATTAATATTAAGGGGGGAACCCTAGTTAGTTCTTTATGAAACACAGGTCATCAATATGAACTGGGGTGAATGTGTGAGTTTGGTTCATGTCGCCTTCAGCAGTATATCAGTTGCGGCAGAAAAGCGCATGGGAGAAAAGCTTAAAGAGATGCAGGTCATCGAGGTTTACTTATAACACTGGGGAAACCTATGAGCACGGGTATGGTGATGATACACCAAGACACATGACGATGACTTTGGGATGTAAACGCTCGATGACAGATTTCCTGGCTTGGCGTGTCTTGCAACTGGAATCCAAATTCGCCCTGATTATACTACTTTAGGTTTACCTTCCTCATAAAGGTGACACAGCTTGGTATGACCATTCCAAACCCAACTGACACTCTATTTAAAAAAGAACAACAATATTCAAAGTGTTTCCAACCAAACTCACTGTCGCAAGATCCCCGTGAGTCAACCTCATGTCTATTGGACAGGGAATAGAACTATTAACATTCAGACTTGAGTTGCCCACTTCATCATTCCATTACCTCATACCATTTTCCGATGGACGCACATAGCCAGGATGTTGAGACATCCACATGACACCAAATGGTTTTTGCTACGGTTGCTTCCACCCGGCGATTAATAATTTGTATCGTTTAAGTTTTACTTACACTACAACTGTTATCGTTACAGATGAAAAACACATGATATATTTATTCTTTTTCAGTGCGGGTTGTCCATCAGACTTCATTCAAGGTGCCCGTTTTCCCCGTGGGGATGAAGACCTTCTACTTGGGCGTGGCCACAGTGCTGGCCGGGCTGTGTCTAGCGCTTATGTGTGACGCGGAACCTGACAGCCGTCTCAGGCTGGTAGGTACATCAGGGTGACCTATGCGTGTGGGTTCGAATCCCGACTATGTTTCTAGGTTTGTCAGCCTATATCCTTACTCGTGGGTTTCACCAAAGGAGTAAACGTCTGAAACCTGCATCATTAGGCTCTCCTCCCACATTTAGCTGACACGCCGTGATATAAATAGAATACATGTTCACAGCGGCGTTAAACCCAAATCACTCACTCACTCTATGAAGGTTCATACTGCAATGAACTCACACAAAGTGAAGGTCAATTCTTATAAAAAAATTATCACAATTTCTTACCTCAAAGGACACTGACAGACATACGACAACCAGCTATATCGCGGAGTAAAATAGTTCCTCAAAAAGTGAGGTGACATGGGCGTATGGATGCACAACTTGCTCTTCAGAAATATCTTACGCAGCACGTGTTTAAATCATATCGTCATTAGATGAGAAAGGTCTGTAAAGAACTACCTCAGTAAGTCAGTCACAATGACAGCGCGTCGTAATACATTTACATCAAGTACATGACGTCAAAATGGCCGACACGATAAACGTGAGAGAGATATTTCCGAAGTTGTTAATGAACCTGTGGCGGTTACATGTGTTAGTCATCATTGATCAACTGGCCGATCATTGAAAGGTGAATAAAGATGCGTCAAAAAGACACAAAGGTAAATTCACAGATTGCTGGAGACGGTCAATGTCATTCTAGACACGGGTCGAGTCGATACTACGAAAGGTTAGATGTGCATTTCTTCGTTTGTTCATTAGGATAGGCCGTAGCGAGAATATTCGTGAACAATCATGCAGCCACGCTCTCTGACATTTCTCAATGTATACCGAAATACTGAGACCAAGAATAAAGGTTCTAAATGATCAGAAAGAACGCTTATGTATGTTTTCGTGCTAGGGACGTCAAATTGTGTCGTTCATACACTTCACATCAATTTCGCGGTCATGTGACCGACCTCTCGTCCAATGGAAAAGCCGTATATCGTGTAAGCCTCAAATTTAAAAAAATATATTGAAATGAACACACCACTGCCCATTGTGGTATTCACGATGAATACATAAGGCTTTAAATAAACTGCAGTGATTCAATATTTATCCATATCATAAAAACAATAGGTCGGAAACGCTATGTTGGGAATCGAACCCGGATTTCACCGCAACGAACCAACGCATAACTACTGGGCTACCTATTATCCAAAATTAACTAAAATACAAATTATTTAAACTGTATTAAATACTAGTGCCTTAGTGTCAGGTACTTGTATGCGTGAGAGTCGAAGGTGTGATAACAATGCGCAGAGCAATTCCTAATGGCAGTTTGAGGTGAAAGCGACAGTTGCCTCCATATGTTGCAAAATAAACTTGCTTCTGAACTCAGCAACTGATATTATATCGGATGATACGATTGAATGAGCAGTATTTATTACATCGCGACGTTACACAAACATATTGACTTCATCATGGCGTTACAAAGACAGATCGATCTCAACATGAGGTCACACAGACAGATAAACTGCACCATGGATTACATAATTGTACTGACTAGAACATGACGTTAACAGACGGCACATTAACACATGCCCTACTGCGCTGCGTTACACAGACATATTGACTACGACATGACGTTACATAGACAGATTGACTACAACATGTCGTTACAAAGACTTATTGACTTCAATGTGGCGTTACATAGACTTATTGACTTCGACTTGACCTTACATATGTAAATTGACTATTATTACATGGCATCTCATAGACTAATTGGCTGCAATATGCCATTACATAGACAGATTGATTACAACATGACGTCACATTGACAAATTGGCTACAACATGACGTACCATAGACTTACTGACTACGTCTTGATGTGACAAGGACATACTTGCTTCAACATGACGTCACATAGACTAATTGGCTACAACATGACGTCACATAGACAGACTGACAACAACATGACGTCACACTAACAGATTGACTACAACATGGCATTAGTAGACAGATTGACTGCACCATGGCTTCAACATGACGTTAGATAGATAGATTGGCTTGACGTAACATAGACGAACTAACTACATCTTGATGTGACAAGGACATACTTGCTACAGCATGACAGTACATAGACAGATTTACTGCACCATGGCTAAAACACGACGTTACATAGACATATACATAGCATGATTTTACATAGAAATATTGACTGGACTGATAAAGGCAGTTTGGCTTCTTCGTGACATTACATGGACAAATTAACTACAGGATGACGGTACACTGACATACATTAATACATAATGACGTTAAATAGACAGATTGACAACATCCATCCGTTACATACGTAGTCCAGAGCATTTTGACACTATTAACTTCCAAACTGTAACGCATGATCGCGGATTCAGACACGGCCGCTGTTGGACCAAATAGGAATGTCGTTTTCTTGAATGTACATGTAGATATTGACTTAGATTAGTTATCTACCTACATTTTGTATTTTTTTCCCTTGAATGATTTAGAACAATTAACACTATACTTATTTGTAATTAACATCTGTTAATAATTAACATTTTCCGAGACTTGTAACTGATTCGGCTTTTAAGTAGTATGTAAAATACTGTTTAACTAACTGTAAATGTTTCATGATATTACAGAGAATATCTTCCCGGCGCAATAAACGACAAGCTACCACAAGTAAGTATAGGCCTTTACATCTATCCATTTAAAAGCTCTAGGCATATTAACGAACACATGATCTGTCAAGCTGGGCAAAATAATTTTGTGACGTTTTTCCAATTCCTTGTGTGTGTGGAGTTGTGTTAGTTTAGAATATGGCAAAGACAAAAATACCTAATCATGTTGAATCCAATTGCAATTCGGAGAAGCTTGTCTTTGAAATGTTTTTTAGGAATTACACGAGAACCATATGAGTAACTGCTTTGAGTGGTTCCTAGTCTGGATCGTGGAACATAGATCCTGTAATTTGGCAACAACCAAAAATTAGCATGTTATTCGTCATTCAACTAACAACATGGCGAATGACGAAATATGTTATATATATATAACTTTAAAACACATTCGAATGAAGAATGACGAAATAATTCGTCATTCGAATGTTTTTTAATTTAACATTCGCCATACGAATGTATTTTGATGTTGTAAGATTAAAGAAGAATGAGGAAATAATCCCGTTATATTCTGCTCAAAAGTAAAGTTACTATAATATGTTCATACAATACTTTAATAATATACGCTGTTTTGCCATAGTGTAAATTTACATGTGGTTTCCGAAGTTGAACCATGAAGATAGATCACAAATGACGCCACCTTAAAAAATCCTGTTACTGTTTTAAATTACGTATTACTTTCGGCCATATTTGGGCGGAACACCTATAAGCATTTCACTATGTCCAAACGTTTTGTCGTTTACCTCTCTTTATTTCGCAAGGGCTGAACTTGACTACTACCACTCCATCGTATAACAGTACCACATCCTCGAACTCATCCTGTAAGTAAAAGATACTCTACTTTGCCTTCACAAGCACGTTTTATTCTGCGCAAAATAAAGTTACTGTAATAAGTTCATACAATACTTGTATAATATTACGTTGTTTTGTCATTATGTAAAATACCATGTAGTTTCCGAAGTTGAACCATGAAGATCACAGCGTCCTGTTGCTGTTTTAAATTACGTGTCACTCTGGACAATGTTTGGGCGAAACAACTATAAGCATCTCAATAAAAGTATTAGCAATGTTGACAAGATATAAGTTTACCCAATGGATTTGGATTCCACATATATTACAGAATCTTTTCTTTTTGGAAGACCGTGTCACCGAAATAACCCCCATATCAAGAATCATGTTTCTATTTACATGTGTTGAGATATAGTCTCAGAACACCAGATTTCACATGTTTACCCTATTTGGAAAGTAATATAATTCTATTTCTTCTAACTGATCAAGATCCATCAGCAACGACTGGAAGTGCAAATTGGGTCTCAACCCCCTATAATCCTTGTAAGTAACATTGTATTAATATTTAAAACTCGAGTAGTCATATCAGAATGAGAATGGTGTTTCTATTTGTTTTCATGTGAACTTGCAGGATTTTATGCCCAAACGTTTTGTCGTTTACCTCTCTTTATTTCACAAGGGCTGAACTGGACTACTACTACTCCATCGTATAACAGTACCACATCCTCGAACTCATCCTGTAAGTAAATTATACTCTACTTTGCCTTCACAAGCACGTTTTATTCTGCGCAAAATAAAGTAACTATAATATGTTCATACAATACTTGTACATATTACGTTGTTTTGTCATTATGTAAAATACCATGTAGTTTCCGAAGTTGAACCATGAAGATCACAGCGTCCTGTTGCTGTTTTAAATTACGTGTCACTCTGGACAATGTTTGGGCGAAACAACTATAAGCATCTCAATAAAAGTATTAGCAATGTTGACAAGATATAAGTTTACCCAATGGATTTGGATTCCACATATATTACAGAATCTTTTCTTTTTGGAAGACCGTGTCACCGAAATAACCCCCATATCAAGAATCATGTTTCTATTTACATGTGTTGAGATATAGTCTCAGAACACCAGATTTCACATGTTTACCCTATTTGGAAAGTAATATAATTCTATTTCTTCTAACTGATCAAGATCCATCAGCAACGACTGGAAGTGCAAATTGGGTCTCAACCCCCTATAATCCTTGTAAGTAACATTGTATTAATATTTAAAACTCGAGTAGTCATATCAGAATCAGAATGGTGTTTCTATTTGTTTTCATGTGAACTTGCAGGATTTTATGCCCAAACGTTTTGTCGTTTACCTCTCTTTATTTCACAAGGGCTGAACTGGACTACTACTACTCCATCGTATAACAGTACCACATCCTCGAACTCATCCTGTAAGTAAATTATACTCTACTTTGCCTTCACAAGCACGTTTTATTCTGCGCAAAATAAAGTAACTATAATATGTTCATACAATACTTGTACATATTACGTTGTTTTGTCATTATGTAAAATACCATGTAGTTTCCGAAGTTGAACCATGAAGATCACAGCGTCCTGTTGCTGTTTTAAATTACGTGTCACTCTGGACAATGTTTGGGCGAAACAACTATAAGCATCTCAATAAAAGTATTAGCAATGTTGACAAGATATAAGTTTACCCAATGGATTTGGATTCCACATATATTACAGAATCTTTTCTTTTTGGAAGACCGTGTCACCGAAATAACCCCCATATCAAGAATCATGTTTCTATTTACATGTGTTGAGATATAGTCTCAGAACACCAGATTTCACATGTTTACCCTATTTGGAAAGTAATATAATTCTATTTCTTCTAACTGATCAAGATCCATCAGCAACGACTGGAAGTGCAAATTGGGTCTCAACCCCCTATAATCCTTGTAAGTAACATTGTATTAATATTTAAAACTCGAGTAGTCATATCAGAATGAGAATGGTGTTTCTATTTGTTTTCATGTGAACTTGCAGGATTTTATGCCCAAACGTTTTGTCGTTTACCTCTCTTTATTTCACAAGGGCTGAACTGGACTACTACTACTCCATCGTATAACAGTACCACATCCTCGAACTCATCCTGTAAGTAAATTATACTCTACTTTGCCTTCACAAGCACGTTTTATTCTGCGCAAAATAAAGTAACTATAATATGTTCATACAATACTTGTATATATTACGTTGTTTTGTCATTATGTAAAATACCATGTAGTTTCCGAAGTTGAACCATGAAGATCACAGCGTCCTGTTGCTGTTTTAAATTACGCGTCACTCTGGACAATATTTGGGAACACCTTTAAGTATCTCTCTACCTCTTGCAGCCTGTTCCCAAACTCTATCTGGTACGGAGGGAAGTTTCAGCAGCCCTGGAGCGGGAGAGGGAGCGTCGTACTCTGGCAACCTTGACTGCCTCTACACCATTCCCTCACCACCACCAGGGAGCCTAATTGACATAACATTCATGCTGTTCCAATTGGAAAGCCATTCCTCTTGCGACTATGCCTACGTCCAGTTCTCCTACACCCGCCAGAAGATCTGTGGAATCAGGACCACGCCTCTGTCATTCTCCTGTACGTAGGCAGTCCGCATCTACTACAGGGCCAAATGTGTCATTCGTACTATTTCAGTTCTCTCAAAAAAATCAAAATTGTCATTACATAATGTGGAACATAACAGGCAACTGTCCTTTCTTTCCCTCACATAAATAGTGACCTGCCTTTCACTTACAGTGATATCGCCTCAAATAAAGAGTGACCTTCTTCTCACTTACACTTTTATTCCCTCACATATTCTTTTCACTTATGCTGATATTCCCTTATATAAATAGTGACCTACCTATCACTCACAGTGCTATTGCCTCACATATATCCCCCCACATAGTCACCTTCCTTTCACTCACATTGATATTGCCTTATTTAGATAGTGACATACCTTTCAGTCACAGTGATATTCCTTTTCGAAAATAGTTACGTACCTGGTATACCTTATGTAGATGACATGCAAGAAACAGAAGTATAAACTATAAACACTTCCCATCACGTGTCAGTATTAACACGGAAAGGCCAGGGTTGATTGAAAACCACGTATCGCTAATGATAACCACTGTGTAGTGGTGTGTAGATGTACCTGAGAAAGGCGAGGCGGTGATTCATGAAGGCCTGCGCAACACAGTCTTGATACCCGTGTGTGCACAGAATGCTCGACGTTATGTGGTTTTTCGTAGTTTGTGTGTAGATAGTTAGAATATAGAATATGTCGAATAGGAAAAGACATACTTTATAAATAACCTAATTGATTGTTTTCAGTTACATCCCTGGAGACGGACTTCAAGATATACTTCCACTCTGACGGTTCAGTTCATCATTCTGGTTTTCTTGCAGCATTTAGGATTCGAGAAAGTAAGTAGTCTATTCTTTACAGCTATATATTTATCTGGAAGAAAACTTTGAAAGAAGAAGAACACCCACGACCCAGACAATATATAACTAGATTACACAGATTTCATAATCTATCAAAACATAGACCTCTACTTGGCACTTTGTGACAAATCCATATCCGTATATGCAAGGGCTCTGTGTACGGTTCTGACAACATCAAGTATGTAGCTTGCGGTATTTACTTGTCAAGCATTTACTGTATGACGGTAGATATACAAGAAACTCTATGTGCAAGGTGGGCATATATTGGTATTGGTTGATGTGTTGGTGCATCGGAGCACGTGGCCTAACCCTATCTACGCTAAGGGTAACACCTTCTTCTTTTCGTCTCTGGGCCAAGGCCTACATATCAATGGTAATCTAACACGGATAAATCCACAGTAATAATGACAACAGTAATAATGAGAAGTGACATAGCTGCTCAGCTCATTCAGGATGGCTGACCACACTCATACTTTGGCTTAAAACTATTAATTTATTTGTATTATTGAGTGAGTACTTTTCACGACATAAAACACATACAACCAAACCTAAGGTAAGATGAGGTGAAATTGGTTTTAACCTTTGCTTGTACTAGACAGGACTAATGCTAGATGTATAGTTCCAGTTCACTATGGTACCATGGCACAGTTTAAAATGATTACTGAAACTCAGACACAGTGTATTGACTCCTTGTTTTTCTTGCTAATATGTTCGGTTCCAAATTGGGACAAGTGTAAGGTTATCTGCAGATTACCCGAAATCTCACCTGGTAACATTTACCCCACGAAGTGGGGTGGGGGAATAAAGGAACGGAATTCGTCTATCAAGAACTATATAAGTCAGAGAAATGAAATTTTACAAACTGATGTTACTTGTTATGATCTGAAATGATTTTACAAATTGGTGTACATGCTGCATGAAATGGGGCACACGTTTTCTCAGAAACTACTGAAGTTACATGAATGAAAGTCTGAAGGCTTATCTAAGAGATACTTGTTAAGATTGAGTTCGAGAATTGGTCCGTCAGTTATATTTTAACAGAGTTACTTCCCTTGATCCATGTTATTTTGCGTAGAACACAGTGTGTGCAATAGGGACACGTTTTCGCAGAAACTACTGAAGAAAGCTTACCAAAGAGTTACTTATCAAGACTGAGATTTTTTTCCAAAGAAGGGGCCTTTTGTGTGTATTAATTTCACATTTAATCACGTTTTCTGATGACATAAAGCAGCCCATACTCCTATCTCTTTTAAAGGCTTTATATTACTCTGTTTTAAAGTTTATCTTCACTACTATATGAGCAATCAAAAGTGAAATGTGCCCCATGGCGGTGAATAGAGGGAATGCACATTTCTTGTTAAAAAAATACATTGATTATATTTCTTTTACTGTTTAAGATCCAACACCAACGACTGGTAGTTCTTATCGGAACTCTACAAGCTATAATCCTTGTAAGTAACATTGAATGTATAATTAAATGCATGAGTAGTCAAACTGGAATTGTGTGTTTATTTTTATTCAATAGAACTTGCATTTAATGATGCTTAGACACAAGACACGTTATGTACAAATGTAGGGTGTGTGTACAAATACCTCTCTTATTTTTACAAGGGCTGAACCGGACTACTGTCACTCCATGGTATTACAGGACCACAACCTCTTACAGTAAGTAAAATAAATTTTACGTTTAAGGGGTACATATTCTGACAATTTAAAGTAACTATAATATGTTAATATAGCACTTGTATATTGTATGCTGTTTTGTCGTTATATAAATTATCCTTGTTAAGCATATACATAATATCTCGAATCATGTTTTCATTAACATCTTGATTTCAATATGAAGTCATAGATAATAAGACAAATATGATTATTTTTATGTCATGTTCGCATGAACGAAGGCTGACACCAGATTTCAAACATAAAAAAGCTCGTTTTCACCAAGTTACGTGTGAGGTGAATTGAAATGGAGTTTATAACCTTTGCATGCACGAGACGGGACTAATGCTAGTTGTATAGCTCCAGCTCACTATGATACCATGGCAGAATTTAAAATGATTACTGAAACTCAGACAGTGTATTGACTGCTTGATTTGCCGCTATTATTTTCGGTTCCAAATTGAGACAAGTGTTATGCTATCTTCAGATTACCTTAACCCTCGTCAGGTTACATTTACCGTTTTTTATCCCCGCCAAGAAGTGTTGTTAGCGAATAAAGGAACGGAATTCGTCCTTCAGTCCTTCCGCCCTTTTGTCCGTCTTTCCGCTTCTAAAAGGGGACACAGTTTATCAAAAACTATATAAGTCAGAGAAATGAAATTTTACAAACTGATGTCTCTGGTCATGATCTAAAATGGGTTTGAAAATTGGTTTTTACAGACTTATAGCTTTTGTTCCATTGTTTTCAACTAAGTGCATACTGCTTGAAATGGGAACACGTTTTCTCAGAAACTACTGAGTGAGTGAGTGAGTAAATGAGTGAGTGAGTGAGTGAAAGTTTGCATGTTTATCTAAGAGATACTTGTCAAGACTGTGTTCGAAAATTGGTCCCGTCAATAATATATTGACAGAGTTACTTCCCTTGATCCATGTCATTTGACTAAGTGCAATAGGGACACGTTTTCGCAGATACTACTGAAGTAAGGTCACCAATGAGATACTTATCAAGACTGAGGGACTTTTCCAAGGAAGGGGCCTTTTGTTTGTATTAATATCACTTATAATCACGTTTTCTGATTACATCAAGCTGCCCAAGTGCATATCCCTTTTAAGGCTTTTGTAGGACTCTGTGGTATAGTTTATTTTATCTTCACGACTATATGAACAATCAAAAGTGTAATATGCCCCATGGCGGGGAATAGAGATAACGCAGTTTTCTAGTTGGAAAATACATTGATTATATTTCTTTTTACTGTTTAAGATCCAACACCAACGACTGGTAGTTCTTATCGGAACTCTACAAGCTATAATCCTTGTAAGTAACATTGAATGTATAATTAAATGCATGAGTAGTCACACTGGAATGGTGTGTTTACTTTTATTCAATAGAACTTGCATTTACTAATGCTCTGACACAAGACACGTTATGTACAAATGTAGGATGAGTGTACAAATACCTCTCTTATTTTCACAAGGGCTGAACCGGACTGCAACCACTCCGTGGTATTACAGGACCACAACCTCTTACAGTAAGTAAAATAAATTTTACGTTTAAGGGGTACATATTCTGACAATTTAAAGTAACTATAATATGTTAATATAGCACTTGTATATTGTATGCTGTTTTGTCGTTATATAAATTATCCTTGTTAAGCAGCTCGCCATAGAAAGACAGCCATGTAACCGAAATATACATAATATCTAGAATTATGTTTTCATTAACATCTTGATTACACTATGTAGTCATAGATAATAAGACAAATATGATTAGTTTTATGTCATGTTCGCATGAACGAAGGCTGACACCAGATTTCAAACATAAAAAAGCTCGTTTTCACCAAGTTACGTGTGAGGTGAATTGAAATGGAGTTTATAACCTTTGCATGCACGAGACGGGACTAATGCTAGTTGTATAGCTCCAGCTCACTATGATACCATGGCAGAGTTTAAAATGATTACTGAAACTCAGACAGTGTATTGACTGCTTGATTTGCCGCTATTATTTTCGGTTCCAAATTGAGACAAGTGTTATGCTATCTTCAGATTTCCTTAACCCTCGTCAGGTTACATTTACCGTTTTTTATCCCCGCCAAGAAGTGTTGTTAGCGAATAAAGGAACGGAATTCGTCCTTCAGTCCTTCCGCCCTTTTGTCCGTCTTTCCGCTTCTAAAAGGGGACACAGTTTATCAAAAACTATATAAGTCAGAGAAATGAAATTTTACAAACTGATGTCTCTGGTCATGATCTAAAATGGGTTTGAAAATTGGTTTTTACAGACTTATAGCTTTTGTTCCATTGTTTTCAACTAAGTGCATACTGCTTGAAATGGGAACACGTTTTCTCAGAAACTACTGAGTGAGTGAGTGAGTAAATGAGTGAGTGAGTGAGTGAAAGTTTGCATGTTTATCTAAGAGATACTTGTCAAGACTGTGTTCGAAAATTGGTCCCGTCAATAATATATTGACAGAGTTACTTCCCTTGATCCATGTCATTTGACTAAGTGCAATAGGGACACGTTTTCGCAGATACTACTGAAGTAAGGTCACCAATGAGATACTTATCAAGACTGAGGGACTTTTCCAAGGAAGGGGCCTTTTGTTTGTATTAATATCACTTATAATCACGTTTTCTGATTACATCAAGCTGCCCAAGTGCATATCCCTTTTAAGGCTTTTGTAGGACTCTGTGGTATAGTTTATTTTATCTTCACGACTATATGAACAATCAAAAGTGTAATATGCCCCATGGCGGGGAATAGAGATAACGCAGTTTTCTAGTTGGAAAATACATTGATTATATTTCTTTTTACTGTTTAAGATCCAACACCAACGACTGGTAGTTCTTATCGGAACTCTACAAGCTATAATCCTTGTAAGTAACATTGAATGTATAATTAAATGCATGAGTAGTCACACTGGAATGGTGTGTTTACTTTTATTCAATAGAACTTGCATTTACTAATGCTCTGACACAAGACACGTTATGTACAAATGTAGGATGAGTGTACAAATACCTCTCTTATTTTCACAAGGGCTGAACCGGACTGCAACCACTCCGTGGTATTACAGGACCACAACCTCTTACAGTAAGTAAAATAAATTTTACGTTTAAGGGGTACATATTCTGACAATTTAAAGTAACTATAATATGTTAATATAGCACTTGTATATTGTATGCTGTTTTGTCGTTATATAAATTATCCTTGTTAAGCAGCTCGCCATAGAAAGACAGCCATGTAACCGAAATATACATAATATCTAGAATTATGTTTTCATTAACATCTTGATTACACTATGTAGTCATAGATAATAAGACAAATATGATTAGTTTTATGTCATGTTCGCATGAACGAAGGCTGACACCAGATTTCAAACATAAAAAAGCTCGTTTTCACCAAGTTACGTGTGAGGTGAATTGAAATGGAGTTTATAACCTTTGCATGCACGAGACGGGACTAATGCTAGTTGTATAGCTCCAGCTCACTATGATACCATGGCAGAGTTTAAAATGATTACTGAAACTCAGACAGTGTATTGACTGCTTGATTTGCCGCTATTATTTTCGGTTCCAAATTGAGACAAGTGTTATGCTATCTTCAGATTTCCTTAACCCTCGTCAGGTTACATTTACCGTTTTTTATCCCCGCCAAGAAGTGTTGTTAGCGAATAAAGGAACGGAATTCGTCCTTCAGTCCTTCCGCCCTTTTGTCCGTCTTTCCGCTTCTAAAAGGGGACACAGTTTATCAAAAACTATATAAGTCAGAGAAATGAAATTTTACAAACTGATGTCTCTGGTCATGATCTAAAATGGGTTTGAAAATTGGTTTTTACAGACTTATAGCTTTTGTTCCATTGTTTTCAACTAAGTGCATACTGCTTGAAATGGGAACACGTTTTCTCAGAAACTACTGAGTGAGTGAGTGAGTAAATGAGTGAGTGAGTGAGTGAAAGTTTGCATGTTTATCTAAGAGATACTTGTCAAGACTGTGTTCGAAAATTGGTCCCGTCAATAATATATTGACAGAGTTACTTCCCTTGATCCATGTCATTTGACTAAGTGCAATAGGGACACGTTTTCGCAGATACTACTGAAGTAAGGTCACCAATGAGATACTTATCAAGACTGAGGGACTTTTCCAAGGAAGGGGCCTTTTGTTTGTATTAATATCACTTATAATCACGTTTTCTGATTACATCAAGCTGCCCAAGTGCATATCCCTTTTAAGGCTTTTGTAGGACTCTGTGGTATAGTTTATTTTATCTTCACGACTATATGAACAATCAAAAGTGTAATATGCCCCATGGCGGGGAATAGAGATAACGCAGTTTTCTAGTTGGAAAATACATTGATTATATTTCTTTTTACTGTTTAAGATCCAACACCAACGACTGGTAGTTCTTATCGGAACTCTACAAGCTATAATCCTTGTAAGTAACATTGAATGTATAATTAAATGCATGAGTAGTCACACTGGAATGGTGTGTTTACTTTTATTCAATAGAACTTGCATTTACTAATGCTCTGACACAAGACACGTTATGTACAAATGTAGGATGAGTGTACAAATACCTCTCTTATTTTCACAAGGGCTGAACCGGACTGCAACCACTCCGTGGTATTACAGGACCACAACCTCTTACAGTAAGTAAAATAAATTTTACGTTTAAGGGGTACATATTCTGACAATTTAAAGTAACTATAATATGTTAATATAGCACTTGTATATTGTATGCTGTTTTGTCGTTATATAAATTATCCTTGTTAAGCAGCTCGCCATAGAAAGACAGCCATGTAACCGAAATATACATAATATCTAGAATTATGTTTTCATTAACATCTTGATTACACTATGTAGTCATAGATAATAAGACAAATATGATTAGTTTTATGTCATGTTCGCATGAACGAAGGCTGACACCAGATTTCAAACATAAAAAAGCTCGTTTTCACCAAGTTACGTGTGAGGTGAATTGAAATGGAGTTTATAACCTTTGCATGCACGAGACGGGACTAATGCTAGTTGTATAGCTCCAGCTCACTATGATACCATGGCAGAGTTTAAAATGATTACTGAAACTCAGACAGTGTATTGACTGCTTGATTTGCCGCTATTATTTTCGGTTCCAAATTGAGACAAGTGTTATGCTATCTTCAGATTTCCTTAACCCTCGTCAGGTTACATTTACCGTTTTTTATCCCCGCCAAGAAGTGTTGTTAGCGAATAAAGGAACGGAATTCGTCCTTCAGTCCTTCCGCCCTTTTGTCCGTCTTTCCGCTTCTAAAAGGGGACACAGTTTATCAAAAACTATATAAGTCAGAGAAATGAAATTTTACAAACTGATGTCTCTGGTCATGATCTAAAATGGGTTTGAAAATTGGTTTTTACAGACTTATAGCTTTTGTTCCATTGTTTTCAACTAAGTGCATACTGCTTGAAATGGGAACACGTTTTCTCAGAAACTACTGAGTGAGTGAGTGAGTAAATGAGTGAGTGAGTGAGTGAAAGTTTGCATGTTTATCTAAGAGATACTTGTCAAGACTGTGTTCGAAAATTGGTCCCGTCAATAATATATTGACAGAGTTACTTCCCTTGATCCATGTCATTTGACTAAGTGCAATAGGGACACGTTTTCGCAGATACTACTGAAGTAAGCTCACCAATGAGATACTTATCAAGACTGAGGGACTTTTCCAAGGAAGGGGCCTTTTGTTTGTATTGATATCACTTATAATCACGTTTTCTGATTACATCAAGCTGCCCAAGTGCATATCCCTTTTAAGGCTTTGTAGGACTCTGTGGTATAGTTTATCTTCACGACTATATGAACAATCAAAAGTGTAATATGCCCCATGGCGGGGAATAGAGATAACGCAGTTTTCTAGTTGGAAAATACATTGATTATATTTCTTTTTACTGTTTAATAATCCTTGTAAGTAACATTGAATGTATAATTAAATGCATGAGTAATCACACTGGAATGGTGTGTTTACTTTTATTCAATAGAACTTGCATTTACTAATGCTCTGACACAAGACACGTTATGTACAAATGTAGGATGAGTGTACAAATACCTCTCTTATTTTCACAAGGGCTGAACCGGACTGCAACCACTCCGTGGTATTACAGGACCACAACCTCTTACAGTAAGTAAAATAAATTTTACGTTTAAGGGGTACATATTCTGACAATTTAAAGTAACTATAATATGTTAATATAGCACTTGTATATTGTATGCTGTTTTGTCGTTATATAAATTATCCTTGTTAAGCAGCTCGCCATAGAAAGACAGCCATGTAACCGAAATATACATAATATCTAGAATTATGTTTTCATTAACATCTTGATTACACTATGTAGTCATAGATAATAAGACAAATATGATTATTTTTATGTCATGTTCGCATGAACGAAGGCTGACACCAGATTTCAAACATAAAAAAGCTCGTTTTCACCAAGTTACGTGTGAGGTGAATTGAAATGGAGTTTATAACCTTTGCATGCACGAGACGGGACTAATGCTAGTTGTATAGCTCCAGCTCACTATGATACCATGGCAGAGTTTAAAATGATTACTGAAACTCAGACAGTGTATTGACTGCTTGATTTGCCGCTATTATTTTCGGTTCCAAATTGAGACAAGTGTTATGCTATCTTCAGATTACCTTAACCCTCGTCAGGTTACATTTACCGTTTTTTATCCCCGCCAAGAAGTGTTGTTAGCGAATAAAGGAACGGAATTCGTCCTTCAGTCCTTCCGCCCTTTTGTCCGTCTTTCCGCTTCTAAAAGGGGACACAGTTTATCAAAAACTATATAAGTCAGAGAAATGAAATTTTACAAACTGATGTCTCTGGTCATGATCTAAAATGGGTTTGAAAATTGGTTTTTACAGACTTATAGCTTTTGTTCCATTGTTTTCAACTAAGTGCATACTGCTTGAAATGGGAACACGTTTTCTCAGAAACTACTGAGTGAGTGAGTGAGTAAATGAGTGAGTGAGTGAGTGAAAGTTTGCATGTTTATCTAAGAGATACTTGTCAAGACTGTTTTCGAAAATTGGTCCCGTCAATAATATATTGACAGAGTTACTTCCCTTGATCCATGTCATTTGACTAAGTGCAATAGGGACACGTTTTCGCAGATACTACTGAAGTAAGGTCACCAATGAGAAACTTATCAAGACTGAGGGACTTTTCCAAGGAAGGGGCCTTTTGTTTGTATTGATATCACTTATAATCACGTTTTCTGATTACATCAAGCTGCCCAAGTGCATATCCCTTTTAAGGCTTTGTAGGACTCTGTGGTATAGTTTATCTTCACGACTATATGAACAATCAAAAGTGTAATATGCCCCATGGCGGGGAATAGAGATAACGCAGTTTTCTAGTTGGAAAATACATTGATTATATTTCTTTTTACTGTTTAAGATCCAACACCAACGACTGGTAGTTCTTATCGGAACTCTACAAGCTATAATCCTTGTAAGTAACATTGAATGTATAATTAAATGCATGAGTAGTCACACTGGAATGGTGTGTTTACTTTTATTCAATAGAACTTGCATTTACTAATGCTCTGACACAAGACACGTTATGTACAAATGTAGTATGAGTGTACAAATACCTCTCTTATTTTCACAAGGGCTGAACCGGACTGCAACCACTCCGTGGTATTACAGGACCACAACCTCTTACAGTAAGTAAAATAAATTTTACGTTTAAGGGGTACATATTCTGACAATTTAAAGTAACTATAATATGTTAATATAGCACTTGTATATTGTATGCTGTTTTGTCGTTATATAAATTATCCTTGTTAAGCAGCTCGCCATAGAAAGACAGCCATGTAACCGAAATATACATAATATCTAGAATTATGTTTTCATTAACATCTTGATTACACTATGTAGTCATAGATAATAAGACAAATATGATTATTTTTATGTCATGTTCGCATGAACGAAGGCTGACACCAGATTTCAAACATAAAAAAGCTCGTTTTCACCAAGTTACGTGTGAGGTGAATTGAAATGGAGTTTATAACCTTTGCATGCACGAGACGGGACTAATGCTAGTTGTATAGCTCCAGCTCACTATGATACCATGGCAGAGTTTAAAATGATTACTGAAACTCAGACAGTGTATTGACTGCTTGATTTGCCGCTATTATTTTCGGTTCCAAATTGAGACAAGTGTTATGCTATCTTCAGATTACCTTAACCCTCGTCAGGTTACATTTACCGTTTTTTATCCCCGCCAAGAAGTGTTGTTAGCGAATAAAGGAACGGAATTCGTCCTTCAGTCCTTCCGCCCTTTTGTCCGTCTTTCCGCTTCTAAAAGGGGACACAGTTTATCAAAAACTATATAAGTCAGAGAAATGAAATTTTACAAACTGATGTCTCTGGTCATGATCTAAAATGGGTTTGAAAATTGGTTTTTACAGACTTGTAGCTTTTGTTCCATTGTTTTCAACTAAGTGCATACTGCTTGAAATGGGAACACGTTTTCTCAGAAACTACTGAGTGAGTGAGTGAGTAAATGAGTGAGTGAGTGAGTGAAAGTTTGCATGTTTATCTAAGAGATACTTGTCAAGACTGTGTTCGAAAATTGGTCCCGTCAATAATATATTGACAGAGTTACTTCCCTTGATCCATGTCATTTGACTAAGTGCAATAGGGACACGTTTTCGCAGATACTACTGAAGTAAGCTCACCAATGAGATACTTATCAAGACTGAGGGACTTTTCCAAGGAAGGGGCCTTTTGTTTGTATTGATATCACTTATAATCACGTTTTCTGATTACATCAAGCTGCCCAAGTGCATATCCCTTTTAAGGCTTTGTAGGACTCTGTGGTATAGTTTATCTTCACGACTATATGAACAATCAAAAGTGTAATATGCCCCATGGCGGGGAATAGAGATAACGCAGTTTTCTAGTTGGAAAATACATTGATTATATTTCTTTTTACTGTTTAATAATCCTTGTAAGTAACATTGAATGTATAATTAAATGCATGAGTACTCACACTGGAATGGTGTGTTTACTTTTATTCAATAGAACTTGCATTTACTAATGCTCTGACACAAGACACGTTATGTACAAATGTAGGATGAGTGTACAAATACCTCTCTTATTTTCACAAGGGCTGAACCGGACTGCAACCACTCCGTGGTATTACAGGACCACAACCTCTTACAGTAAGTAAAATAAATTTTACGTTTAAGGGGTACATATTCTGACAATTTAAAGTAACTATAATATGTTAATATAGCACTTGTATATTGTATGCTGTTTTGTCGTTATATAAATTATCTTTGTTAAGCAGCTCGCCATAGAAAGACAGCCATGTAACCGAAATATACATAATATCTAGAATTATGTTTTCATTAACATTTTGATTACACTATGTAGTCATAGATAATAAGACAAATATGATTATTTTTATGTCATGGGCGTATTAAGGAATGTTGACACTAGATTTCAAACATAAGCTCGTTATCACCAAGATACATGTTAGGTTAGGTGAACTGGGGTGTAACGTTGCGCCAAATGCTATTGTGTGTGTGTGTGTGTGTGTGTGTGTGTGTGTGTGTGTGTGTGTGTGTGTGTGTGTGTGTGTGTGTGTGTGTGTGTGTGTGTGTGTGTGTGTGTGTGTGTGTGTGTGTGTGTGTGTGTGTGTGTGTGTGTGTGTGTGTGTGTGTGTGTGTGTGTGTGTGTGTGTGTGTGTGTGTGTGTGTGTGTGTGTGTGTGTGTGTGTGTGTGTGTGTGTGTGTGTGTGTGTGTGTGTGTGTGTGTGTGTGTGTGTGTGTGTGTGTGTGTGTGTGTGTGTGTGTGTGTGTGTGTGTGTGTGTGTGTGTGTGTGTGTGTGTGTGTGTGTGTGTGTGTGTGTGTGTGTGTGTGTGTGTGTGTGTGTGTGTGTGTGTGTGTGTGTGTGTGTGTGTGTGTGTGTGTGTGTGTGTGTGTGTGTGTGTGTGTGTGTGTGTGTGTGTGTGTGTGTGTGTGTGTGTGTGTGTGTGTGTGTGTGTGTGTGTGTGTGTGTGTGTGTGTGTGTGTGTGTGTGTGTGTGTGTGTGTGTGTGTGTGTGTGTGTGTGTGTGTGTGTGTGTGTGTGTGTGTGTGTGTGTGTGTGTGTGTGTGTGTGTGTGTGTGTGTGTGTGTGTGTGTGTGTGTGTGTGTGTGTGTGTGTGTGTGTGTGTGTGTGTGTGTGTGTGTGTGTGTGTGTGTGTGTGTGTGTGTGTGTGTGTGTGTGTGTGTGTGTGTGTGTGTGTGTGTGTGTGTGTGTGTGTGTGTGTGTGTGTGTGTGTGTGTGTGTGCTCTTATACCAGTCCGGACTAATGTCGATTTTTAAGTGCCAGCCCAGTGAGATACCATGTCGCAGTTTAACATAAATACCCCACTCAGACACTATTTACTGACCAGTTTTTAACGGCCCTCCGCTCCCCTGGCGGACGTTCTGCCACTGTCAAACAGTATGCTGTTAAACATAATATCGTAAGCATTTTAGGAGCACATCTTCGTACACATCCTGAAGGAAACAGAAACTCTAGTATGCCTACACATACCCCTTTAGAAGTACATATTCTGCCATAATTAAATACTTCATAACATGTTAAACATATTTCGTCTTAACGAACAAGTGTATTTATAAGCTTTTATCAAAGCATACTGCAGCGCTCAAATGATGCTACGACATACGACATAAAACACATACACTGAAACCCAAGGGAAGGTGATGAGGTGATATGGGGTTTAACTAACCATTGCTTGTATTAGACGGGACTAATGCTAGTTGTACGGTAAAGCATGTGAATATGATAAGAGTCTTGAGACTTTTTCCATTATGAGGAGTCACATGTCGTTAGTTGAAGCTTAGGTGAATATAAGTTTGAACGAACAGCTGAGAATACTCATTATATTTGGAGGCCGAGAGAGGACATCGCTTTCTCGCCAAAGCGCGAGAAAGCGATACACCGATAACAGGAGTCCAGAAAGGGCGATAGCGTGAGCCGAGAAAGCAAAAGCTTTCTCGTTCCGTGTCATCGCTTTCTCGCTGTCCCCTCACTTTCTCACTGTCTCCCCTCGGCCACTATAACTATGCCGCAGTTTAACATGGAACAAATACTCATACACAGAATACTTACTCCTTGTTTCTTCCCGCTCAAGCTCTCGGATCCAAATTAAACTAATAGGTACCTTATCTACAGTTGGAATACCTCAAATTTCAAAACACAGTAGGTTTATCGTCTAAATGTGTTTCAATTATTAATGTCTTTACTCATAACATAAATCACCGGTTTCTCTGGTCCAGACAAGGTTATTTGAAGGACGCCCTCATATAGTTTGAACATTGCTGAGTATGTGAAGTCTCAGACTTCTTCATAGATAACGTACATTTGATATTTGGGAAAAGTACATTTAGGCAGGAAGTAGGAATCCCCTTGGGCACCGATGTGTGCTGTGCTCTCCAACTTGCTGATCTGTTTCTTAACACATGCGAATTAGAATTTCTTCTCGGATTTGTAAAACAAGAGAGGAGTTTTGAGGAATCTCTATGACCTGATATCGTTTAATAATGATTGAATACCCGGGTTTCGTGATTGAATCACTTCCTCTGCAGACAGCTGTTACCACGTCATGACAGACGCTGCAGGGCAGATCCAGGTCCCTGACGATGGCAGCACTACCTACTCACCTAACGTCAACTGTCTGTTCACCATCAGGCCTCCAGCAGGTGGGGCTTGGATTGTTAACATTACACTGGAGGAGTTCGACGTGCAGAGATATTATTCCTCCTACAGTAACAGTTTCTCCACCTCCTGCAGCATGGACTACATACAGATACTCTACGATGGCTACTCCTCCTCCAGGATGTGCGGAACGAGGACATCACCCATATCATACATATGTCAGTACCACATTCAGTACAAAACGGTTCAGTCGTTATCGGCGAGAGATGTAATCTTGCATGAGAATGAATGTACTCTGGTGGCTATAGATATTTGGCGCGAGTTTCCTATATATACGAGCGTACATGTATTTTTTTGTGTATGTAGTGACTGAGATATATGATAATGACTTGATATTTAATCATCAGTATCTTCATTCCAGTACTTGTTACGTTATTCTAGAAGTAAAATATAATAATGCGTAAAAAATAAACAACTTCAAAATATTTAATACACGTGGAGAATATGTACGTTATGAACAATTTGTGTCAGGAAGGAAGAATGCATGTTGCTGCTTGATGGAATATAAAGTGGAAGTATTTACTCCATTGTCTCCAGACAACCTCGTTGAAAGTGACCTGAACATCACCTTTCACAGTGATAGCTCCACTGAGAGGAGTGGATTCAACATAACCTACACGTACATAAACAGTAAGTAGCTTCAAAGTGACAGGACCAATAACCCATGTTTCAGTTAGCTAAAGGCATGTTCTGTTCTGCAGTGCCGGAAAGGTTCACAACTAAACAAACATGGACATAGATTAAGTATAGTGGCTCCGTATTGATCAAGTTCATTTGTTATGTTTTCAGGACACTCGCAAGGGCTAAAACAGAGTAAAACCATATTTAATCCTTGAACGGGGACATGTTGACAGGTACATGTATCCTGAACTGTGTGAAGATTATATTTCTATGTAATATTCCATGACAAATAAACAATCGACATAGTACTGACAAATGTAAATATAAATATATTAACATTTCAGACACCTGTGTGACGGACCTCGACCAGAATACTGGTACAATCCGCAGCCCTGTGACTGAGGGTGGGGTGACCTACCCAACAAACACCTTGTGTATTTACTACCTCGACCTGGGAGATTCCCTCAAGACTGTTACTTTCACAGTCAGGGTCTTTGATGTAAACTGTAGTGATTCCTTCACCGTCCATGATCAGCGTTTCTGTGGAGACAGGATGCACCAGACGTCCTGTGAGTAGTGAACCCATATGGTTTCAGTCGTTGATACAATTGGTGCATATGGTTATAGATACTGACATTATGTAACGGTGGCTCAACAGGTGTTGTCAATGAAACAATGACAAGCTTCAATAAAATAAGGTTTATCTTGTGTAATTGTCAGCTGTATATTAAATGAAACCAAAGAGTGAGATCTATTGAAGAAGATATATTTGATATGCTAAGAAAGTGAGAGCTCATTTGGTAAAACGGGAGCAAAGACTATCATCATTGTTGTATAACATTGTAGATTATTATTGAATGGACAAACGTAATGGGACATCGACAAACCACTGCGTATTGTCTCTTGAAATAAATTCATCTGAATGCATGCATATACTTTAGCCCCGTTAAAAAATGTTTTGAGTGTGGGTTGTTCCATGCCCACGTTAGATCAGACTGTAAAGCATATAAAGTAATAAAAACGATTCCTTGGTTGCTCTTTTTTCTCCGGTTATATCATCAAACCACTTGAACTCTGTTATGAATACCCATGTGGCACTTTCAAGACCAATGATGCGAAGAAAGTTATGAAGGTTTGTTTGCAAACTAGCTGTTTGAAGAAATACGTGTCTGCAAAAAAAGCTACTTATTGAACGTCGATTGTGTCCTATGTATTAGTTCTGTCACATCTTCACATCTTTCTCTGGCTTGAGATGCAGTCTTTTGTAACACAGTTTATTTTATTCTCTTAATAATATTTGTTTAATGATATTATCTGGATATTATTTTCCCTTATATAGTCAACCTGACTGGGAGGATCAACATCACCTTCGTGTCTGATAGTGCTGGGACAGGTCGAGGGGTGGATGTCGACTACCATGTGACTAACTGTAAGTTCTGTAATAATATAGACTAGCGTACTATTGAACAGGATCCCTGTTCACACACACACACACACACACACACACACACACACACACACACACACACACACACACACACACACACACACACACACACACACACACACACACACACACACACACACACACACACACACACACACACACACACACACACACACACACACACGTTGAAGACGTTAACAGCAGGTTAAAGGTTAGCAGAATTCTGTCACATTTATATTGACGTTTGGGTAGAATATTCATGCCTTCCACTTTGAGTCATGATAAACCCGCGTGGTCATTGCAACTTCTGTTGTATTCTGTGATCCTGATGTTGCAGACACTTGTGACAGAGTTTATCATGGAACGTCAGGCAACGTCGACTCATATTACTTGTCGAATATGATTTTGGCCCAAGACTTGGACTGTGAATACATCGTTCGTCCCCCATACTACCCCTTCCTCATGACAATGTACTTCAGTCCATTCTATATGCCGTACAACTTCATGAACAACAACGGCACTTGTTCTGGCAGCTATGTTGAGATCGGTGGCACACAGTACTGCGGAACGGTTTACGGAGAATATAACTGTAAGTACAAAATTGAATGTATCAATATGAAGATAGTACTGCAGTTGGGTGTTGGTCTTAGAGTAGTCCCAGGTTTTGATTCTCTGATTCGTTAAAAGTCAAAGTTCTTAAATCGAATTCTTCTGTTACATTTGTCATAATCGTCTTCCAACTTGTTATTTAAAATTTTCTCACCGTTTTCTTTACATTTTCAATGATATCTCTAGATTGATATACAGGTGATGTATCGGCTTGAACATGAGTTAACGGGGTTAGCTGGATGATTCTTCGCCGCCTTAGCAGTAATTTCCCATTTTTTTATGTATCCGTTTATCTATTTATTTACTTAATTACTTGTAGGGGGTGGGATACTTTTGGCTTTTCATTTGCTCTGTTCAGAGCGTTCGGTGGGAACATGCCCATTACAAGTACCGAGGTGAAAAAATATTTAAGCAGATTCTTTGTTTACGTTTTAAGATATGCATCCATACAATTCCAAATTCAACAATGTTTTCGATATTCTTTACAGACACATCGACGAATCGCGACCTTTCTATGAGGTATCACCACTCTGTAAACTCGCACGCAGGGGGAAGTGAAGGCTTTCACATTTTTTACTACATAAGGCCTGGTAGGTATTGTACACGTTTGTGTTGTCTGTTTCAGAAGACAAGGTTGCACAAACGTAAATAAAGTCACAAAATAAACTTTAATATGTTTGTTAAATATACAATTTCACTTTCTTTCCATTACCCTGCCTTTCTTCTCATGTTATGAGTACATCTCTCACAAATAAATCCTGTTTGGAAATTGCAGTCTCATGTAACATAACGCTGACCGACAATGCCGGCTCCATCAACAGTTACTCTGTCTACGGCAATGAGTCCGTGTATGGACATTCCTACAACCACAGCACTCACTGCATCTTCACCATAACGAAAGAAGCAGATGTGGGTCAGACAATTGTCTTTAATCTCAATCAGTTTCATCTGGAAGACCCTGACAACAGCACATCAGTGTGCAATGACTATGTTGATATGAATGGCGAACAGAGATTGTGTGGATACCAATACGGGACTCGCAGCTGTAAGTACAGACCATCCACCTATTTAGCTTTTAGGGACGTTCTGTTTCATGAACACAACCTTGTGATGGTTGCTGTCCAAGTCCCTGCCTTTGGTCGTAAGATACGTGTTTGAAATGCGCACGATACGATAAAACGGTATCTAACGGGACGAGTATGGTAATTTGTTTTTTCTCATAAACGTGTCAATGTATTTTGTACACATCGAAAGAAGATAATGTTTAATGCAGCATGTTAAAACCGCCAACGATTATATAATGTAGAATCAATTGGAATATTTTTTTAATTAACTTCAGAAAAAGTAGAAGACCAGAGAATATCTATATATAGCATCCCATCCTTCCTTAATTATACTCACTTGTCAGTGACAGTTTTGATTTTAGTTGTCTTCAGGAATATTCATATATCATCAAATATGTCCCAATGTATATGTACCTTTTTAATATTCAAGATCACATGTGTTTACGTGTGTACAAGATGTGATGTTACAACTCGTGTCACTATTTGGTTTTCGTTTCTTTTATAGTCAGCTTTGATGGTACATTTGTCGTGATCTTCATCAGTGACAATAGTCAAACAAACAGGGGCTTTAACATCCGTTACAACATCGTTCCAGGTGACTATTTTAATTGATTTTTGAAATATTGCTAAAAAATAATTTTGTCTTTTTAAAAGTTGAGATCTCAAAAGTAAAGTATGTGAAAAAAAGACTACTTTGTCTATTTGTATGTGAAAACATAATTTGCACATTGTAACAACTGAACATCCAATAGTTTGTTTCAATCGTAATATTATCGTTTTTTTTTGTGAAATTGATTAATTTCAATTGCAGATGGTTGTCTCGTCTCGTACAGCGCGACTGAAGGCAATCTTATCAGCCCTATAACAAGCAGTGGTCTGTACCACAACAACCTTGACTGCCGATACACCATATTAACGCCATATGACCTGACCAAGGTCACAGTCACTGTCAATAATTTTGACCTTGAATCCCCTTCGTACAGTTCGAGCTACTGTTACAACGACTATGTATACTATTCAGACGTGTCCTACAGTACCGGGAGGTATTGTGGTGTCATCGCTGCAGGAACCACGTTTACCTGTGAGGGCCATATGTGTTAAAATATTTGCAATATACATATAATTCTACCTGAATGTCTAGTAATATGAAATATATGAAAACATGGCGATTCGGATGAAAACGTGTAATGTAAGTAAGTCTTAAAAATAGACCTCAACTCAGCTGAATTCTCCATGTCGAAAGAGTTCAATTTATTTTGTTTCAAGTTTATAACAGCATTATTCGAAGGAAATACTTCGCTTATTCTCTCACAATTGTCATAATATAAGTACTTAATATACATCGATCTATGTGGCTAATATGATGTTAATTTCTCAGGGTACACAAATACAAGACAGTTTGACATGGTCTTTCATACGAACAACGAGATCAGTAGGCAAGGGTTCAACGTGTCCTACAGGATTGAGGAAGGTATAATTATCTTTTTTGAGATAGAAATGAAATCCTGTTCACAAAGTAATGTTCTCTTTTTTTTGTTCCAAAATACTTTTTCCGTGAATACAGCATGAATCGCATCTTGATGTTAAGGTATTGACCGTCAAAGGTTTTACTTTCAGATCGTTGTGACCAACTGTTTACCGACTCCAATGGCGAAATAAGGAGTCCCGTCTACAGTACTGGTCTCTACAGAAATAATCTGAACTGCACCTATATCATCAGACCTCCAACACAGGGTCCATACAGGTTCAATCTGACGTACTCTCAGTTTGACGTTCAGAGGACGTACTACAACTCCTCATCTTACAGTCTGAGTACATCATGTGGCTACGACTACGTGGAGACCAGGTTCTCAGGACTCACCGGCACCAGCAGACTGTGTGGCAGAATGAGCTCACCAAGAACGTACTTTTGTAAGTCGTGGTAATTTTTCTTGAACACATCCATCTAGTGGGAAATAACAAGCCTGTTTGGTTTAGAATATGTGCCCGTCATACTATTGTCATAAGCAGTAACTAATTTGGATCGGGCTGGTTATGCTGAGTTACTTTATTGAGACACGGCAGGGTAGAACATGACTTATGATGTCTGACACAGACTCGATTAATTACATATCGCAATGATAAAGCTGGAATATTTCTGACTCAGGTATGAAATAACAAATAAACAATCAACATTAAAGAGCGCTTAGAAAAGTCTTAATTCGCAAAAAGGTGAGCGTATAATGTCCCACCACTGGCACCCTTCACAACCACATGCAAGGGCAAGTCAATTGTTCACCTGAAACAAAACAGGAATATGTGGTAGGGAATTGCATCCATTTTGGTCACTGATGCATCAAATTTTGAATTGTCCCCTACATGTCAACATTATGAAAGCGATTGAAATGTTCACATAAAAAGCATGCATGATTGTACCTCAAACGTTGTTTAAATGTAGACACCAAATGCTGTAGCTGCTGGAATATTGCTCTACATAAAGTTGACTGTTCTAAAGTTGAGCACATCTCTCTTGCCATACAGTCTTGCGGACAGCCTTTGCCAATTTTGAATTTGTATTCATTGATGTAAATATGAAACAGATGAGGCAGTTTGAAGGTATTGCTTCACTATTTCAATTTTTACTGTTTGTTTCCGATGTCCAAGAAAACGTCGCACATAGATTTAAAGTCCAATAAAAGAACATAAACGTGTGTATAGTTGTTTGCAAAAGAGAATAACATCTTAAGATGTTGAAATCCTGTAGAAATTAGATGTTTGAGAGCACAGGGTTTGAGAATGGGAGGTTGAGCCTGCAAACTTAAACCAGGTCAATTACAGTAGAATATTATGTTATACTGCCGAGAAAGGTATGTCCTTCAAACCAAGAAGCATCTATGATATTGTATACAACCTAACAATTTTTCCGACGTTTGTGGCGTTTGTATCTGTGTTGTTCTGTTAAGAAAATAATAAGATAATATTAATATTACCTTGACGTTGATTCTAGGTGTGTCAAATGTCACACATCATTGTTATCTGACAGTGTCGCAGCAAAACTCTATGTTTGTCGATATATAATATGCCACTGATCACACGATTTGAGAATTCATTTGGTTACACCTATTCTAATATTGGCATGCTGCGTGCATTGAAGTACGGACACATGATAAGTTGTTTTGTTTCATATCTCCCCATCGCTTCTTTTCATGAATATATTACACGTATGTATTGTGTAACACTGTAAACTTCAAACCATGCATATGATTTTTTCCTGCATAATCTAGATGAACATATTTGCATCTACATCCTGAAGGGAATTCTTCAAGTTGGAACATATTTCACAAATACTAAACTCCCCAATTTTTTTGTACCAGTTGGTTATCATTCATTTGCATATTTCAGATAACACACTTGGTGGCGATTTTGCCATTCACTTCGTCACTGATAGATCTATCCTACGACGTGGATTTGTGTTGGATTATTCATTTGAAGAAAGTGAGTGTCCATGGCATATTGAAATGTTTGTGATCATGTCGAATCCAAATTATTATGTACAAGAAACACTTTGACATTGAACAACATCCAAGTGCTACTTATATATATGTGTAATGTTATTGCTGAAGTGTTCGTTCAATATTCAAAAACAACTGAGAAATAAACAGTTCATATGTTCATCATATTCAACATGAAGACCTGTCTGATAAAATATCTTATGTTATATAATTGAAACACAACCTGGAGTCGTAATTTGAAGACTAAACCACTTCCTCTGCAGACAGCTGTGTCCAGGTGATAACAGATGCTCAAGGGGAGATCCAGGTCCCTGGCGATGGCAGCGCAACCTACTCACCTAACCTCGACTGTCTGTTCACCATCAGGCCTCCAGCAGGTGGGGCATGGATTGTTAACATTACTCTTGAGGAGTTCGACGTGCAGAGATATTATAACTCCTACAGTAACAGTTTCTCCACCTCCTGCAGCATGGACTACATACAGATACTCTACGATGGCTACTTCTCCTCCAGGATGTGCGGAACGAGGACATCACCCATATCATACATATGTCAGTACCACATTCAGTACAAAACGGTTCAGTCGTTATCGGCGAGAGATGTAATCTTGTATTATAATAATTGTATTCCAGAAGTAAAACATATTAATATTAACGATTAATAAAACTACCATATCACTTATATTAACTACAAAATGTAAATTATTAATACCCGATGTGAGTATGTTCCTTATAGCTTGTTTTTAAAAGGAGCAAAGCATGTTGTCACGTTAAGAGTGTTAAAAAAGAAGTATTTTACTCCATTATTTCAGACAACATCTTTGAAAGTGACCTGAACATCACCTTTCACAGTGATAGTTCCACTGAGAGGAGTGGACTCAAAATAACCTACACGTACATAAACAGTAAGTAGCTTCAAGGTGATGGGACCCATAACCCATGTTCCAGTAAACTAGAGGCATGTTCTGTTCTGCAATGTAGGAAAGGTTCACAAGTATACATGCATAGACATAGATTAAGTATAGTAGCTCAATATTGATCAGGTTCACTTGTTATGTTTTAAGAACATGCGCAAGGGCTAAATCTGAGTAGAACCGTATTAAGTCCAGGAACGGTGACATCTTGACAGGTACATGTATCCTGATTTGTATGAAGATTATATTTTTATGTTATATTCCATGTGAAATAATCAATCGACATAGTACTGACAAATGTAAATATAAATATATTAACATTTCAGATACCTGTGTGACGGACCTCGACCAGAATACTGGTACAATCCGCAGCCCTGTGACTGAGGGTGGGGTGACCTACCCAACAGACACCTTGTGTATTTACTACCTCGACCTGGGAGATTCCCTCAAGACTGTTACTTTCACAGTCAGGGTCTTTGATGTAAACTGTAGTGATTCCTTCACCGTCCATGATCAGCGTTTCTGTGGAGACAGGATGCACCAGACGTCCTGTGAGTAGTGAACCCATATGGTTTCAGTCGTTGATACAATTGGTGCATATGGTTATAGATACTGACATTATGTAAAGGTGGCTCAACAGGTTTGATCAATGAAACAATGACAAGCTTCAATGAAACAAACTAAAGATTTAACTTGTGTAATTGTCCACTGTATATTAAATGAAACCAAAGAGTGAGATCTATTGAAGAAGATATATTTGATATGCTAAGAAAGTTAGAACTCATTTTGGAAAACGGGAGCAAAGATTATCATCATTGTTGTATAACGTTGTAGATTATTTTTGAATGAACAAACGTAATGCTTCATCGACAAACCATTGAGTATTGTCTCTTGAAATAACGTTCATCTGAATGCATGCATATACTTTAGCCCCGTTAAAAAATGTTTTGAGTGTGGGTTGTTCCATGCCCACGTTAGATCAGACTGTAAAGCATATAAAGTAATAAAAACGATTCCTTGGTTGCTCTTTTTTCTCCGGTAATATCATCAAACCACTTGAACTCTGTTATAACAACCCATATGGGACTTTCAAGACCAGTGATGCGAAGAAAGCTCTGAAGGTTTGTTTGCGAACAAGCTGTTTAAAGAAATACGCGTCTGCAAAAAACCCTACTTATTAAACGTCGATTGTAATCATCTGTATTAGTTCTGTCACATCTTCACATCTTACTCTGGCTTGAGATGCAGTCTTTTGTACCACAGTCTATTTTATTCTCTTAATGTGATGTTTGGTGATATTTTCTGGATATTATTTTCCTTTATATAGTCAACCTGACTGGGAGGATCAACATCACCTTCGTGTCTGATAGTGCTGGGACAGGTCGAGGGGTGGATGTCGACTACCATGTGACTAACTGTGAGTTCTGTAAAAATATAGACTTGCGTACCATTGAACAGGATCCATGTCTATGATGACATATAGTCCCTTATATCTATAAATAAATATATAATCGAGCAGGATATACATACGCCTACACGAACATTTATTAAACAACTTAACCAATGTCCCCTTTCACACATGACATAACTCGGTTGCTACCAGTATATTGCCATGGTGTGTTGAATTCAGGGAGTGAACAACCGCATATTCATAGATGATATATTGACATATGTTAAAGACATAATTTGTGAACAGCCACACACATATACCAGTATTTAAAGGGGATATATTGACGAATTTGGAAGACAGGAATTGTGCAACACACACACAAATAAACAAACAAAAACACACACACACACACACACACACACACACACACACACACACACACACACACACACACACACACACACACACACACACACACACACACACACACACACACACACACACACACACACACACACACACACACACACACAGTCTGAGTCTGAAACTGATATAAAGAAGATGATGGCTAAACGTGGACTTTATTATTTTATTTTATTATATATATATATATATATATATATATATATATATATATATATATATATATATATATATATATAATGATGATAATATATATATATAGTAATAATTAAATAAGTGGAGTAAGATTGAACACAGTTTTAATAGGCTAGCGCTTTCAACTCGTACCACGTACGAGTCTCATCAGGCCATAACTGAATAACGGACATGAAGTAGTAACATATAGTTACGTGACGTCATAACATTTAGGAAACTATGACGTCACAATACCAAGGTGACAATGGATAAATAACTTACGCCTTTACATTTAACTTAGGCGCGTATTTATGAATGAAATGTTGCTCTTTTTGAGTGAGTGAGTGAGTGAGTGAGTATGGTTTTACGCCGCTTTTAGCAATATTCCAGCAATATCACGGCGGGGGACACCAGAAATGGGCTTCACACATTGTACCCATGTCGGGAATCGAACCCGGGTCTTCGGCGTGACGAGCGAACGCTTTAACCACTAGGCTACCCGACCGCCCTGCTCTTTTTGAAACAATGTAGGTTCATGATAAGAATTTAGTTATATAGCGGATAAACTAAAAAGTTGCCGTTTCCACATGCTTTTAAATGTTCACTGAGTGGATTCGTGCGGTTGTGTGGCTGCTTTATTTGTGAACGGTGAAGATTCATTCTTCTTTTTAATTTAACTTCTGTCTTTCGGATATACTTTTCATTGCATCCACTACAAACAATCAAGTAAATAACATTTCTAGTATCACAAGTCATATTTTGTTTTACAGTAAATTTAGTGTCCTTGGTAATTTTGCCTGAACAGCCTATAATTATATTGCTGCAAGTTAGGCAACGTTTGTCACCGCACTGAGAAACCTGTGGAGTGATGACAACAGAATCAAATTTAGAACTTGTCAAAATCCTTCTAAGATTTTTGGGTTGTCTTTGGCTGTTGATAATTTTGTATTTGCTCAATATCTTCTCCATTTTAATACTTTGATTCAAAATAGGCATGTATCGTTGAACCATGGATAATGTCTTTTCATGATTAGGGTTGAAGGTAGATACTATAGTTAAATTATTCCCCATATTGTTTTCTTCAGACTTTTCTCTCATTTTTAGTTGCTTAATACTTAGCGCCTTCTGTATGCTATCTTCAATTAGCTTTGCGGGAGTAAATTTTGATGCAGTAGGAAACTCTTAAGTTCAGCAAGGCGAGTAGTTTTAACATCATTCCCGGAAACAATGGTACAAATACGTAAGGGATATTTCGTTTTGTATGATACGGGTGACATGATCCAAAATCCAAATATTGGTGCGTATCAGTAGCTTTATAAAAGATATCAGTTTGTACAAATCTCCCAGATATTAAATTGATTCTTACATCGAGAGAGGTTAAACTGGATTCGCTTTTTTCCATAGTGAAATTGAGTGACGCATTAAGTGAATTTAAAATTTCATGAACAGCGGTGAGTTGACTTTCACTGGTTTTCAATATGATAAAACAGTCGTTAAAAAACCTTTCCATGTCATTGGTAATAACCAACTTCAATGCATCAATGATAAACTCATCCGAAAATCTATTTGATATTTCATGGCGGTATTCTTTCATCCAGTATCTGATAGCTTCAAGTCCGAGCTCAGTTTCAATATTACTATACAAACTAGCAAAACATCAAAACTAACTAACATAGATCCTTCCGGTAGTTATTTCTGTTGAAAATCCCGAAGATTTACCATTTAGACCAATTGTGGGAGGACCCGAGAGCTGTACTCTGCGTCTTAGCAATTTCATAGATATTATTCTTAAGCCTTTATGTAAACATGTAAAAAGTTTTCTCAGAGATGACATTGATTTTTTATGTAAATTACCTACTGAGGAACCGGAAGGATCTATATTAACTATAGTATCTACCTTCAACCCTAATCATGAAAAGACATTATCCATGGTTCAACGATACCTGCCTATTTTGAAACAAAATATTAAAATGGAGAAGATATTGAGCAAATACAAAATTATCAGCAGCCAAAAGACAACCCAAAATTCTTAGAAAGATTTTGACAAGTTCTAAATTTGATTCTGTTGTCATCACTCCACAGGTTTCTCAGTGCGGTGACAAACGTTGCCTAAGTTGCAGCAATATAATTGAAGGCTGATCAGTCCAAATTACCAAGGACACTAAATTTACTGTAAAACAAAATATGACTTGTGATACTAGAAATGTTATTTACTTGATTGTTTGCAGTGGATGCAATGAAAAGTATATCCGAAAGACAGAAGTTAAATTAAAAAGAAGAATGAATCTTCACCGTTCACAAATAAAGCAGCCACACAACCGCACGATTCCACACTGTGAACATTTAGAAGCATGTGGAAACGGCAACTTTTTAGTTTATCCGCTATATAAGCTTAATTTTGATCATGAACCTACATTGTTTCAAAAAGAGCAAAATTTCATTCATAAATACGCGCCTAAGGTAAATGTAAAGGCGTAAGTTATTTGTCCATTGTCACCTTGGTATTGTGACGTCATAGTTTCCTAAATGTTATGACGTCACGTAACTATATGTTACTACTTCATGTCCGTTATTCAGTTATGGCCTGATGAGACTCGTACGTGGTACGAGTTGAAAGCGCTAGCCTACTAAAACTGTGTTCAATCTTACTCCACTTATTTAGGAGATAAACATACTGTGTTTTCAATGTAGAGCTAGGTTACCTGTAGATTTAACCCAGCTAAATTGAATTTGAAACCGAACGCGCAGCGTGAGGTTTCAAATGTTAAATTTAGCACGCTAAATCTACAGGTAACCTAGCTCTACATTGAAAACACAGTATGTTTATCTCCATTCTGCCATGACTAAATAAAACGCGAACTCTTTGGGTGTTAGCAAATATACTGAGTGAAGCGGCATGGGTTGAGTCCAGTGTTATCGATCTGAATTACGGAATCATCGAACAAAATATGGCGCCATGTATACTCAAGCAGTTTGTTTACACCGTAATACTTCACTCGAACATATGACAGGCATTGAAAGCATATAAGCACGGCAACTTGGTAAGCTAACATGAGGTGGGCATCCGTAAAGAAAACAAAGCAAGCTTTGCAAGGCTATCGCTCTACATCGCGCGTCACCATTATGACGTCATATCGCTCATTGTGACGCAAAAGCTATGACGTCACAGTCGTATATAGAAAAGCGCCAAAATTCCAAGCTCTCTGATGTCTCCAAATCCTAAATACATTCCCTTTGTAGATTTCTATCGTGTTTTCTGCACGAAATGCATTGCCACACATCCTTTGAATATTGTAGTAACCGCACCTGTGCATTTTGTAACCTGTAATTGTAGATATAATTATTTAAATATGCCTACCGACAATGACTGACAAAAGTACTATTCTGTGAATATCAGCTTCCGCGGTGATGCTGTTTCTATCAGAGGGGGTTTATTGTGATTTAATAGCCTCTGATTGACCAATCAGAATCGAGTCAATTCCAAATTCATGGTAGAAATATAGAAAACTAAACAAGCTCCCGTGTAAAACCAATTTTATGAAACGAGTGAATAGTTGTGGTATCTGACGAGCGAAAGCGAGTCAGATACCACAACTATTCACGAGTTTATTAAATTGGTTTTACACGGGAGCGAGTTTAGTATTTTATTTATTACTGGCCATTTATAACGTTTTTAGAATTATACTGTTGAGTGTGAATAGGCTGACACCTACACGATCCACGTCATAGTCCAACTGAGTTTAACACAGTAATACTTCAATTACGTCAAAAGTTGAAACGTATGAATTTAATACCATCCAACGGTCCACCTTTAGAATTCAGGCGTCCGTTCCACAAAATTATCGTAGCGTTAAGATTATCGCAACTCATATACTTTAACTTAGACCAACGAATGTCGTTGCGCTACCGTATGATCGCCTTGTGGAACGGGGCCTTGCACCTCAAAGTTTACAATCACGTCACAATACCCGATGACGTCATTTGTGGAATTTTGTTGCAAGATCCTTCGGCGAAACAATGCCATGTGACGTCAACCTAGCAAACAAGGTTGCTGGGGTCATCGCGTGTGCATAAGCTCCTCTCAGTGATCTATCATCTCCACACGCAATGTCGTTGAATAAGCAAAGGGATGTTGAGAGCTTTCAATATTTGTTCGTGAAACGTGTTCCGAGAGTACATAAGCACGCGTTTTGGTATTACACAATGTGTAATACAGCTGTATGTTTATTAAACGGGTGATCTCTTCACGGGCAAGTAATAATTAATTTTTACTATATTGTGCCTGAGAGTTAGAACTTTACTGTGCTTTATATATATATATATATATATATATATATATATATATATATATATATATATATATATATATATATATATATATATATATATATTAAATACAAATGTCCAAAGATGAGCTGTATAATTTACTCAACCGGTTTCACGCATGTGATTTTCAAGAGTACACACACACACACACACATATATATATATATATATATATATATATTTACCTGCGTTGAAGACGTTAACAGCAGGTTAAGGGTAAGCAGAATTCTGCCACATTTATATGGACGTTTGGGTAGAATATTCATGCCTTCCACTTTGAGTCATGATAAACCCGCGTGGTCATTGCAACTTCTGTTGTATTCTGTGATCCTGATGTTGCAGACACTTGTGACAGAGTTTATCATGGAACGTCAGGCAACGTCGACTCATATTACTTGTCGAATATGATTTTGGCCCAAGACTTGGACTGTGAATACATCGTTCGTCCCCCATACTACCCCTTCCTCATGACAATGTACTTCAGTCCATTCTATATGCCGTACAACTTCATGAACAACAACGGCACTTGTTCTGGCAGCTATGTTGAGATCGGTGGCACACAGTACTGCGGAACGGTTTACGGAGAATATAACTGTAAGTACAAAATTGAATGTCTCAATATGAAGATAGTACTGCAGTTGGGTGTTGGTCGTGGAGTAGTCCCGGGCTCTGATTCTCTGATTCGTTAAAAGTCAAAGTTCTTAAATCGAATTCCTCTCTTACATTTGCCATGAACGTCTTTCAACTTGTTATTTAAAATTTTCTCACCGTTTTCTTTACATTTTCAATGATATCACTAGATTGATATACAGGTGATTTATCGGCTTGAACATGAGTTAACTGGGATAGCTGGATGATTCTTCGCTGCAGTAACAATTATTTCCTAATTATTTCTGTATCGATTTATTTATCTATCTATCTATCTATCTATCTATCTATCTATCTATCTATCTATCTATCTATCTATCTATCTATCTATCTATCTTTTTATTTTTTAATTATTTATTTACTTATTTATTTATTTATTTATTTACTCACTTATTTGTAGGGGATGGGATACTTTTGGCTTTTCATTTGCTCTGTACATATCGTTCGGTGGAAACATGCCAATTACAAGTACCAAAGTAAAATATAATATTTAAGCAGATTCTTTGTTTACGCTTTTAAGATATGCATACATGCAATACCAAATTCATCAATGTTTTTGATATTCTTTACAGACACATCGACGAATCGCGACCTCTCTATGAGGTATCACCACTCTGTAAGCTCGGACACAGGGAGAAGTGAAGGCTTTCACATTTTTTACTACATAAGGCCTGGTAGGTATTGTACACGTATGTAGGTGTGTATTCTATTTAAGAAGACAAGGTTGCACAAACGTAAATACTTGAATATGTTTGTAATATATACAATTACAATCTTTCTTTCCATTACCCTGCCTTTCCTCTCATGTTATGAGTACATCTCTCACAAATAAATCCTGTTTGGAAATTGCAGTCTCATGTAACATAACGCTGACCGACAATGCCGGCTCCATCAACAGTTACTCTGTCTACGGCAATGAGTCCGTGTATGGACATTCCTACAACCACAGCACTCACTGCATCTTCACAATAAAGGGGGATGACGATGTGGGTCAGACAATTGTCTTTAGTCTCAATCAGTTCCACCTGGAGGACCCTGACAACATCACATCTGTCTGTAATGACTATGTGGATATAAATGGCGAACAGAGATTGTGTGGATACCAATACGGGACTCGCAGCTGTGAGTACAGACCATCCAACCATTTAGCGTTTCGGGACATTCAGATATAACAGTTTCATGAACACAACCTAATGGAGGTTACTGTCCGAGTCCCTGCCATTGATCGTCAGATACTTGTTTGAAATGCACACGATACGATAAAACGGTATCGTATTTGTTTTATTCTCATAAATGTGACAATGTTTTTATTATAAAACTTATAACATGCAAAGTTGAACATTATCTTCTCGAAAGAAGACAATAGTTAACTTTGCATGTTATAATCGCCAACGATTCCTAAGTTATTAAATATGGGAATAATGAATGTTCCATGCATCAGCTTTAGACAAAACAATTGAATAACATTATATGTCATCCCAATGTTACTTATACATCAAAAGTCATTGGTCCAGGGTTTGGTAGTTTCGAATTTAGCTTAAAAAATAATATTCCGTTAAATGTGCCTCAATATATACTAGTATTTTACTAATTTTTCTTCAATATATACGATCACGTGACATATATATGTTTACGCGATGTAACAACGCCGTTCTGCATTTCTTTTTTAGTCAGCTTTGATGGCACATTTGTCGTGACCTTCATCAGTGACAATAGTCAGACAAACATGGGCTTCAACATCCGTTACAACATCGTTCCAGGTGACTATTTTAATTGATTACAAAAATCTTACAAGACAGAGAATTTTGTCTTTTTTAGAAAACTGAGAACTCTAAGGTAAAGTATGACGATTGTGTTAAATACTTGTCTATCCGTATGTGAAAACCTAACTTGTAAGAAGTGAACATTCAAAAGCTTTTTCGATGTGTAAAGAAAAGTTTGTTTCAATCATAATATTATCTTTTTTGGGTGAAATTGATTAATTTCAATTGCAGATGGTTGTCTGGTGTCGAACACCGCGACTGAAGGCACTCTTATCAGCCCTATAACAAGCAGTGGTCTGTACCACAACAACCTTGACTGCCGATACACCATGTTAACATCCTACACCCAGACTAAGGTCACGGCCACCGTCAACAACTTTGACCTTGAATCTCCATCTTACAGTACGAGGTCGTGTGACAACGACTACATATACTTCACAGACGGGTCCTACACTTCCGGGAGGTACTGTGGTGCCATCGCTGCAGGAACCATGTTTACTTGTGAGGGCTATATATGTTTATCTTTTTACAACATGTAGATACTTTCACCCGAATATCTGGTCACATAAAATATATGAAAACACGACGACTCTGATATAAAATGTAATGTAACGAAGTCTTAAAAATAGAACTCAACTCAGCTGAATTCTCCATGTTTCAAATGTATTACAGCATTAAACGAAGGAAATACTTCGCTCATTCTCTCACGATTGAGTTCTTCTATTGGAACCATTTTCATAACATATGTACTTAATATACAATGATTCCTGTGGCTCATATGATGTTAATTTCCTCAGGGTACACAAACACAAGAGAGATTGACATGGTCTTTCATACAAACAACGAGATCAGTAGGCAAGGGTTCAACGTGTCCTATAGGATTGAGGAAGGTATAATTATCTATTTTGAGATAGAAATGAAATCCTGTTCACAAAGTAATGTTCTCTTTGTTTTGTTCCAAAATACTTTTTCCGTGAATACAGCATGAATCGCATCTTGATGTTAAGGTATTGACCGTCAAAGGTTTTACTTTCAGATCGTTGTGACCAACTGTTTACCGACTCCAATGGCGAAATAAGGAGTCCCGTCTACAGTACTGGTCTCTACAGAAATAATCTGAACTGCACCTATATCATCAGACCTCCAACACAGGGTCCATACAGGTTCAATCTGACGTACTCTCAGTTTGACGTTCAGAGGACGTACTACAACTCCTCATCTTACAGTCTGAGTACATCATGTGGCTACGACTACGTGGAGACCAGGTTCTCAGGACTCACCGGCACCAGCAGACTGTGTGGCAGAATGAGCTCACCAAGAACGTACTTTTGTAAGTCGTGGTAATTTTTCTTGAACACATCCATCTAGTGGGAAATAACAAGCCTGTTTGGTTTAGAATATGTGCCCGTCATACTATTGTCATAAGCAGTAACTAATTTGGATCGGGCTGGTTATGCTGAGTTACTTTATTGAGACACGGCAGGGTAGAACATGACTTATGATGTCTGACACAGACTCGATTAATTACATATCGCAATGATAAAGCTGGAATATTTCTGACTCAGGTATGAAATAACAAATAAACAATCAACATTAAAGAGCGCTTAGAAAAGTCTTAATTCGCAAAAAGGTGAGCGTATAATGTCCCACCACTGGCACCCTTCACAACCACATGCAAGGGCAAGTCAATTGTTCACCTGAAACAAAACAGGAATCTGTGGTAGGGAATTGCATCCATTTTGGTCACTGATGCATCAAATTTTGAATTGTCCCCTACATGTCAACATTATGAAAGCGATTGAAATGTTCACATAAAAAGCATGCATGATTGTACCTCAAACGTTGTTTAAATGTAGACACCAAATGCTGTAGCTGCTGGAATATTGCTCTACATAAAGTTGACTGTTCTAAAGTTGAGCACATCTCTCTTGCCATACAGTCTTGCGGACAGCCTTTGCCAATTTTGAATTTGTATTCATTGATGTAAATATGAAACAGATGAGGCAGTTTGAAGGTATTGCTTCACTATTTCAATTTTTACTGTTTGTTTCCGATGTCCAAGAAAACGTCGCACATAGATTTAAAGTCCAATAAAAGAACATAAACGTGTGTATAGTTGTTTGCAAAAGAGAATAACATCTTAAGATGTTGAAATCCTGTAGAAATTAGATGTTTGAGAGCACAGGGTTTGAGAATGGGAGGTTGAGCCTGCAAACTTAAACCAGGTCAATTACAGTAGAATATTATGTTATACTGCCGAGAAAGGTATGTCCTTCAAACCAAGAAGCATCTATGATATTGTATACAACCTAACAATTTTTCCGACGTTTGTGGCGTTTGTATCTGTGTTGTTCTGTTAAGAAAATAATAAGATAATAATAATATTACCTTGACGTTGATTCTAGGTGTGTCAAATGTCACACATCATTGTTATCTGACAGTGTCGCAGCAAAACTCTATGTTTGTCGATATATAATATGCCACTGATCACACGATTTGAGAATTCATTTGGTTACACCTATTCTAATATTGGCATGCTGCGTGCATTGAAGTACGGACACATGATAAGTTGTTTTGTTTCATATCTCCCCATCGCTTCTTTTCATGAATATATTACACGTATGTATTGTGTAACACTGTAAACTTCAAACCATGCATATGATTTTTTCCTGCATAATCTAGATGAACATATTTGCATCTACATCCTGAAGGGAATTCTTCAAGTTGGAACATATTTCACAAATACTAAACTCCCAAATTTTTTTGTACCAGTTGGTTATCATTCATTTGCATATTTCAGATAACACACTTGGTGGCGATTTTGCCATTCACTTCGTCACTGATAGATCTATCCTACGACGTGGATTTGTGTTGGATTATTCATTTGAAGAAAGTGAGTGTCCATGGCATATTGAAATGTTTGTGATCATGTCGAATCCAAATTATTATGTACAAGAAACACTTTGACATTGAACAACATCCAAGTGCTACTTATATATATGTGTAATGTTATTGCTGAAGTGTTCGTTCAATATTCAAAAACAACTGAGAAATAAACAGTTCATATGTTCATCATATTCAACATGAAGACCTGTCTGATAAAATATCTTATGTTATATAATTGAAACACAACCTGGAGTCGTAATTTGAAGACTAAACCACTTCCTCTGCAGACAGCTGTGTCCAGGTGATAACAGATGCTCAAGGGGAGATCCAGGTCCCTGGCGATGGCAGCGCAACCTACTCACCTAACCTCGACTGTCTGTTCACCATCAGGCCTCCAGCAGGTGGGGCATGGATTGTTAACATTACTCTTGAGGAGTTCGACGTGCAGAGATATTATAACTCCTACAGTAACAGTTTCTCCACCTCCTGCAGCATGGACTACATACAGATACTCTACGATGGCTACTTCTCCTCCAGGATGTGCGGAACGAGGACATCACCCATATCATACATATGTCAGTACCACATTCAGTACAAAACGGTTCAGTCGTTATCGGCGAGAGATGTAATCTTGTATTATAATAATTGTATTCCAGAAGTAAAACATATTAATATTAACGATTAATAAAACTACCATATCACTTATATTAACTACAAAATGTAAATTATTAATACCCGATGTGAGTATGTTCCTTATAGCTTGTTTTTAAAAGGAGCAAAGCATGTTGTCACGTTAAGAGTGTTAAAAAAGAAGTATTTTACTCCATTATTTCAGACAACATCTTTGAAAGTGACCTGAACATCACCTTTCACAGTGATAGTTCCACTGAGAGGAGTGGACTCAAAATAACCTACACGTACATAAACAGTAAGTAGCTTCAAGGTGATGGGACCCATAACCCATGTTCCAGTAAACTAGAGGCATGTTCTGTTCTGCAATGTAGGAAAGGTTCACAAGTATACATGCATAGACATAGATTAAGTATAGTAGCTCAATATTGATCAGGTTCACTTGTTATGTTTTAAGAACATGCGCAAGGGCTAAATCTGAGTAGAACCGTATTAAGTCCAGGAACGGTGACATCTTGACAGGTACATGTATCCTGATTTGTATGAAGATTATATTTTTATGTTATATTCCATGTGAAATAATCAATCGACATAGTACTGACAAATGTAAATATAAATATATTAACATTTCAGATACCTGTGTGACGGACCTCGACCAGAATACTGGTACAATCCGCAGCCCTGTGACTGAGGGTGGGGTGACCTACCCAACAGACACCTTGTGTATTTACTACCTCGACCTGGGAGATTCCCTCAAGACTGTTACTTTCACAGTCAGGGTCTTTGATGTAAACTGTAGTGATTCCTTCACCGTCCATGATCAGCGTTTCTGTGGAGACAGGATGCACCAGACGTCCTGTGAGTAGTGAACCCATATGGTTTCAGTCGTTGATACAATTGGTGCATATGGTTATAGATACTGACATTATGTAAAGGTGGCTCAACAGGTTTGATCAATGAAACAATGACAAGCTTCAATGAAACAAACTAAAGATTTAACTTGTGTAATTGTCCACTGTATATTAAATGAAACCAAAGAGTGAGATCTATTGAAGAAGATATATTTGATATGCTAAGAAAGTTAGAACTCATTTTGGAAAACGGGAGCAAAGATTATCATCATTGTTGTATAACGTTGTAGATTATTTTTGAATGAACAAACGTAATGCTTCATCGACAAACCATTGAGTATTGTCTCTTGAAATAACGTTCATCTGAATGCATGCATATACTTTAGCCCCGTTAAAAAATGTTTTGAGTGTGGGTTGTTCCATGCCCACGTTAGATCAGACTGTAAAGCATATAAAGTAATAAAAACGATTCCTTGGTTGCTCTTTTTTCTCCGGTAATATCATCAAACCACTTGAACTCTGTTATAACAACCCATATGGGACTTTCAAGACCAGTGATGCGAAGAAAGCTATGAAGGTTTGTTTGCGAACAAGCTGTTTAAAGAAATACGCGTCTGCAAAAAACCCTACTTATTAAACGTCGATTGTAATCATCTGTATTAGTTCTGTCACATCTTCACATCATACTCTGGCTTGAGATGCAGTCTTTTGTACCACAGTCTATTTTATTCTCTTAATGTGATGTTTGGTGATATTTTCTGGATATTATTTTCCTTTATATAGTCAACCTGACTGGGAGGATCAACATCACCTTCGTGTCTGATAGTGCTGGGACAGGTCGAGGGGTGGATGTCGACTACCATGTGACTAACTGTGAGTTCTGTAAAAATATAGACTTGCGTACCATTGAACAGGATCCATGTCTATGATGACATATAGTCCCTTATATCTATAAATAAATATATAATCGAGCAGGATATACATACGCCTACACGAACATTTATTAAACAACTTAACCAATGTCCCCTTTCACACATGACATAACTCGGTTGCTACCAGTATATTGCCATGGTGTGTTGAATTCAGGGAGTGAACAACCGCATATTCATAGATGATATATTGACATATGTTAAAGACATAATTTGTGAACAGCCACACACATATACCAGTATTTAAAGGGGATATATTGACGAATTTGGAAGACAGGAATTGTGCAACACACACACAAATAAACAAACAAAAACACACACACACACACACACACACACACACACACACACACACACACACACACACACACACACACACACACACACACACACACACACACACACACACACACAGTCTGAGTCTGAAACTGATATAAAGAAGATGATGGCTAAACGTGGACTTTATTATTTTATTTTATTATATATATATATATATATATATATATATATATATATATATATATATATAATGATGATAATATATATATATAGTAATAATTAAATAAGTGGAGTAAGATTGAACACAGTTTTAATAGGCTAGCGCTTTCAACTCGTACCACGTACGAGTCTCATCAGGCCATAACTGAATAACGGACATGAAGTAGTAACATATAGTTACGTGACGTCATAACATTTAGGAAACTATGACGTCACAATACCAAGGTGACAATGGATAAATAACTTACGCCTTTACATTTAACTTAGGCGCGTATTTATGAATGAAATGTTGCTCTTTTTGAGTGAGTGAGTGAGTGAGTGAGTATGGTTTTACGCCGCTTTTAGCAATATTCCAGCAATATCACGGCGGGGGACACCAGAAATGGGCTTCACACATTGTACCCATGTCGGGAATCGAACCCGGGTCTTCGGCGTGACGAGCGAACGCTTTAACCACTAGGCTACCCGACCGCCCTGCTCTTTTTGAAACAATGTAGGTTCATGATAAGAATTTAGTTATATAGCGGATAAACTAAAAAGTTGCCGTTTCCACATGCTTTTAAATGTTCACTGAGTGGATTCGTGCGGTTGTGTGGCTGCTTTATTTGTGAACGGTGAAGATTCATTCTTCTTTTTAATTTAACTTCTGTCTTTCGGATATACTTTTCATTGCATCCAATACAAACAATCAAGTAAATAACATTTCTAGTATCACAAGTCATATTTTGTTTTACAGTAAATTTAGTGTCCTTGGTAATTTTGCCTGAACAGCCTATAATTATATTGCTGCAAGTTAGGCAACGTTTGTCACCGCACTGAGAAACCTGTGGAGTGATGACAACAGAATCAAATTTAGAACTTGTCAAAATCCTTCTAAGATTTTTGGGTTGTCTTTGGCTGTTGATAATTTTGTATTTGCTCAATATCTTCTCCATTTTAATACTTTGATTCAAAATAGGCATGTATCGTTGAACCATGGATAATGTCTTTTCATGATTAGGGTTGAAGGTAGATACTATAGTTAAATTATTCCCCATATTGTTTTCTTCAGACTTTTCTCTCATTTTTAGTTGCTTAATACTTAGCGCCTTCTGTATGCTATCTTCAATTAGCTTTGCGGGAGTAAATTTTGATGCAGTAGGAAACTCTTAAGTTCAGCAAGGCGAGTAGTTTTAACATCATTCCCGGAAACAATGGTACAAATACGTAAGGGATATTTCGTTTTGTATGATACGGGTGACATGATCCAAAATCCAAATATTGGTGCGTATCAGTAGCTTTATAAAAGATATCAGTTTGTACAAATCTCCCAGATATTAAATTGATTCTTACATCGAGAGAGGTTAAACTGGATTCGCTTTTTTCCATAGTGAAATTGAGTGACGCATTAAGTGAATTTAAAATTTCATGAACAGCGGTGAGTTGACTTTCACTGGTTTTCAATATGATAAAACAGTCGTTAAAAAACCTTTCCATGTCATTGGTAATAACCAACTTCAATGCATCAATGATAAACTCATCCGAAAATCTATTTGATATTTCATGGCGGTATTCTTTCATCCAGTATCTGATAGCTTCAAGTCCGAGCTCAGTTTCAATATTACTATACAAACTAGCAAAACATCAAAACTAACTAACATAGATCCTTCCGGTAGTTATTTCTGTTGAAAATCCCGAAGATTTACCATTTAGACCAATTGTGGGAGGACCCGAGAGCTGTACTCTGCGTCTTAGCAATTTCATAGAAATTATTCTTAAGCCTTTATGTAAACATGTAAAAAGTTTTCTCAGAGATGACATTGATTTTTTATGTAAATTACCTACTGAGGAACCGGAAGGATCTATATTAACTATAGTATCTACCTTCAACCCTAATCATGAAAAGACATTATCCATGGTTCAACGATACCTGCCTATTTTGAAACAAAATATTAAAATGGAGAAGATATTGAGCAAATACAAAATTATCAGCAGCCAAAAGACAACCCAAAATTCTTAGAAAGATTTTGACAAGTTCTAAATTTGATTCTGTTGTCATCACTCCACAGGTTTCTCAGTGCGGTGACAAACGTTGCCTAAGTTGCAGCAATATAATTGAAGGCTGATCAGTCCAAATTACCAAGGACACTAAATTTACTGTAAAACAAAATATGACTTGTGATACTAGAAATGTTATTTACTTGATTGTTTGCAGTGGATGCAATGAAAAGTATATCCGAAAGACAGAAGTTAAATTAAAAAGAAGAATGAATCTTCACCGTTCACAAATAAAGCAGCCACACAACCGCACGATTCCACACTGTGAACATTTAGAAGCATGTGGAAACGGCAACTTTTTAGTTTATCCGCTATATAAGCTAAATTTTGATCATGAACCTACATTGTTTCAAAAAGAGCAAAATTTCATTCATAAATACGCGCCTAAGGTAAATGTAAAGGCGTAAGTTATTTGTCCATTGTCACCTTGGTATTGTGACGTCATAGTTTCCTAAATGTTATGACGTCACGTAACTATATGTTACTACTTCATGTCCGTTATTCAGTTATGGCCTGATGAGACTCGTACGTGGTACGAGTTGAAAGCGCTAGCCTATTAAAACTGTGTTCAATCTTACTCCACTTATTTAGGAGATAAACATACTGTGTTTTCAATGTAGAGCTAGGTTACCTGTAGATTTAACCCAGCTAAATTGAATTTGAAACCGAACGCGCAGCGTGAGGTTTCAAATGTTAAATTTAGCACGCTAAATCTACAGGTAACCTAGCTCTACATTGAAAACACAGTATGTTTATCTCCATTCTGCCATGACTAAATAAAACGCGAACTCTTTGGGTGTTAGCAAATATACTGAGTGAAGCGGCATGGGTTGAGTCCAGTGTTATCGATCTGAATTACGGAATCATCGAACAAAATATGGCGCCATGTATACTCAAGCAGTTTGTTTACACCGTAATACTTCACTCGAACATATGACAGGCATTGAAAGCATATAAGCACGGCAACTTGGTAAGCTAACATGAGGTGGGCATCCGTAAAGAAAACAAAGCAAGCTTTGCAAGGCTATCGCTCTACATCGCGCGTCACCATTATGACGTCATATCGCTCATTGTGACGCAAAAGCTATGACGTCACAGTCGTATATAGAAAAGCGCCAAAATTCCAAGCTCTCTGATGTCTCCAAATCCTAAATACATTCCCTTTGTAGATTTCTATCGTGTTTTCTGCACGAAATGCATTGCCACACATCCTTTGAATATTGTAGTAACCGCACCTGTGCATTTTGTAACCTGTAATTGTAGATATAATTATTTAAATATGCCTACCGACAATGACTGACAAAAGTACTATTCTGTGAATATCAGCTTCCGCGGTGATGCTGTTTCTATCAGAGGGGGTTTATTGTGATTTAATAGCCTCTGATTGACCAATCAGAATCGAGTCAATTCCAAATTCATGGTAGAAATATAGAAAACTAAACAAGCTCCCGTGTAAAACCAATTTTATGAAACGAGTGAATAGTTGTGGTATCTGACGAGCGAAAGCGAGTCAGATACCACAACTATTCACGAGTTTATTAAATTGGTTTTACACGGGAGCGAGTTTAGTATTTTATTTATTACTGGCCATTTATAACGTTTTTAGAATTATACTGTTGAGTGTGAATAGGCTGACACCTACACGATCCACGTCATAGTCCAACTGAGTTTAACACAGTAATACTTCAATTACGTCAAAAGTTGAAACGTATGGATTTAATACCATCCAACGGTCCACCTTTAGAATTCAGGCGTCCGTTCCACAAAATTATCGTAGCGTTAAGATTATCGCAACTCATATACTTTAACTTAGACCAACGAATGTCGTTGCGCTACCGTATGATCGCCTTGTGGAACGGGGCCTTGCACCTCAAAGTTTACAATCACGTCACAATACCCGATGACGTCATTTGTGGAATTTTGTTGCAAGATCCTTCGGCGAAACAATGCCATGTGACGTCAACCTAGCAAACAAGGTTGCTGGGGTCATCGCGTGTGCATAAGCTCCTCTCAGTGATCTATCATCTCCACACGCAATGTCGTTGAATAAGCAAAGGGATGTTGAGAGCTTTCAATATTTGTTCGTGAAACGTGTTCCGAGAGTACATAAGCACGCGTTTTGGTATTACACAATGTGTAATACAGCTGTATGTTTATTAAACGGGTGATCTCTTCACGGGCAAGTAATAATTAATTTTTACTATATTGTGCCTGAGAGTTAGAACTTTACTGTGCTTTATATATATATATATATATATATATATATATATATATATATATATATATATATTAAATACAAATGTCCAAAGATGAGCTGTATAATTTACTCAACCGGTTTCACGCATGTGATTTTCAAGAGTACACACACACACACACACACACACATATATATATATATATATATATATATATATATATATATATATTTACCTGCGTTGAAGACGTTAACAGCAGGTTAAGGGTAAGCAGAATTCTGCCACATTTATATGGACGTTTGGGTAGAATATTCATGCCTTCCACTTTGAGTCATGATAAACCCGCGTGGTCATTGCAACTTCTGTTGTATTCTGTGATCCTGATGTTGCAGACACTTGTGACAGAGTTTATCATGGAACGTCAGGCAACGTCGACTCATATTACTTGTCGAATATGATTTTGGCCCAAGACTTGGACTGTGAATACATCGTTCGTCCCCCATACTACCCCTTCCTCATGACAATGTACTTCAGTCCATTCTATATGCCGTACAACTTCATGAACAACAACGGCACTTGTTCTGGCAGCTATGTTGAGATCGGTGGCACACAGTACTGCGGAACGGTTTACGGAGAATATAACTGTAAGTACAAAATTGAATGTCTCAATATGAAGATAGTACTGCAGTTGGGTGTTGGTCGTGGAATAGTCCCGGGCTCTGATTCTCTGATTCGTTAAAAGTCAAAGTTCTTAAATCGAATTCCTCTCTTACATTTGCCATGAACGTCTTTCAACTTGTTATTTAAAATTTTCTCACCGTTTTCTTTACATTTTCAATGATATCACTAGATTGATATACAGGTGATTTATCGGCTTGAACATGAGTTAACTGGGATAGCTGGATGATTCTTCGCTGCAGTAACAATTATTTCCTAATTATTTCTGTATCGATTTATTTATCTATCTATCTATCTATCTATCTATCTATCTATCTATCTATCTATCTATCTATCTATCTTTTTATTTTTTAATTATTTATTTACTTATTTATTTATTTATTTATTTACTCACTTATTTGTAGGGGATGGGATACTTTTGGCTTTTCATTTGCTCTGTACATATCGTTCGGTGGAAACATGCCAATTACAAGTACCAAAGTAAAATATAATATTTAAGCAGATTCTTTGTTTACGCTTTTAAGATATGCATACATGCAATACCAAATTCATCAATGTTTTTGATATTCTTTACAGACACATCGACGAATCGCGACCTCTCTATGAGGTATCACCACTCTGTAAGCTCGGACACAGGGAGAAGTGAAGGCTTTCACATTTTTTACTACATAAGGCCTGGTAGGTATTGTACACGTATGTAGGTGTGTATTCTATTTAAGAAGACAAGGTTGCACAAACGTAAATACTTGAATATGTTTGTAATATATACAATTACAATCTTTCTTTCCATTACCCTGCCTTTCCTCTCATGTTATGAGTACATCTCTCACAAATAAATCCTGTTTGGAAATTGCAGTCTCATGTAACATAACGCTGACCGACAATGCCGGCTCCATCAACAGTTACTCTGTCTACGGCAATGAGTCCGTGTATGGACATTCCTACAACCACAGCACTCACTGCATCTTCACAATAAAGGGGGATGACGATGTGGGTCAGACAATTGTCTTTAGTCTCAATCAGTTCCACCTGGAGGACCCTGACAACATCACATCTGTCTGTAATGACTATGTGGATATGAATGGCGAACAGAGATTGTGTGGATACCAATACGGGACTCGCAGCTGTGAGTACAGACCATCCAACCATTTAGCGTTTCGGGACATTCAGATATAACAGTTTCATGAACACAACCTAATGGAGGTTACTGTCCGAGTCCCTGCCATTGATCGTCAGATACTTGTTTGAAATGCACACGATACGATAAAACGGTATCGTATTTGTTTTATTCTCATAAATGTGACAATGTTTTTATTATAAAACTTATAACATGCAAAGTTGAACATTATCTTCTCGAAAGAAGACAATAGTTAACTTTGCATGTTATAATCGCCAACGATTCCTAAGTTATTAAATATGGGAATAATGAATGTTCCATGCATCAGCTTTAGACAAAACAATTGAATAACATTATATGTCATCCCAATGTTACTTATACATCAAAAGTCATTGGTCCAGGGTTTGGTAGTTTCGAATTTAGCTTAAAAAATAATATTCCGTTAAATGTGCCTCAATATATACTAGTATTTTACTAATTTTTCTTCAATATATACGATCACGTGACATATATATGTTTACGCGATGTAACAACGCCGTTCTGCATTTCTTTTTTAGTCAGCTTTGATGGCACATTTGTCGTGACCTTCATCAGTGACAATAGTCAGACAAACATGGGCTTCAACATCCGTTACAACATCGTTCCAGGTGACTATTTTAATTGATTACAAAAATCTTACAAGACAGAGAATTTTGTCTTTTTTAGAAAACTGAGAACTCTAAGGTAAAGTATGACGATTGTGTTAAATACTTGTCTATCCGTATGTGAAAACCTAACTTGTAAGAAGTGAACATTCAAAAGCTTTTTCGATGTGTAAAGAAAAGTTTGTTTCAATCATAATATTATCTTTTTTGGGTGAAATTGATTAATTTCAATTGCAGATGGTTGTCTGGTGTCGAACACCGCGACTGAAGGCACTCTTATCAGCCCTATAACAAGCAGTGGTCTGTACCACAACAACCTTGACTGCCGATACACCATGTTAACATCCTACACCCAGACTAAGGTCACGGCCACCGTCAACAACTTTGACCTTGAATCTCCATCTTACAGTACGAGGTCGTGTGACAACGACTACATATACTTCACAGACGGGTCCTACACTTCCGGGAGGTACTGTGGTGCCATCGCTGCAGGAACCATGTTTACTTGTGAGGGCTATATATGTTTATCTTTTTACAACATGTAGATACTTTCACCCGAATATCTGGTCACATAAAATATATGAAAACACGACGACTCTGATATAAAATGTAATGTAACGAAGTCTTAAAAATAGAACTCAACTCAGCTGAATTCTCCATGTTTCAAATGTATTACAGCATTAAACGAAGGAAATACTTCGCTCATTCTCTCACGATTGAGTTCTTCTATTGGAACCATTTTCATAACATATGTACTTAATATACAATGATTCCTGTGGCTCATATGATGTTAATTTCCTCAGGGTACACAAACACAAGAGAGATTGACATGGTCTTTCATACAAACAACGAGATCAGTAGGCAAGGGTTCAACGTGTCCTATAGGATTGAGGAAGGTATAATTATCTATTTTGAGATAGAAATGAAATCCTGTTCACAAAGTAATGTTCTCTTTGTTTTGTTCCAAAATACTTTTTCCGTGAATACAGCATGAATCGCATCTTGATGTTAAGGTATTGACCGTCAAAGGTTTTACTTTCAGATCGTTGTAACCAACTGTTTACCGACTCCAATGGCGAAATAAGGAGTCCCGTCTACAGTACTGGTCTCTACAGAAATAATCTGAACTGCACCTATATCATCAGACCTCCAACACAGGGTCCATACAAGTTCAATCTGAGGTACTCTCAGTTTGACGTTCAGAGGACGTACTACAACTCCTCATCTTACAGTCTGAGTACATCATGTAGTTACGACTACGTGGAGACCAAGTTCTCAGGACTCACCAGCACCAGCAGACTGTGTGGCAGGATGAGCCCACCAAGAACATACTCTTGTAAGTCATGATAATTTCTTTTTAACATATTCATCTAGTGGGAAACAATAACCCCGTTAGGTTTAGAATATGCGCGTGATCATAAGCAGTAACTCATTTAGATCGGGTTTTTAAGGTTGAGTTAATTGTTGAGTCATTACTTGGGACATTACAGATTGGGACATTACTTAAGATGTCCGACCCAGACTCAATTAATTAATTGTTTTGCAGTTTGTTTCTCCACAAGACAAAAGACGTAAATAACTTGAAAGTGAAATAAAAGAATGTAAATTTGTGTCTTATTGTTTACCAAAAAGAATAACATCTTAAGATGTTGAAATCCTGTAGAAATGAGATACACAGGGTTTGAGAATGGGAATTAATAAGTTCTAAATGAATTTTGAAAAATCGACAATATGGTGTTGATGACGTCAGTTTGTCTTCTGGGGGCACTCATGTTAAAAGCTAAATGGGAACTCAGTCCTGCTCTTTTCCTGTCAAAACTGATTCAGGATCATGATTGACACATAAACATGAGATCACCCACAGGCAGGGCTTTGAAAAGGGCGTCGACGTCATACAACTAGGTGTGGCAATGTCACACATCATTGTTATCTGACAGTGTCACAGAGTACAGCAGCATTCAGTTTGGCTACAATTGTTGGATATTGGACGTATGAGTGCGGACATATATCAATTATATCTTTGGGACTGTTTAGTTTCGTATTTCCCTGTCGTTTCTTTTCATGTATATGTCATATACATTTTATTGTGATACAATGTAAAAGTCAAACAATGATTTTGCATGACCTGGATGATAACAGATATATCTACAACCTGATTTTAAAGCTTCCAGTTAGAACATATTTCACAAATACTAAACACTCCCGTTTGTTGTACAAGTTCGTTATGCATTTGCATATAACATATATTTTCAGATAACACACTAGGTGGCGATTTTGCCATTCACTTCGTCACTGATAGATCTATCCTACGACGTGGATTTGTGTTGGATTATTCATTTGAAGAAAGTGAGTGTCCATGGTATATTAAAATGTTTGTGATCATGTCGAATCCAAATTATTATGTACAAGAAACACTTTGACATGTGTGTGTGTGTGTGAGTGTGTGTGTGTGTGTGAGTGTGTGTGTGTGTGTGTGTGTGTGTGTGTGTGTGTGTGTGTGTGTGTGTGTGTGAGTGAGAGAGAGAGAGAGTGTGTGTGTGTGTGTGTGTTCGCGTAATGTTTTTTGTGGAACTGTTCTTTCAATATTCAATAACCTACTAAGATATAAACAGTATATGTTCACCCTATTCAACACAAAACCTGACTGATAAAACATCTTATGTTATATCACTGACACACAAATTCATAATTTGATGAGTAAACCAGTTCTTCTGCCTCTGCAGACAGCTGTGTCCAGGTGATGACAGATGCTCAAGGGGAGATCAAGGTCCCTGGCGATGGCAGCGCAACCTACTCACCTAACCTCGACTGTCTGTTCACCATCAGGCCTCCAGCAGGTAGGGCGTGGGCTGTTAACATTACACTGGAGGAGTTCGACGTACAGAGATATTATTCCTCCTACAGTAACAGTTTCTCCACCTCCTGCAGCATGGACTACATACAGATCCTCTACGACGGGTACTCCTCCTCCAGGATGTGCGGAACGAGGACTTCAACCATTTCGTACATACGTAAGTGATATATTTGTTTGAGATAAATAATTGATGCAAGAAGTGTTTTGAAACGTACATGTGCATGTATCGAAAGAGGAAATGACAATGCAGTGGTAGAGGTATCAACGATGTCCCACTTTGGAGTGAGTTGTAATTTAAGGTCACCAGGGCAGAAATTCATCAATATTGTGATTATATATTATTGTCAATATTATGCCATTAATTCTATGTCATCTTTTTAAATTCGAAATTGCGTACGTAGATTCGAGACTTCGCTAGCTCACAGGCAATCAATGACTATGGAAAGGTATTAAACCTTTAGTAGGTTCATTTCCAGAACGATATCCGTAATATTTTATTGTATTTCTGCCTGCAAACTTAGTTCCTTTGGCAGATTTCAATAAACTGCATATCGTTATTGTCGAGGCTGCAAATGCCTTTTTTGACATAGAATACTATGTGCATAGCATATCCGATTATCCTATAGTAAGCACACGTGTCCATCCTTTTCTAAATAGTTAACTAATTCGGCTTTCCACTTGATCACTAACGACTTTAGAATTTGCTATTGTCGATTCGGCTAACGAGGTACAAGTTGTTAAATGAAACGTTTAAATCCAACTGTATTCAAAATATTAGACATAAGTTGTAAGAGTCTGATTAATGGCAGCAGAGAAATGTATCTTATTAAGCTCATATTTCTCATGGCAGTATTGGAAAAAAATGTACTTAGTGTTTTAGTTTCAAGGTAAGCTTTTCTAGCTTAAATATCTATTAATTATAAATTTGATAATGCATACGTTATCAGCTCTACCATGACATCCCTAAACATCAAAATATAGGTTTCTATTTTGATTGCCATTCATTCATCTCCAGCACATATAAGAGTAGATACAACATGCATCCAGATGACACTCTATTGTTCCAGATAACATCGTTGATGGGGATCTGAACATCACTTTCCACAGTGACAGTTCCACCCAGAAGAGGGGAGTTCGGATCAGATACTCCTACACAGAAAGTGAGTCACATTCCTGGCATTGTCTCAGTCGTATGTTTAATCTTCAGTAGACAACGTGAGCTCCATGTAATGAACATATTTTCTCGCACACAGATATTTGTGACCACGTATTCACCGACAGCCACGGTGTGATCGAGAGTCCAAACGGCGGTAATTACTACTACCACAACAACATGTTCTGCAGTTACACCATTATGGGCGGGAACGACCTCTACACCATTTTCTACAACATCTCCTATTTCGAATTATACTACACAAGAAGTTGTAATGGCGACTACCTTGAATTCCCCGACGGCCAGCGGTACTGCGGGACCTACATGAGAAACATATCATGTGAGTTCCCTTTATGTTTGTTCGCCCTGTTGTACATAAGTATATGACATTCAGATAAGATGCTAAGACATGCAAAATAACAAGCTGGTGACGCAATTGTGACATGCTTAAAGTGTCTGCAGATATGTCAAGCATAAGGCGGCGGACCCTTTCCCTTGCATCGGCTTTTCGGTATGCGTTGCATCTTCTCCTCCATCAGATGTTCCCTTCGTGGTTTATAACACAATGTACGAGTGGCATTGACAAACATTTCTAAAAACTACTTTCTATCATGAACAGCCCACGGATTCTCCACCCAGGTTAACCACATGGAACGTAACACCTAAACCTGTCGCATTCCCTGTATTTCTTTGACAATGACGACTATTCTTTTCAGTTTCAACAGTAGGCAACACCAGTTTGACCTTTCGCTCAGATGCATCTTATGCAAATCGAGGTTTCCGACTTAGCTACAAGGTGCTCCCGTGTAAGTCTATTTATTACGCTTCGAATTTGTTTTGACCTTGAATTTGTTTTTATTAACAAACAAAAGTACCGTGTTTCCATATTTTATTTATATATTGCAGTACAGAGGGGAAACAAAGCAAGTTAATAGTTTTCTCTTGAAATTTTGGAATGAACACTCACTCCACACACGAACCACTGCAAAAGAACTTGCTGTTTCATCTTCACAGTCATCAGAAACAGCGCTATGGAAACGTATTGACCACATATGGCATCTTTGTGTTGTTATTCATAAGACATACGTCAGACACAAGCCTGAAACTTTCAAATGCTTGTTTTCATAGGAGATGGTACCCACGAGACACCATTTTATTGTCTTATAATACCTTATAGCTTTGTATTGTCGTTCTCGTTTTATCATATTTTACCTTATTTTGGAGATATGTATTTTGTCTTTCCAAATCAGTCAACTGCTCCCGGGTTTACACAGAGCAGGGTGGCATGATCTCCGACCCTGACCTTTCTGGCGTGGACTTCAGTGGAGACATCAGATGTGACTACACATTCCTTGTGCCCTTCTACCCTTTCATTGTAACCTTCACCCCCCTCCAGTTTGGGCTCCAGGACGCGGGCACAGACGGCGTGTGCACCACAGAGTATGTCAGTCAGGACGGGGGTCGATTCTGTGGCCAACGCAATGAATCGTGGCAAGGTCAGAACGGTTTTTTTTTAATTTGAACAAGACACCCAACGCTTGATGTAATATTTCGTGCTCTCGATTCTGAGTTCCAACTGTATGACTAATGATTTTGTTCATGTTGTTCTAGCAAATTCAGCAGACAATGCAATGGAACTGCATTACTTCAGCACTGGCGCCGTGAGGGGAAACTACTCCGTGTTATATCACGTGACTCCAGGTAAGTACACGAAACGCACAGCTGGGAATATGAATGACATATATCTCACATAGAGAGAGTGGAGTATCTTTCAGGGATCATTTGTTTCATGCCTGTCCATCCAAGTGGAGCCTTGGAGCCTATTGTATGTTTCTCTTTCATGGTGCTTGTGATTTATGCCTATGCATTCGAGGGGTGCCTTAAGCGTGGTATGTTTCTCTCACACTCTGCTTGTGATTCATGCCTGTGTATGTGAGGGGAGCCTTCAGTGTGGTGTGTTTCTCTCTCATGGTGCTTGTGATTCATGTCTGTGTATGTGAGGGGTGCCTTCAGTGATGTATGTTTCACTCTCATAGTGCTCGTGATTCATCCCTGTGTATTCGTGGGGTGCTTTCAGTGTAGTATGTTTCTCTATCATGGTGCTTGTGTTTCATGCTTGTGTATTCGAGGGGTGCATTCAGTGCTGCATGTTTCTCTCTCATGGTGCTTGTGTTTCATGCCTGTGTATTCGGGGGGTGCCTTCAGTGTGGTATATTTCTCTCTAATAGTGCTTGTGTTTCATGCCTGTGTATGTGATGAGTGCCTTCATCGTGGTATGTTTCTCTCTCATGGTGCTTGTGTTTCATGCCTGTGTATTCGAGGGGTGCCTTCAGTGTGGTTTGTTTCTCTCTCGTGGTGCTTGTGATTCATGTCTGTGTATGTGAGGGGTGCATTCACTCTTGTATGTTTCTCTCTCATGGTGCTTGTGATTCATGTCTGTGTATGTGAGGGGTGCCTTTAGCGTGGTATGTTTCTCCCTCATGGTGTTTGTGATTCATGCCTGTGTATGTGAGGGTTGCCTTCATCGTGGTATGTTTCTCTCTCATGGTGCTTGTGATTCATGTCTGTGTATGTGAGGGGTGCCTTCAGTGATGTATGTTTCTCTTTCATGGTGCTTGTGATCATGCCTGTATATGTGAGGGGTGCCTTCAGTGTGGTATGTTTCTCCCTCATGGTGCTTGTGATTCATGCCTGTGTATGTGAGGGGTGCCTTCAGCGTGGTTTGTTTCTCTCTCATGGTGTTTGTGATTCATACCTGTGTATGTGAGGGCTGCATTCAGTGATGTATGTTTCTCTCTCCTTGTGCTTGTGATTCATGCCTGTGTATGTGAGGGGTGCCTTCAGCGTGGTTTGTTTCTCTCTCGTTGTGCTTGTGATTCATGTCTGTGTATGTGAGGGGTGCCTTCAGCGTTTTTTGTTTCTTTCTCATGCTGCTTGTGATTCATACCTGTGTATGTGAGGGGTGCATTCAGTGATGTATGTGTCTCTCTCATTGTGCTTGTGATTCATGCCTGTGTATGTGAGGGGTGCCTTCACTGTGGTATGTTTCTCTCTCCTTGTGTTTGTTATTCATGCCTGTGTATGTGAGGGGTGCCTTCAGTGTGGTTTGTTTCTCTCTCATGGTGCTTGTGATTCATGCCTATGTATGTGAGGGGTGCCTTCAGCGAGGTTTGTTTCTCTCTCATGGTGCTTGTGATTCATGCCTGTGTATGTGAGGGGTGCCTTCAGCGAGGTTTGTTTCTCTCTCATGGTGCTTGTGATTCATGTCTGTGTATGTGAGGTGTGCCTTCAGCGTGGTTTGCTTCTCTCTGATGGTGCTTGTGATTCATGTCTGTGTATGTGAGGGGTGTATTCAGTGATGTATGTTTCTCTCTCATTGTGCTTGTGATTCATGCCTGTGTATGTGAGGTGTGCCTTCAGCGTGGTTTGTTTCTCTCTCATGGTGCTTGTGATTCATGCCTGTATATGTGAGGGGTGCATTCAGTGATGTATGTTCCTCTCTCATGGTTCTTGTGATTCATGCCTGTGTATGTGAGGGGTGCCTTCAGCGCGTTTTGTTTCTCTTTCATTGTGCTTGTGATTCATGTCTGTGTATGTGAGGGGTGTATTCAGTGATGTTGTGTATGTGAGGGGTGTATTCAGTGATGTATGTTTCTCTCTCATGGTGCTTGTGATTCATGCCTGTGTATGTGAGGGGTGCCTTCACTGTGGTATGTTTCTCCCTCATGGTGCTTGTGATTCATGCCTGTGTATGTGAGGGGTGCCTTCAGTGTGGTATGTTTCTCCCTCATGGTGCTTGTGATTCATGCCTGTGTGTGAGGGGTGTATTCAGTGATGTATGTTTCTCTCTCATGGTGCTTGTGTTTCATGCCTGTGTATGTGAGGGGTGCCTTCAGTGTGGTATGTTTCTCCCTCATGGTGCTTGTGATTCATGCCTGTGTGTGAGGGGTGTATTCAGTGATGTATGTTTCTCTCTCATGGTGCTTGTGTTTCATGCCTGTGTATTCGAGGTGTGCCTTCATCGTGGTATGTTTCTCCCTCATGGTGCTTGTGATTCATGCCTGTGTATTCGAGGGGTGCCTTCAGTGTGGTTTGTTTCTCTCTCATGGTGCTTATGATTCATGCCTGTATATGTGAGAGGTGCCTTCAGTGTGGTTCGTTTTTCTTTCAGGAATGTGCAACATGACCTACACGGGCCGATCTGGTAGCATCAGTGGCAATATGTCCAGCGATAGCAGCAACTCATCATGTTACTACAGGATACAGAACAATATGGCATCATCACAGATACACATCCGATTGGTCTCTCAATCAAGCAGTGACTCGCATGCTGAATGTAACTACTTCGACTTTGACGGCCTTGACAGGAGATGTGGCTACAATGGAACAAGTGGCACCGAGATAACATGTACGTTGTGGTCTCAGAAGCGTCATACATAATTTACAGTTTAAAATAGTGGTTTATGTGAAGTTTTGCCATCAGTGTTGTGTGATATAACTTCCAGTGACATAACTTTTAAACTACTAAGCCAAAAATATAGTATATGAATTACCCATGTATGCAGAAAAAAATATTTTCTATGTAAGAGGGTGGCTGAAAAGATCTGATATCTTAACTGCAATTGATACACATTTAATAGTGTGCATGTATTCAGTACAATAATTACCATGCTAACAGGCTGCATTTTAACCAAATGCACAACCAGGCAGCCTATTTCTGCAGGCAGCAAATTAAAGTGACTAGGTATTCTTTGAAAATGAACCTAATTGTCTAGCGGCTTCCACGCGGACATGGTGTCCAATTTAGGGGATGATGCTCCTTCCTTTACGATTGTGATGAACTGGATATGAAAAAGGTTTCAGCATGCTGGCTTCCAAGGCTTTTGGCGCCTAGTCAGGTTCAGGTTCCAGGTTCATCATCTCTCGTGTGAGAATTTACGTCGTTTCGACCATCGATGAGCCTTGGGGTTGCCACTGTCAGACAGATACTACAACACCCAGAGTAGTGGAAACGTATTCTAGTTTCCAAGAAAGCAAATTATTCTGTTCCATTAGCTAACAAGGTCAATAATGTGCTTATCTGCTTAGGCAACTGCGTGAGAATATCAAGGTAAACGTTCCATCAGAACAGTGCACTGTGCAAAAGTCTGTTGTTTCCATGGTTTGAATGCATGACTGTGACTCTCAACTCATTCAACGTCCTCCATATTCACCAGATTCCCACCTCTTCCAAAACTTGACAAATCAATGTCTGGCAAGCATTATGCAAATGAAGCTGATGCTAGGGATTAATTTCTACAGCACAAGGGAAAACACTTGTGCGGTCTAGGAACTGCAGCATCGTTGGCATATGTGTCGGTACCACAAAGGGGATTGTTAAAAAAATCATAAGCAACTCACTCCATCAATGGAGTCCATCGTGGTAAGGCCCAGGACTTTTCAGCCACCATCAAACATCATCTTGATTTTGCAAATACCTTTGACAGAAAACCGACCACAACGCGCAGTGTATCTGCACAAATGGGTTTCCAGTATCAAAACGAGACTGTCCTTCAGTTATATGCACATGTGCGTTATAGACATTTATAATTGATCATTGAAGCGATAGGATGTCACCCTGCTTCACTTCACTTAGGGTAGTGCCATGTGACGTCATCCGTTGTTATGAAGTCACAAATTTATAACATTACGTCATCTGAGCAGAATTACGTCAATGGCTCGGGACGAACATAATTTATTCACCCGCGACAGATTATCTGTAATTCCTCGTAACTCACTGGTTATTCTTTACATAAATATCATTATTACTTTCTTGTGCAGGAAAAAAGGTCATTTGTCGTAGTAGATGCACATCAACATTCCGTCTTCGTAAGTTAATGTTGAAAGTACTCCAAGTCGTGGTTCATGAGGAATTGATTTTGAACAATATTTTGATATGGAGCCTTTCACTTTCCATCAGATGCCTATGATGGCGACTTCCAGATAACTCTGTTCCACGCGGCTGACATGGAGCCACCGTCGTTCTTCTTGTACTACACTATTGTACCGGGTAAGTGACATATGTGTTCATTTGACAGAAGTATAATTTTCAAATGTATAATTTTCAAATGTATCATTATGTTCTATCATGATAACACGTGGCACGAATGTTAAACAATGATGACGCTAACTTCGTCAACATAGTACAATATATAATGGCTCCGCGTTTTTCAACAGAACATTAGACTATAAACTACACAGTACACAGAATGATCCATGTTATACAATCCTCACTTACCCATAGAAAACTGCATCCAGCAATTTACATCGGACACGGGAACATTTGCGAGTCCAGCTGATGTTGACGGAAACTACGTGAACGACTTGGCGTGCACCTACACCATCAGTGGCGGTAGTTCCCCCTACATCCTCCGCCTCAACTTCGTCTCTCTCGACCTTCAATACTCCTACAACTGCAACAACGACTACGTCCGATTCAGCTACAGAGGATCCTCTGGTTACACTACCACCACTTCAAGATACTGTACAGGGCCTCGCTCACTCAGGTGTAAGTCTTTACTTGTGACACTTGAACATAACACGTTGTAGATATACAGGTGTAAGTCTTTACTTGTGACACTTGAACAAAACACGTTGTAGATATACAGGTGTAAGTCTTTACTTGTGACACCTGGACATAGCACGTTGTAGATATACAGGTGTAAGTCTTTACTTATGACACTTGAAAAAAACACATTGTAGATATAAGGGTGTAAGTCTTTACTTGTGACACTTGGACATAACACGTTGTAGATATACAGCTTCACACTGACACAGGTGTGTGTATTTACTTATGACACTTGGACAAAACACATTGTAGATATACAGGTGTAAGTCTTTACTGGTGACACTTGGACATAACACACTGAAGAAATACAGGGTCTTTCTCACTCAGATGCGAGTCTTTACTTGTGACACTTGGACATAACACATTGCGGATATACAGGGCCTTGCTGACACAGATGTGAGTCTTACTTGTGACACTTGGACATAACACATTGCGCATATACAGGGCCTTGCTGACACAGATGTGAGTCTTACTTGTGACACTTGGACATAACACATTGTAGATATACAGGTTCACACTGACACAGGTGTGTGTATTTACTTATGACACTTGAAAAAAACACATTGTAGATATACGGGTGTAAGTCTTTACTTGTGACACTTTGACACAACACATTGTAGATATACAGATGTAAGTCTTTACTTGTGACACATGGACATAATACATTGCAGATATACAGGTGTAAGTCTTTACTTGTGACACTTTGACATAACACATTGTAGATATACATGGCCTCGCTCACTAAGATGTTAGTTTTACTGGTCAGATACGTTGCAGAGGACCTCGCTCACGTAGATGTAAGCTTTACTAGTCAGATACGTTGTGGGTACATAGGACCTCGCTCACTTAGATGTAAGTTTTACTTGTCAGATACATTATAGATACATAGGACCTCGATCACTTAGATGTAAGCTTTACTAGTCAGATACGTTGCAGAGGACCTCGCTCACTTAAATGTAAGTTTTACTAGTCAGATACGTTGCAGAGGACCTCGCTCACTTAGATGTTAGTTTAACTAGTCAGATACATTGCATATACATATAGGACCTCGCTCACTTAGATGTTAGTTTTACTAGTCAGATATGTTGTGGATACATAGGACCTCGCTCACTGAGATGTAAATTTTACTAGTCAGATACGTTACAAGATTCATAGGACCTCGCTCACTGAGATGTTAGTTTTACTAGTCAGATACGTTGCGGATACATAGTACCTCGCTCACTTAGATGTAAGTTTTACTAGTAAGATATGTTGTGGATACATAGGACCTCGCTCACTTAGATGTTAGTTTTACTAGTCAGATACGTTACAAGATACATAGTACCTCGCTCACTTAGATGTAAGTTTTACTAGTCAGATATGTTGTGGATACATAGGACCTCGCTCACTTAGATCTTAGTTTTACTAGTCAGATACATTTCAAGATACATAGTACCTCGCTCACTTAGATGTAAGCTTTACTACTCAGATACATTGCAGATACATATAGGACCTCGCTCACTTAGATGTAAATTTTACTAGTCAGATACGTTGCAGATACATAGGACCTCGCTCACTGAGATGTAAATTTTACTAGTCAGATACGTTGCAGAGGACCTCGCTCACTTAGATGTAAGTTTTACTAGTCAGATACGTTGTGGATACATATGACCTCGCTCACTTAGATGTAAGTTTTACTAGTCAGATACATTGCAGATACATAGGACCTCGCTCACCTAGATGTAAGTTTTACTTGTCAGATACGTTGCAGATACATAGGACCTCGCTCACCTAGATGTAAGCTTTACTAGTCAGATATGTTGCAGAGAACCTCGCTCACTTAGATGTTAGTTTTACTTGTCAGATACGTTGTCGAAAAATAGGACCTCGCTCATTTAGATGTTAGTTTTACTAGTCAGATACATTGCAGATACATAGGACCTCGCTCACTTAGATGTAAGTTTTACTAGTCAGATACATTGCAGATACATAGGACCTCGCTCACTTAGATGTAAATTTTACTAGTCAGATATGTTGCAGAGAACCTCGCTCACCTAGATGTAAGCTTTACTAGTCAGATACGTTACAGATACATAGGACCTCGCTCACTTAGATGTAAGTATTACTAGTCAGATATGTTGCAGAGAACCTCGCTCACCTAGATTTTAGTTTTACTAGTCAGATACGTTACAGATACATAGGAACTCGCTCACTTAGATGTAAGTTTTACTAGTCAGATACATTGCAGATACATAGGACCTCGCTCACTTAGATGTAAATTTTACTAGTCAGATATGTTGCAGATACATAGGACCTCGCTCACTTAGATGTAAATTTTACTAGTCAGATATGTTGCAGAGAACGTCGCTCATTTAGATGTAAGTTTTACTAGTCAGATACGTTGTGGAAACATAGGACCTCGCTCACTGAGATGTAAGTTTTACTAGTCAGATACGTTGTGGATACATATGACCTCGCTCACTTAGATGTAAGTTTTACTAGTCAGATACATTGCAGATACATAGGACCTCGCTCACCTAGATGTAAGTTTTACTTGTCAGATACGTTGCAGATACATAGGACCTCGCTCACCTAGATGTAAGCTTTACTAGTCAGATATGTTGCAGAGAACCTCGCTCACTTAGATGTTAGTTTTACTTGTCAGATACGTTGTCGAAAAATAGGACCTCGCTCATTTAGATGTTAGTTTTACTAGTCAGATACATTGCAGATACATAGGACCTCGCTCACTTAGATGTAAGTTTTACTAGTCAGATACATTGCAGATACATAGGACCTCGCTCACTTAGATGTAAATTTTACTAGTCAGATATGTTGCAGAGAACCTCGCTCACCTAGATGTAAGCTTTACTAGTCAGATACGTTACAGATACATAGGACCTCGCTCACTTAGATGTAAGTGTTACTAGTCAGATATGTTGCAGAGAACCTCGCTCACCTAGATTTTAGTTTTACTAGTCAGATACGTTACAGATACATAGGAACTCGCTCACTTAGATGTAAGTTTTACTAGTCGGATACATTGCAGATACATAGGACCTCGCTCACTTAGATGTAAATTTTACTAGTCAGATATGTTGCAGATACATAGGACCTCGCTCACTTAGATGTAAATTTTACTAGTCAGATATGTTGCAGAGAACGTCGCTCACTGAGATGTAAGTTTTACTAGTCAGATACGTTGTGGAAACATAGGACCTCGCTCACTTAGATGTTAGTTTTACTTGTCAGATACGTTGTTGAAACATAGGACCTCGGTCATTTAGATGTAAGTTTAACTTGTCAGATACGTTGTGGATACATAGGACCTCGCTCATTTAGATGTAAGATTTACTAGTCAGATACGTTGTAGATACATCGTACCTCGCTCACTGAAATGCATATACATTTAAATTGTCAAATTGTCTTGACATGATGAGTATATTACTGATAGATCCATTTGTATTGAACGTCGTGCTGTGGCTGAGAGCCTTTGAGACGTAAAGCTACCTCGCTCACTTAGATATAAGTTTTACTAGTCAGAAACGTTGTGGATACATAGCCCCTCGCTCACTTAGATGTAAGTTTTACTAGTCAGATACACTGTAGATACATAGGACCTCGCTCACTTAGATGTTAGTTTTGCTAGCCAGATACGTTGTGGATACATAGCCCCTCGCTCACTTAGATGTAAGCTTCACAAGTCAGATACACTGTAGATACATAGGACCTCGCTCACTTAGATGTAAGCCTTTACTTGTCGCGCTGCACACGTCATTGCCACAGCAGAATTTTACTGTTATATGCCAGTACATATACACGTTGAATGGTACAAGACAAGAGAAGTGGAAGTTGTAATAAATCAGATATACATGTCAAATATTTAGGGACAACATTATTATGGCGGGAATTATTTACAAACTTGTCATGCATCTATTACCTGCAATCACTTTAAGGTGAAGCATCATATATTTAGATTTTAACCTGTTTTCTGGGAGTATTGCCATTGCCTGCAACGCGTTGATGGGGTGAAAGACTCATAAAACTCCTATTTAGAGACATGGAACAATCAGTTATATTTCCAAGACATCCGGTGATATTCGCAAATTCTACAAAACTTCTCCACGGATCACTGGCAATGTTACTGCAGAACACAATGACACAAACATTTGACTCAGAAAAGATTGGGCAACGAACGTGCGCGCTGTAAAGTGATGTCTGGGATCTGGTCCTCGGGGGTAATTAGTCGAATGTCGGTACTCAAATGTATGTACTCGTATTTGTCTTCAAGATACTGATTTGATATCAGGATCCCCTATCTCTCGTAAACAGTTCAAAACACCCAAACATTTTATGATCTATATCTTCTGATTTCAGATTCTGTGTCGAGTGGGGATTTCAAGGTATCTTTTGTAACGGACTCTCGTGAAGTAAGGAGTGGATTCAATGTAACATACGTCAAAACACCAGGTAGGCGCAATGTAGGATACATCAGGACACTGCAAGCTCCTTACACTCTGTCTAATGTTGAGGAAGCACGGCTTCAGTTAACTTGCTGTTGGGAAATTTCTTTGCCACATTTCTTCACACAAAAAACATTCTATGAAAATAACTTTGAACAATAACAGATGTTATGTGATATATACATTTTATATCATTCATCACAATTCCCTTACGCTGTATTTGCTGTCAATGTTCTGCATGTGTCTAGTCAGCTGTAACCTGACCCACACGGCCGACGAGGGCACTATAGAGAGCACCCCTGGAGATGGCTCCTACTACCCTAACAACGCCTACTGTACGTACACTGTACAGGGGAACTCCAGCCTGCAGACTCTGCAGCTCACTGTACAGACCTTCTCCCTGGAGTATCAGTCCAGCTGCTACTACGACTCGCTCCAGTTCGGCTCAACTTCCAGCAGGAAATACTGCGGGAGCTCTCTGTACGCCGGCAGGGTTCTCACGTGTGAGAATAACATTATGCATTGTTGTTAACTTTGATAGGACCGGTTTCCGTTTTAATTAACTACCACACATAGACGCGCTGCAGCGTATAGTATAACTGCGGTGAAGATTTCCTTGTCTGAGTTCATATTTTCGCCGCTGACTTTGTCAAATGCTGTTTGAAAATTAAGATATTTGGATTCTCAAAGGATTTAATAATCTGATGCATGTGTATACGAAAGTCAAACCTCGTTGTCTTATAAAATTCGTATCATCGTTGATACAGTCCACATGTAGCACGCTGATTTAATACATGAATGTGCTGTAAATGGCGTTCGTTATTTGCTTACTGTCTGTATTCAGTATTCATTTCGACTAAGTTCATGGTCGCGCTGATGTTTCGTTCACAGATACATTCACGAACACCTTCACCTTATACTTCAAGACAGACTACAGCGTTACTAGGAGAGGATTCTCCATTAATTACAGGACGGTGCCATGTGAGTGTTTGCCAGATATCTCTAGGGAACACACTGAGGTAAACTAACATTTGCACTAGTATATCGCGAAATATGACGTACATATAATGAATGAGTGAGTGAGTGAGTTGGGTTTATGGCCGCTTTTAACATTATTCCAGTTGTATCGCGGCGTGTCAGCTTAATGTGGGAGGAAAGCCCAAAGTGATGCAGGTCTCAGACGTTTACCACTTTGGTGAAACCCACGAGCACGGGTATGTTGCTGAAAAACCTTGAAACATTACCGGGGCGAACCGGGATTCAAACCCGCATTTTTCTGGGGTGCCCAAGGAACGCAAGATGACTGCGCCACTCGTGCCCCCTCTAATGAATGACATGTGTGAGTGAGTGAATTGGGTTTAACGCCGCATTTAACAGTATTCCGGTTATATCGCGGCGTGTCAGCTTAATGTGGGAGGAAAGCCCGAAGTAATGTAGGTCTCAGACGTTTACCGAATGACATAGTGATTGTGTTGCATGATGCTGTGGTGGAACCTGAATACTTCTTAAACAGAATTATGACAGAAAATGCATTCAATAGAGTGCAAAAGATGTTCAGTGGTATTGAAGTTTATTGAAACTCTTTATCTTGAGGTTGAATATAATTACATTCAGCCATAAACAGCAAAATGCGGCTATTGACATGCCAACACAAATCCTTCAACTGTAATATTTATTCTGCCTTTTGTCTATGTTTACATCGTAAACTCCGCCAACCACCACGCGCTTGTGACGTATCCGCCACGTCACAGCCCTCACTACGTCAAATCCTTCACTCTCACACGCTATCGGGCAAAAACCGCAATGGTAGCGCTTTTACGCTGGTTGCCTGCTACACAGCGGGGCCCATTTATCAAGCCTGTAGATCGTCAGCGGGTGGATGCCATGGCATAGCCTTAATAAACTCTTGTCTGCTCAGGGTCTAGCAGAGAGAGTGGTAAGCTCGACTGATTCGGATACAGCGGGGAGCTGATTTATTTAGAAGCTGCACTATACTAACACCACAGGAGTTATCTCCCTTTAGGCGTTGTGCCCGCCTCATCCATCTACAACTCGGCCTTTTCTCCCCGCAAATTTATTCAGTCATTCAGTGTATATTTTGTTTCAATGGTCGTTTACGTCACACCAGTAATCTCTCAATCATACAAATTGAATGTATTCGTGTCAAAGCCACAGGTCTGTCAATAATAATGAAAAGAAATGTTGTGGTGGGCATATAAAAGGTAGGACACCGATAGTGTGAAGAAGTTACATTTGATACTGAACTCATGCATGTAGGTTAAAATGTGATGATGTCGATGCTACCAACAACACCCAGATTCCTTGAACGTTACACAATTTGATAATGCCTTGCTGGTTATGTCTTTTCAGATGTCCCCACAACCACTACAACAACTACAACAACTACAACAACAACAGCACCGCCAACACGTACGTATGCATGACATTACCCTTTATGTGACACACCGTCGACTCCCCTTGGGCAGGTCTTGATTCTGACGATGTTTGTTCATTGAAGATACACACTTCAGTATACGAGTTTGAAATGGCATTGAAACATTACCATATGCTTGTGATATCGTTGCTCATACTCCCGACCACTGGTTTGGTGGTCCAGACTGGATTAGCTACTCCTATAGTTGGAACTCTGCAAACATGCAAACAATATCCATTCACCCGAACATGGAGAGTCTATCCTCATGTAGACTTATGTAACCACGTGACAGGCTTGTATTTGTTGGCTTACACGTGTCCGCTTAATGAACATTTAAGCGATGGATGGTGTATCATCTAGTCAGCGGGGTGATTTAAGGCCGTCTTTAAAAACAGTGTTTTGGTTATATCACGGCGTGTCAGCTATACATGGGCGGAACCCGGGATCACAGGTTTCTGGCCGGCCTAAGGTACGCAACTCTGCACAACAATGCATTAGACGACTGTGCCACTCGTTCCCCTTCATGTCATCGGTTAATGTGGCAGTTGCATCGTAATACAAAATCATGATAACAATAGTGTGATGTGCTTAAAGACATTTAGTTTGTTGATCTGTTATAGCGATAGTTACAGTGCGTCATTTGAGATATGACATGCAGTTTCATATAAACGTTGGTATATTTGGATGTTATATGTTCCTTAAATTCCTAAACTATGCAAAGAAAGTCGGGGATATTTTGTTTTGAGGGGAAACTACAGTAAAATACACTAATGTCTGGTAAAGAAAATAAGTGATTTACATGGCAAGAACATACTCTAAGAAATCAAGCTCCCAAACACAACATTGTGACATGCATGAGGCATGTGACCTCAGATAGCACGTGGAAGAGGTGGCATGCCAGATTTAACATTGTCACTCGGTAGTGAACAAACGCATATCGTTTTCTTTGAACCAAACGCTCCGGGACAGTTGATTAAATACATTTAATCATTAAAGAAGCAACGGGATTGATCATGCGATGTTTGCAACGTGTCATAGGCTTATTGCAGATGGGCACATGTCAGAATATTGTTGCCCAAATGTTGCATGATTCTTGATCTGTCATCAGTAGAGTGTGGTTCCGATACCAACAAACACATAGCGTCGATAATCGACGCCACCCTGGACGCCCAACGGCATCAACTTCAGCCCAGGACAGATTAGTCAGAACGATGGCATAACGAAATAAGTTGCAAACTGTCATTCAGAAAGGGGGCCGGTTGCACAAGGCAACTGGTGTAAGAGTACATCATTTGCAAGTCATTTGACGACCTCTTTTATGACCTAGTGTGTCAACACTTCATCACGCCAAGCATTAGAACTCATTAGATATGATCGCCTACTCCCAAGCAGATATGATCACATTTCATCATTTCCATTTGCCAATGCCATGTAGATCAGAAGATACGTCTTGATGGTTCTCAGTATCCCGTACCTTTTGTGGCATAGTCGATATGTGCCTTCGTTATGTGTTTCATACGCTAATGGCGAACGTGTAACGGTATCTGGTGCTCTTCATGATGTACAATTGTCTCTCTGTTTCTCAGCCAACTGTAATGAGACGTTCACCGCATCCAACGGCCAGCTTCGTAGTCCAAACTCCCCCTACCACTACCCCAACAACATCTACTGCCGCTACACGTTTGTGGGAAGTGGACAGACACAGTCTATAACACTGGATTTCACCAGCTTCGCTGTGGAAAACCATGCCAGCTGTAGATGGGATTGGGTCATCATCAGTGGCGGGAACAAGAGGTGTGGCTTCACGGAATTCAGCAGTACATGTACGTATTGTGACGAGCAGACAGACAGTGGGGGTTGTAGCTACTTTAGAGGTAGCGTCAATCAGTCTCACACTAGTCGTCATGGCCTTTGACATTTTCAGTCATTAAGCTATTTTATTGATAATCTTTTAAGAACAATATATTCTATCTATTTACAAGTTTTGTAGTCAACAAAGTTAGCAAGGGTTCATTCAAGATTAATTATTGTCATCGTATATATGCACGGGTGCAGGCTAAAACGGCACCTCCGCAAAACGTCACCGATTTCTCTGGCGAAAACGGCACCGCATTTGGCGAAAACGGCTACTATGTGTCGGGCGAAAACGGCACCTCTATTTTTAATAACGATAACAACGATTTTTGTAGTCACAAAGGATACAGCATGTTGATTTTTTTTCTGACATTCTTCTCGCATGCAACACATCGATAGGCCATTGTGAATAATTGTGACCTGACAGCACCATGTTAGGTCTCTTAAATCAGTTTCAGCTTAAATTGAGTAAAGGTACTTAAAACTTCAAAGCGTATAGTGAATAAAAGTCGGTGAGTAAATTGGAGTAGGGGGCTAATTTCTTATTTGTTTTATTTCACAATTATTTGTGTTTGTAACAGACGATGTGAGTTTAATTTCTATTATCTTTCGTCAAAGCATGTTATGTTTTCACCATAAGTTGAGTTGCGTATAAGCTAAGTTGGATTATAGTTGGAGCAGAGGCTAATTTCTAATGTAAACTTGTTTAAACATCTCACAATTATTGGCCTTTGCAAGTTACAATGTAAGTTTAATATCATTTATTTGACCAAGGTAAAAAAAAAAAATAAGGTGCCGTTTTCGCTCGAGTCGAGGTGCCGTTTTCGCTTGAGTCGAGGTGCCGTTTTCGCCAATCGGTGACGTTTTCGCCCGGTGACGTTTTGCTGAGGTGCCGTTTTCGCTATAACCCTATATGCACTATATGAGTACTTGGCTCATATACATATTGTTGATATTTTACAGATACATTTGTTGGGAACTTTACGGTGGAATTCCGTACAGATGGAAGTGTCACCTACAGTGGATTTGTGGCCAACTACGTTGTTAGTGACGGTATGTACAGAGTGAGTGAGTGAGTGAGTATGGTTTTACGCCGCTTTTAGCAATATTCCAGCAATATCACGGCGGGGGACACCAGAACGGTATGTACAGAGGCTCTACCTGGTGTAAAGAGTTCATGGCTTCACTCAACGTTCTTACTCCACTATGTCGTATAAATAGTTTGATCAAGACGTACAGTCAACTCTCGAAATATCTCAGGTACGAGAACTCGTGGGAAACTGTGTGATCGTGACAGAATGATTATTTGAACAGGATGATGGGCACACATTCTGATACAAGGCATTATGTATTTCAGCTGTGAACGCCACCACGCCCACTCCCGGCAGTACAGGTAAGTTCATTCTTCAATGATACAATGATGCTTCATAATCCTTGCATCCAACTTAACCCCTGCGTATTAAGTAAATATAAGTAAATATTTTATTCATTCTTCACATAGTTATTTGTTGTTCCAGCGACATGCACGGCTACCTTGTCATCATTATCTGGCAGCATCATGAGCGCCCCAGGTGACGGCAGCAACTACTTGGACAACACCCGGTGCTACTACACCTTCACAGCGACATCCTACCCGAGAACCATTACCTTCACCTTCACAACCTTCGAGCTGGAGAGTCATTCCTCCTGCAGATATGACTACCTCCAGTTTAACGGTGGCGTGAAGAAATGTGGAACTATCTCTAATCTCGTGTGTAAGTGTTAGGGATTACAATAATAAAGAAGTTAAGATCAGTTTTTTTTAGATTTTGGTTAATTTCATTGTGAATATCCAAAATGAGTTTTGGAACCAATAATATGTCATTTGTGCTTGGGCAAAACATAGTATTCCTCAATGTCTTTACTTGTCAGTGATCCATTCATATAATTGTCACCGATATTTTGCCTTTTACACACAATGGAATCTGTTTTGTGGGTCAATTGAGACTGAAATTTTATATTTCCGTGAATATACATTAGATAATTGAGAAAATTTGGAATGACAGCTAAAGTTCCTGGAGCCCGTATTCGTAAGGCGATCGAAGGGCTACTGTCGCTATGTTGAAAGGGCCCGTCGTCCTTATTACGATGATTACGTCATCTGACGTCGAAACTAAAACCTGACATCTTTGTTCCAACTAAAAATGACTTTTATCAATAGGATCGGATGTGACTTTCGCGAGGGCCGTCACGGAAGTCACATTAAAAACCTATTTGTGACCATTTTTCGAAACAAAAATAATGAAATTTGGCATGCCTCTGGTAAGTTATGGGGACTCAACATTTATGTTTTACGATATCTTAACTAATGCTCTTGATATGACTATACCCTTCAATTCGCCCAACATTCATTCTGTGCTCTCTGTGAAGATCTCTGAAATTGCTGGACAAAAGATAGTTGACATTCATTTTTTCTTAGAAGCCGTCATGATTCGTTCCATTCGTTGTGATTTTATTGTTTTAAATGTTTGTGAAAATGTTTAACAAAATCAACTTATCGTGGCAGGGACCTTGCTTTAAAAAATGTTTTGGTAAATATATCAGTCATATTTTATTGACAGGATCTAAAGCATTGATTCACTTCCAGCCTTTAAACTGAGAACCATGCATGCGAAAAACGTCAGACGTCAGATTATCAAAGGTCGAGGTACAATTTATTCAGACGTATTAAAAGCGGGTCTTTCACTCTCTGGAGATTATTCCAGATCTTGATGTAGAAAGGTGTCAAATCAAAATATAAGATCTGAATTTAATTATACTGATAATTATCATAACGGTCATCATGTCAGTCCAGCTACTTATGGGTTCTCTCCTGCTACTGTGTACATGCTTAAGACTTTGGTAGTTAGCACAAGGCCATGTCAATGAGGTGAACAACAGGGTCCGAGTGCTCAACGTTTTACTTGTGTCGTGTGCATGAGTTTATATATTACATTTGAACCGTATTACAAAGTTGTTTTTAAACAATTGACTTCAATATCTTTTGTGCGTTAATGGAGTTGTAAACGTTACAACCGGTGCGCATGCGGTGATTTATGCAGAGTGTGCATACCGGCTTTTCAGTTTCAACTCCATGAACGCAAAATGTATTGAAATCAATTCTTATGAATAGACACATCAACAATGATAACTTCACAGACTGATTATTGTGTCATTAACACGCAAAACGCTGTTGACAACAATAGTGAGTGAGTATGGTTTTACGCCGCTTTTAGCAATATTCCAGCAATATCACGGCGGGGGACACCAGAAATGGGCTTCACACATTGTCCCCATGTCGGGAATCGAACCCGGGTCTTCGGCGTGACGATCGAACACTCTCACTACTAGGCTACCCGACCGCCCCTGACAACAGTAGGAAGTCAGTGACATCGTTCAGCGCAATAATGAAACAAGAAGCCAGCTCATTCTATTTTCAGAATTTGTTGGTGGGAGTGGCCAACACATAAAAGCAAAGACATTGTTTGGCTATCCAATCAACTGTCAAGCAATCATTATTTTTAGCAATATTTCATGTTTCTTTCTTCGATGCAGGTGAAGAAACATATCTGACATTTAGTTACTTTTATCATATTTTTGGTCATATATCCAATTCTATTTGTACAGGAACTATTTCAATATCCCACCTAATCGAAACAGTTTGTTACCAATTGAAACTGTAGACTACATATCCAGGTGAGCTACCATCTTTTTATTGTACTATTGCTTTCGTTATGTATCCTGGGTGTGTGTCTGTCTCCAGATACTGATACGATGAACGGCCAGTACCGTGTCACCTTCTACACTGACTCATCAGTCACACGCCGTGGCTTCGTGGCCACCTACCAGATCAGCGACGGTAGGTATCACGCATTGTTATGCATTTATTGTATTCTGCAACCACTCTGCATTTAAACCCATTACACCGGCTTTCCATTAGATCTACATCTGTCAGTAAATGCTTCTGGTCAGCTCGCTTTGCATTGTGCAAACGTGAAGTCATATATCAAGTGCTTTTTCACATTACAGCCTTTTTGTTCGCCATGTTTTACATTAAATTGGGTCTTTTGAACATATCAGCTGGGGCACATTCTTCTATGTATTATTGTCGCAAAATATATCTCTGATCGTGACAGACGACATCCATGGGTAAGTGGAGATGGCTGTGTTTCAGCGAGCAGCTGAAGAGGCTATACATTACACAAGATCTACTCCATGTGAGTTTTCTGTCATAAAAATGACGGCGCTTTGTTTTGTCCTCCGTCATCTACTTTGAAATGTTTCGAATATCCTGTTAAACTGCAAGGTCCATGACGGTCTATGATTCTACAACTATTGGGCCGAAGACGGGATTTGTGTCACCAGCTGCGATAATGGAAACAAAACACTTATGGAATCACAAATTGTAATGGTTTGACAGTTTGTCCCTTTCAATTCGGAAATGGACAATATTGTAGCCCTTTTTTACTTTTGGTTCTGAAGATGAAGATAGACCCTCTGAATGTTGCAAATTAATCTACATTATGTCTGTAATATGCACCAACGATGAACAGTTGAGACACACGGTAATATAATGTTGCTTGGTATGATTTGTGAATCATGAGACTCGTGGTATCTATTGAAAATGTTTTTCAACATTTTGACTTAAGCTTTAGGATTTTCATTATACTTTCGAACCAGTTGCCAAAATGCTGACCTTCTGCAACGACGTCATCAATGGTGATGATATCTATGTTCTACGAAATGATTCAGTTTTTCTTCTCTGACTTTGTTTAGTTTCGGATTTAAGTTTTTGACATATTAAAGTCAGTTGTCAAAACACTGAGTAAAATTCTCAGAATCAGCAGCCTTCAGTCATGGCCAGGAAAATATAAATTTAGAAAAGTAAACACTGAAGGGTTCCAGGGTCGTAAACTTGGAAATCTCATTAACTTGTATCTGTAGTGTATGTAATACGAACTGATTTTAAAAAAAATCATCAACTGTAGATCTAAATATGTCCACACCGAACCGAACACCCGTGATAAATGTGTCCACTACCACTATTTGTAGAAAAATCATGAACGAAACTTTGGTGTTTAGCTTACGATTGATGTGGATGAGATATTCAACGTCCTAATCCCAAAATAGACTCGGATTAATCATATTGATTAATAGAATAAAACATAAATAGGCGTGAACTAAGTAAATGTGATAACAATTTATACTTTGCCTCACGTCAAGGAGATAACACTGGTATTATTCAATAATGTACATTCTCCAAGATGTTGTCGTTGGGATTTGGTAAAACTGCATTGCCAACTTGCATCTATTCAGTATTAATAATAACGGATATGTTTTCACAATTGACGATAGTATGATCATTCAACAAAACTGATTTGAGTTGTCACATAGGTTGACAGTTTAGATCGATTTAGCCTTTCCAAAATGCATCATTTTAACAAGCACCACCAACATGTGTTAATTTATATTAACATTATTCCGAAACCTTATGTCAAGTATGATGGAGTTCTCCGTCTCATGTGTAAATACTAAGCATCTGGGTAATACGCTCAATTTGGTTTGAAGCCCTGATACGCATAAACGAATCTTAAGTTTAGTCTAGGTAAATACAACAAAATGTGGTTATGTGGTTGAGTTGAGTAAAAGTAAAAAGTGTTCATTTCAATTTCAGTTATTGACGCAGCAACCACCAGTCTTCCCGCCGGGGTACTTTCAAACAACGGTGAGTGATAAACTCCCGAGTCTAGTGAACCTTTCACCTTTTCTACAGAATCGACAGATGGGGTTGGTTCCTGTAACTGAATTTAAGGGGAATATTTTTAATTTTAGGCAGAAACTGGTATTTTCTTTTAACTGTGTAATCAATGTTAATTCATAATAAAAATTATGATTCAAGGTTCTGATCCTTGTTATTGAAAATGTATATGAAAATAAGATATACAAATCTTTATATCTGATTTTAAAGGAATGTTTTTTGCAGTTTACTTAAGAATTGACTTTCACTTTGTGTGAGTTCATTGGAGTATGAACCTTCATCGAGTAGGGCCAAACTGTATGAACGTCGGAGCTGACATACAATGTTTGGCCCTTACTCGATGAAGCTTCATACTCCAGTGAACTCACACAAAGTGAAAGTCAATTCTTATATTTTTTTATCACAATTTCTTACCTCAAAGATGTAGGCCAAGACCTTCTCACAATTGTATATAATAGGTGTGACTTCATGTTTACACTGACAGCGATACAACAACCAGCTTTTTCGCGGAATAAGATAGTTCCTCAAAAACAGAGGTGACGTGGATGCTCAACGTGCTCTTCAGAAACATCTTACACAAAACATTTATTCAAATAACACACCATTAGATGAGAAAGGTCTGTTAAGAACTACTTCAGTACGTCAGTTACAATGACAGTGCGTCGTAATACATTTACATCAAGTACAAGACGTCAAAATGGCCGACACGATATACGTGACGGGAGAGATTTCGGGAGTTGCTAATGAACCTATGGCGGTTACATGTTTTGATCATCATTGATCAATTGGCCGATCATTGAAAGGTGATGAAAGATGTGTCAAATAGTCACTAAGGTAAAGTCATTGATTGCTGTAGACTGTCACTGTCAGCCTTGACACGGATCGAGTCGATACTACGATAGTTTGGATGTGCATTTCTTCGTTTTGTTCACAAGGAGGGTCGTAGCGAGGATATTCGTGAACGATCGTGCAGTCAAACTCTTTCAAGATTCTCAATGTATACTTAAAGGCTGAGTTCAAAATTAAAGGGTCTAAATTATCAGAAAGAACTAGTGCTAGGGAATTCCCAGGGGTTTTCCCAGGGATGTGGAAGTAGTCCGTCAGTGTTTACGAAAAGAAAAACGTATGCACGTCAAATTGTGTCGTTCATACACTTATGAACATCAATTTCGCGGTCATGTGACCGACCTCTCGTCCAATTGAAAACACGTTTATCGTGTGAAACTTCAAATTAAAAACATATTCTGTATTAAGCTTTTAGAATAAACATGAAACAAAGTCAATAGCCTTGTACAGCACATGTGGACACAAATAACTTCAATAGTATTGCTATCACAAGTACACGATCATCTCGGGCTATATTCTGTTATTCATCTTCATTGGCCATTCAATTTGTCAATTGAGAGAAAGCTAGAACGTAGAAACACTGGGGTTTAACGTTCTCACTGAAGCTGTTGTTGTGTTAAACTACAAAACGGCTTTCTATCCAGGTGCCTGTGGCACAACGCTGACATCTTCCACGGGGCGCATCTACTACCCAACTACCGCCAGTTACACCAACAACGTCCGTTGCCAGGTGACTATCAGACCTGGGGCTGGACAGACATTCAACGTCACCTTCACAGACTTCGACCTCGAGTATCACTCCACCTGCTACTACGACTCACTAGAGTTCCAGATGTACGGGGTCACCTCTACGAAGAACTGCGGTCGCAACAGAGCAGGGCTCACTCTGAGCTGTACGTACTTCGCTTCTGAGAACGGAATTTATATCCTCGAGTATATACAGATCATTGATGTCACAAACATAAGTTTCAGTTTAAACTGAGGACGAGAGTAGTCCATTGTGCAGAGTAACCTCCACCCACTCACTGCAGTTTTATGAAATATAAGAACAAATACATAACAGCCATGCCTCTGAGGACAGCATTAATTGTGATGTTGTTTTAAATTCATCAGTTCTTGAATGTGAAAGTTGCCTAGTTAACTTCTACAGTAAACATGTCTCCAACTGTTGCAGTCCCCTACACCAGCGGTGACATCGTGATGTACTTCAGGAGTGATGGCAGCGTCACAGGAAGAGGCTTTGATCTCAACTATCAAGTGATCTAGGGTGAGGCATGGGATGTGTGAATGACGAATGATATGATGTCACTTGCCACTGTTTGGAATAGTGAGTAAGTATAGTTTTAAGCCGCCTAGCAATATGCCAGTAATATCACGGCGGGGGACACCAGAAATGGGCTTCACACATTGTGCCCATGTGGGGAATCGAACTCTGGCCTTCGGCGTGACGAGCGAACGCTTCAACCACTGGGCTACCCCACCGCCCCTGTTTGAAATAGACTCACAACCGAATCCTCTTGGTTGGGAACAGGGGTCAAGGGACTGTTCAGTGAATATTGCTCTTTCACATGTACATAACATTGCAGTTTGTCAACGTGTTGATCAGGCCATTGGCAAATAACATGTCCGCAGTAATGCGTAGTACTTTTCCAAAGTTCACAAGGATCATGTCAATAACGTAGAATATCCAACCAAAAACAGTAATTGGACAGAATAATTTGTCCAGCATCTGTTGTATATTAACCAATTATGTCATAATAAAAAGCCTAAATGTATTGTATTGTATGTGAAGATCATCTGTCCATCTATCAACATGTGATATGTTGAAATAATTAAGTTGGTGTTTTCAGATCAGTTTTTCAGTTTTGATGCAGAAAAATGATAAATCGCTGAAGACACATAAACATTATCAATTTTGAAAAGGTTACACTGAATGTGTTGGAGTAGGTCGTCTTTTTTATCTGTATCTGTGTCTGTCCACAAACATTATCCATCAACTGGTCCCATGTAGCTGACTGCAAACAATACTTGGCAAAGAGATGACTTAAGCCCCTTTAGATCACTCCCATAGTCCTTGAATATTAACACATTGATGACAAAGATAATTATGCAGCCCAAACTGAATTTGCTGCCAAGGGAAATGTTGAGTGGGTGTGGGTGAGGTGGGGACTAGGTACACGTGGTTGTGTGGTTATGTGTGTTATGTGGTAGGGGCAGTGACACTATGTGCAACTACACAAAGTAGTTCTCGTATAAATAGACATATGAGTGAATTGAGTTCTACGGGTTTTGGAACAGTGCCAGCGACGGTCCTCCAATATTAAAACAACTTGTAAAATTGTGAAACAACTCCTTCACTTTATGTTTAAACAATTATGTTTCAAACCTTCACTAAGGATCATCCTAATGACCAACACTAATTGAATCCTATTCTTTTCAGGACAAATATGATTTTCCTGTCTGTGGGCTGCCTCCGGAATCTGCTGTTATTGCCCCGCCACCCAACCCCCTCCCCCCTCCCCAAAGTTTCATAAGTTTATAAGTTTTTCTCTTTGATTGAAAGCAGTAGAATCTCGGCACTTATACACAGCAGAGTCTCTTCGTGTGAACACAGCTGAATATCTTACGCAGCAGTAGCAATTTTAGTAATTTGGTTCACATTTCGTTTTTACTTTCATGTTGGTGGATTCCAGACTCGCTATCACTGGACTGCCTTATCCAGAATCTATTGTTTACAGGCCGCCGTAGTATGCCAGGAATATTATCGGGTGCTATACGTGGTGCAGGACGTGCTAACACTTTTTCCGAACATCTGATGTCGTCATGATTTTCAGTGATCCATGCGTTGATAATCAACCATACTAATAGCCTGATTATTCTGAAAGCGGTGTAACATGAGTGTTGATGAGACGAGTCTGTCAGTTATAACGGTGTTACATGAGTATTGATGAGACGCGTCATTCAGTTATGACGGTGTTACGTGAGTATTGATGAGACGCGTCAGTCAGTTTCAACGGTGTTACATGAGTATTGATGAGACGCGTCATTCAGTTATAACGGTGTTACATGAGTATTGATGAGACGCGTCAGTCAGTTATAACGGTGTTACATGAGTATTGATGAGACGCGTCATTCAGTTATAACGGTGTTACATGAGTATTGATGAGACGCGTCAGTCAGTTATAACGGTGTTACATGAGTATTGATGAGACGAGTCTGTCAGTTATAACGGTGTTACATGAGTATTGATGAGACGAGTCTGTCAGTTATAACGGTGTTACATGAGTATTGATGAGACGCGTCAGTCAGTTATAACGGTGTTACATGAGTATTGATGAGACGCGTCTGTCAGTTATGACGATGTTACAAGAATATTGATAAGACGCGTCAGTCAGTTACAACGGTGTTACATGAGTATTGATGAGACGCGTCAGTCAGTTATAACGGTGTTACGTGAGTATTGATGAGACGAATCAGTCAGTTATAACGGTGTTACATGAGTATTGATGAGATGAGTCTGTCAGTTATAACGGTGTAACATGAGTATTGATGAGATGAGTCTGTCAGTTATAACGGTGTAACATGAGTATTGATGAGACGAGTCTGACAGTTATAACGGTGTAACATGAGTGTTGATGAGACGAGTCTGTCAGTCACAGCAGTACACCATCAGCCGCCCAGCGTGAACATATACGCATCATTAACACCTGTCTGATGGCAGTTTACACGTGGAAACAATCAATATGTAATCGAAATGCATATAATATCGATAGTACCTAAACCTTCAATTTCTTTTGCCTTTGTCCTATTATATTTTTATGTGCATGTGCCTTCCGTGTTGTTACACCTTTCTTCCTAGATTAAACGTCTCTATTTTGTAGGTTTTCTTCATGTTTTTCCCTTTCTGTGAACCTTGTTTATAAAGTGTCCGTAATCGTTTTGATCAATGTCAGTATTTTACAAATCACTTCTTTTTGGTTTTCAAGTTGCCATGTCACACAACATATCGGTGATAATTTTGACGAAATTCCAACTATCAATGGGCCGTGTACTTTGACATATTGAAGTTAAAGCCTTGTGAACTCATTTGCGTTCATCATATTTAGTTCCAATGTGAATGTCGCATAATACCTCGCATGTCCAGTACCCGCAGTTTTCATTCTAACGCCTCATCTGTGGCTAATGTTCAATTATGGTGTTTTAAATGGTTAACCAATGCCCCCTATAGTTTGTCAGCTGACGAGCAGTGTATGGATGTAACCTGATTATCCAGTGATTTCTCACACCCGTTATGTGTCATCATTCCAATCAATCGATAGCGTGGACGTTTATGAATTTGTCGCTCACATTTAGACACCCATTTGCTAAGACGAAGATATATTATTCTTGATGTTTTAATTATATGTTGTGCAACTATTTCAGTGCTATAATAATAAATGCATGTTCGAATTTGATATCAACTCCTTGTAATCATTTCAGTGTTTGTTCCATGTCTTAGTGCATCTAAATACTGTCAACTACTACAAAACAGTTATTAAAAAAAGATAATAAGTAATTGAATTGCTTTCCATTGGCTAACAGGAGAATACTTGCTGGTGTACACGCAGATAATGATTCATTATCATCAAGGTTTTGGAGAGAGTAAAGGTTTTCATTTAGTGTAACCAAATAGCCGGCAGAGTATCCGTTGGTGTTGTCATGGTAATAAATGCCATCACAGCAAAAAGGTGTAGGTTTCCGTTTTCCGGAAACCTTCCGGATACCTTCAGCAACCTTCACTTTTCTTGGTACTTTCGGATATTTCTTTTTCACACTTAATTTCCGGAATGTATCTGGGCCGGAAGGTATGCAGAAGGTTTCTAGGTGTCCGAACAACGGAAACCTTTACACCGTGTTCTCTGTGCATACTCGAAAATTGGCCCTGATATGTCAAGTATATAATGTGTTGTACCTGAAATATCACCACACCTTTTCAGCATCGCTGATTGGTTACCCACCGAATGATGGCGGAGTTGGCTGAAAACTGGGTTACCCTCACACAATACAATGTAACAACATAAACGAAGTCAGAAGTAATAACAAGATTATATTTGCATCCGTTGTAGTGATGCAATGTAAAATACCGACATTAGTGGACTGATTAAAAAGTTTTGTCACACATTTTGAAATGAAGAATATGATTAAAAATCAGAATGATTTCGTGCGGATGTGCCCTTCTAAATGAGGGGCATGTCCATCTGCCATTGGATAAAACATTTACATGCCTGACTCTCGACAGTGAGATGGTAAATAGTTGCCTGAATCAGACAACATAATAAAATTTATAACCTTACCTTACTACCTTTTATTTAATTAAAATGACTCTAGCCTATGTAATTGTAATCAGGTTGAACACTTATTGTGTTTTGCAAATTGAAACGTATCACCTGTATACTTCTTGGTGAAATTGGATAAGTCTAACACTGTATATAGCTTAGCATATTCCTCTTGATATTTCTTAGGCTCGATGAGTAGGACTTGCGGAAAATACAGCAGTGAAAAATAGTTATGTTCCTCATGAAGGAACCTAAAGAGATGGATTTCTCGTATATCGTACCTAACTGTCACATAGTTTTTGTACTCTTAATAAATGAAATGCGATATGCCTTGAGATAATTTGATCCATGACATAAATCTATAACATAAAGCATGTGTGTCATACCCTAATGACCCAGGGGCGTTTTTCAGTGGTGCACAGTGGTTAACTCAAACAATGTAACACCATGGATACATTTGATCATGTTGATGTTTGAGACAACATTTAAAATATACAAAGGTAGTGATACAATGTTGCCAGATTGCTATGAAAGGTTACCAGATGGCTACAGGCTGATGGTCAATGTCACTGATACAGTGTTGCCAGATGGCTATGAAAGGTTGCCAGATGGCTACAGGCTGATGGTCAATGTCACTGATACAGTGTTGCCAGATTGCTATGAAAGGTTACCAGATGGCTACAGGCTGATGGTCAATGTCACTGATACAGTGCTGCTAGATTGCTATGAAAGGTTACCCGATGGCCACAGACTGATGGCCAATGTCACTGATACAGTGTTGCTAGATTGCTATTAAAGGTTACCCGATGGCTACAGACTGATGGTCAAAGTCACCGATACAGTCTGTAAATAACGTGTCCATAACCAATTTCTGAAAATGATGACGAGCTGTTTTACATCGGCTCACCCTTTCAGCCTACCTAATTCTCCGACCAATGGTTTATCGGAAATGTTACTAAGAAAGTCAACCACCCACTGTCACGGAACATGTGTAACACAGCCATTTTCCACACGTGAAAACACTTGGCGCCTACGAAGTTGTCCAAATGTTGAATGACAAAAATATTCCACCAAATGAAAACACGCATAACTCATAAATCCTGATAAGCACAAACATAAATCCTGATAATAACAGGAAGTATTCCATCAAACGCATTGAACACAATAACTACCCAGCTTAATTTGTTCTTGAAACTCCCTTCATAACAGCGGCCTATGCAAGCACAATGTTCTAATTATCTTGAGGCAACAGTCGGCAATCTCATATTTTCTCTTTTTTTCTTGTGGCGTCAGCACTATGTTTGCTGGTTGCTTTCCAACATAAAATATTAATCTTGTCCAGTTCCAGTCAAACGACACTTCAATTGTGTGACAGTGACACCAACTTGAATGTACTGTTGTGACCTATCGAATGACTAAAGTTGTGATATACAACAGATATAATCAAATACAATAGAATAAATCGTTATTGTTGTTATAACAGTGAACCAGTGTCAAATACAGTAAACTACGGTTATATCGAACCAAAAGGAACCACTAATTTTAGTTCGTTATAACCGTAGTTCGTTATAGGCATATATACAGCATAACTACAGCAATTTTTAGGGGCAAAAAAGTAAGTTCGTTATATCCGTCAGTTCGTTATAAGCGTGTTCGTTATAACCGTAGTTTACTGTATGCTACAAGACACCGTGCAGTTATGTTTTATGAATTAGAAGGAACCTATACTCAGCAAATTGATTTTCCCAAAGGAAGTGATGGGCTTACTTGTTTTGCTTCACATTGCCAAGGAATATAAATATCTCTTAGCATAATGTACCGTCAGATTTCAACAATTTTTGTATGTGTTTCTCATTGTAGAACTCTTTAAGAAGGAAGCAATAAATTGAATTCATCACTCCTGTTGAAGCACCAATCTGGTCGCGTTAATCGGTATTTGACTTGCCTAAGTGAGTGAGTTAAGATTTATAGTCACATCGGCAATATTTCAGCCATATCGTGACTAAGACTTGCTCAGACTTGGCAAATACCGATCAACTGAGACTCAGTTGATATTTCCCCCATTGAAAAGATCCACTGGTGATGAATCCTCTATGTCGACTTTAGAAGATTCCCCACGCTCAATTGTATTGTTCAGTTATATGCGAACATTACGCAAGAACTGTTGTTTGTGAGCACATGAGAATCTGGACCGGCCGCGGATATTCACGACAGACTGAGACTTATATGTTCAATACTGAAGATCAGCACCCCCTTAGGCAAACACCCGACCAACCCTATGAGGTTGTATTATTCTCACAATCTGAGAGGTGGAATATGCCACAGTGAACTATTTGACAGGTTGGACAAGAGACAAAGAACAAGGAAACAAGTAAGAATTAATTTATTTCACGATTTGAGGAAAACGTCAAGACAGTACTGCACTAACTATGCTTCCAACCATAACAGTGTAGACACCGTGCTAGCACAGTGACCACGCGTTACAGTTTGCATGTGTCTGTGTCAAAGTTTCTAGTTTGAGTGGGGATCAAATTTCGGTTGGTAACCGTCAATGTTCTGATGGATTTGTGCATTACATCGATTATTGGTTCTGGTGTTTGAAACAAAGAACGTTATAGATTTATTACTCACAACAAAACTGCTATTATTCTTTCCCTAAAGTGGTAGATATCATAGTGCGTCTGGCCACATCATCACACTACCACCACCAAATCCGTCCACTTTCTGTATGCAGTTTTGTGCATAACGTTCCCCGCGACGCCTGCAACTCTGTGGCCTTGACACCCTTGATGTCGCAGGTGCGCGCGAATACTTTCAGCGCGTAAACAGTTCCTCATTGTCTGGGCTGATATCCTACTTAATCCTGGTATTGCCGTGGTTGAAGAGGTGGCCTTGGTGGTTCTTTCACGTGTTGTCTCGTGTGTCTGATAACGGTTCCACAGTCTTGTAATGGTGCTTAGTCCTGAAGCTGAAAATAATTCTCCCGTATGCAATCGGCGTTGCTGCGTTTGGCTTCCGTCAGTCGTAACATGTTTTCGCTGTTCACTTGCTCTAAGATTGTGATGGCAAGCAAATGAAAACCCAACGTTTTTATAGCCCAACAAGTGATGTTGCACGTACAGGTCATGTCGTTCAGACTCTCACATGGTTGTGTTTTTATGTTATTTTCCATCTTTTCACCAAATTTCTGAAGTACCTCATTCTTTCCATACATACAAGGGGCGTTCAATATGTTTTGCATCTTCAAAATGAGACCATGTCTCAGAATATCTTTTGCACTTTTATTTTTCAATATATTCTCCATTCACCTCAATACACTTATTCCATTTGTCCTTCAAGCTTCTAATACGACTTTTATAGAAATCCGCACGTCTCTGTAGCAGCCTTTATGTCCTCGTCATCCCGGAAGCGTCTTCCACGTGGGGCAGATTTCATTTTCCTGAACAGGAAATAGTCACTGGGGGCTCAGTCTGAGCTGTAGGGTGGGTGATTTAACTGCTCGAATCCACATTCACATATGGCGGCCTGTGCAATTCTCGACTTGTGAATCGGAGCGTTGTCATGCAAAAGTAGAATACCACGTGTTGACATCCCACGGCGTTTCTGCCGAATAGATTTTCGCAATTCTTTCATAACATTAGCATAATACTGTCCATTGATTGTAGTTTTGGGTGGCATGTAATCAATCAGTAATATGCCTTTTGCATCCCTTACCAGCCGATGGTTGTAGTGCTACACTTCCTCGGAGGCGGAGAATTGGGGTGCTTCCATTGCATGGATTCCAATGTAGTTTCTGGGTCCATGTTTTATCACCTGTCACTAGACGAGAACGAAATCCGGCTTCATCAGCAGTATAGAGATCCAGCAGGTCTCAACAACTTTCAGTTCTCTGATGGCTATCTTGTGCTCTGAGGTTTCTAGGTATCCATCAAGCAGATACCTTGGACATACCAAGATGCTCATGAAAAATGGTTACAACAGTTCCAGCTGATATTTGGAATTCCCCAGAAAGTTCAGATACTTTCACTCGTCGGACAGACAAAATTCTTCTTTCTATAGCTGCAATGGTTTCCGGTTGGGTGGAATCTGAAGGCCTGCCTGACCTTGGGTCATCGTCTATGGACTCCCTACCCCTTTTA